TCTTCAATGGAGCGAAAAGGATCAAGGAAGTCGTGAAATCGTTCGTTTAGTCTTTCTTATTGTAAACTAAAGCACGATATGCCTATATACATGTTTGCGCTAAAACAAATATCTCTGTGACAGACAACCACAAAGAACAGGTTGGTCATGCAATTTTCCGTAAGCGACCATTTTTACCACAATCCTTAAAGATGGCACCTCATTGTGTTTCCGATAATTTCGAGGTCATGTAAATCTGCCAGACACTTCTTCACACTGGTCTCGCATAGTCACGCTCATCATGTGCTATCCACGACGTGCCTTCCCCTCTATCGTAAAAAATGTCTATATATTATATTTCTATATATTAGGGAGAGGCATAATTGGATACTGTGCGTGTTTACAGTGCGATACGGCTCGTAAAATCTAACGGTGCCTCGTCGCTGAAACCATGGAGGAATAAAAAACCCACTCCAATAACGAACCACTTTAATGAAAAGCATGCCCAGACGTGTTGAAGTAAACAGAATATTCCTACGCCTTAATGAAACAACCAGAGCGTGAGTAATCAGGTTATTGTTATCGTTTAATATCAATACGCCTCACTGCTTGAGGATTACAACATGTGCATAAAATATGAAACCAAAGTATGTAATTTAGAGCTAGGCATTTAAATCAGAGTTTTATATTTTGAAAATATGGATGATTTTGCTGGCATTCCCTGATCTCATTATCCTTTATTTATCATAATGAAATCAGTATAATTGGCGTCACTGTCTAACCAAAATAAGTATTTAAAAATAAATATATAATTAAAAAATCTTTTAGAAAAAAGTTCATCGCCACTTAATTAGTTTCGCCTATCTCTATTTTCCTGAACAAACTGAGTTCGAACTGGATAAAACTAATAATGAAAAACCTAGTTTTATAAAAACAAAAGTAAAGGAATATTTACCTTTTCAGGATTCATATTTGACCCGAAGGACATGTTTTGTACTACAGCTCTGAGCTTACAACTGTAATCTTCCAAAGCTCTAAAATTGTCCAGATTACCCCTAAATGAACTCAACGTAATTGAGTTGCTATATCGGTTAATAGCAAACGAAATACCACCGGTGCCGTGTTTGTAATATCTGTCTCGCACAGTAGTAAATTGGCTCGATTGTCTGGTCCGTAGTTTGGCCTTTAAGACTGTAAACTAATGGCTCCCAAATTAGATGTTATACCGCAGAAGGTCGCACAGGTATACCTCGCGAGCATTGATTTATAAATTTAGATTTGTCTGACAAGTTAATTTCTCAGCTTGATGTTCACCGATGTAACAAAACCAATTTTTTAGTTTCGTTTTGAGAACGAAATAACTCTCCTGGAATTGCCAACCAAACCTGTTTGTCTGTTTCTAATTAATCATTTTTACATTGCGATAAAGTCTGGCGCCCGTCATGGATCGATCTCCCGTAGGTATCTCCGCTGCGCCCTCGGGTTACCTGACAATGACGGCCTGGTTAAAAGATAGAGAGAGGGAAAACAGAAACGATAGATCTGGAACTAATCCGTCGAGGTCAGTTTTCAGTACAATCTGCCAGGACGGCACCGAATAATCGATACCGATGCTTGCCGAGCGTGTACTCTGCAGGCAAACTGTACAGCACATTATTCGGTTCTAACACAAGCTGTTTGGATTGTGGATTCGATAAATCGGCTTTGAAACGAAGTGCAAACATGCAATGTTTTCTTGTAGTCGTCAAACAACAACAATCTCCAACACAAGCATACCCACAGCTGGTAGATCAAAACCAATATCAATACTAAAAATCAAGATAAGGAAAATGTATTTTGCCACAACTGAAATGTAACTGGGGCACATCCACTAAATGCCTTACTTGATTTTCAAACATATCTGCGCTAACGCTTGAAACTTAAAAAGTTGAAATTTTGGAATAATTTTTTTTATAATTTTTTTCTTCTTAGATTTGAGTAAATTGTAATATGTAAATTATTATATTATGCAACAATTTTGCGTTCATTATAGCAAACCGTCACTAAATCCAACATATTTTCCCCTCTAGGGATAAAAAGAAATCCTTGTTTATGTCAACCCAGTTTGTTGTTGTATTCAAAGAGAAAATTATTCATGAAGGGCTTTCACTCTGACAGCCCAAGTATATCAAGAAACGTCCGGTGCCGGAGTCGCTTCGGATAGTTAGGCCGTTAATGTGAGAGTTTGCCCGGGGTGAGTCTTGGCCATAACACGGTTGCTCCGCGTGAAGTGGCTTTCGACCCGAGTGGAATGCTTCTCGGTAAGCATTAACCCTTGTTTGTTAGAAATAACGATTTTTTTAAAAAGCGTTTGGCGCGTGAAAAAAAAAAAGGTTTTAGGGATTGCATATCGACCCTCTAAAAGGGCAGATTTTGTTGATTTATTTTTGCAACAATTTTGATTATGGGTGGAAAATGTGGACTAATAAATTGATGTCCGTGCGCGCCAAGACAGTCCTGAATACCAGCACAAACATTTATTTTGGGGGCACATTTTTACTAATATTCTCATTTTTAAAATGTTTGATATATGTTTTGAAATAAACCAAAATCACGTTAAAATAATTTAAAGCTAATAGGAGTGCATTAATAACACATTTAGAATATCATTAAAACTATGGCCCTGGCCGGTTGCAAACCACTTAGCTGTTAAGGTGCTCGGTTTATAAAAATTACGCGTATATGTCCTCTGTTTGTCGCATAGATGAATGAACAGACAGTTGAACTAACAAACACATCGCACGAAAATCACTGATCTCGAGTCCGATAGAATTAAGCAAACACTCCAAAAGACGGCCATCATTAATATAACGTGATTTATTCGTAGCTCCGTATGCCCGGCATTTGTCGGCATATTGTTTTTGCTCATCTCATAGTTTCGCGTAGGCGCGCGCGGCTGGCTGCTTTTCGCGCCGTTTGTTTTTGCGTTCCCGCCAAATCGAATCAATACGATGCCTAGCCACGCTCATGGTTTGTTTTTTCCCCTTCCCTTTTAGAGTGTAGACACGAATGTGCAGCGGAGGGCACTCAAGCCTGCATCGGTCCTGAACGGAGCAAGTTCTCATCCGCACTAGGGATGATAAATTGCGCTTAGAGCACTCTGAAGCAAAGCAGGCCGGGGTGAAAATGAAGAAAAAGATCCTAGAAAGATGGCAAATAATCTCAATGATATTAATAATAATACAAAACATTTATATGGCGCTATACCAAGAACAGAGCGCCTCACAATAACAAAGAGGGGAGAAATGTTGGTTTCGTTTACATACTCAGATACGGTCCACTGGTAACATTCGGAAATCGAAGGATGACATTTTCTAATTGGATTTTTTTTTTAATGATGCACCAATTATACACTTTAAATTTATGGGTATCGTGGAAAACATCATTATCGAACGACATGGTTTCGACTTGAAGGCCGTCAAGACCCACATATACACGTCTTGCATGTAGAATGAAATTGAGAGGCTAATTGAAGCCAGTCATGCGATCTTGGCGTATTCAGATTCATGATTAGTTTCAACATGGCTCATTGGCTTTAATTGGTAAAAACAAAAATTATGGATTAATTCCTTGGAACAGGTGTATTGAAATGTCATGAGAATAAAACGATTGCGTGCGGCTCTCCGAGATCAATAGTATTATTTGCATTTCATGTTTGCTTTATCAACTCTTGGAGAAACACCTGTCTGTAAAGAATCACAGAAAATGCCTACCCTATAGTGAACACCTTTATTTCCCCGGGAAAAACAACAACAAACAAACAATATCTGCGCGTGCCTTGCAAGCTGACTTAGACTCGGATTCGGCGATAGATTATGGGCGTATGCCTAACCTTTGACGCTGATTCGAAGGCGACTTTAAGTAATAATCAATCTTTCTTTTTTTATTACTGAAAATCGGACTATATTATTGCATAGATTTTAAACCCATTCTCATCTTTACTTCGGTAAGGTTAATTTCTTGCAGAATTTCGGTTGGTTAAACTTTCCACGAAGTAGCTATTGACATTTATATGGCCCTTTAAAATGGGCGCGTATGGGACTAAAGTCTGATATTCTCTGACTGATCTAAACTACTTGCCAGCACCGAAAAACCTCTCGAGACATCCTCTTGGCACAGTGATGAGAATTCACTCTTTCCCTCAGGCCATCGCCAAGCCATGAAAGATGGATTCAAAATTGACAACGTGAGAAATTGGAACAAACACACGGGTGTCTATAGTAACGGTTAGTGGACCGAGACTGACCTGGTACGCTACATCCACTGAATTTGAATTGAGGTTTGTACACTCCTGCTCTCCTCACTTCCTGACAGGACAGGTTTCCAGTCGGATAAGCACCGATTATATGATTAGTTACCGCTATTTAGAACGCCGTGTACTCGTGTTGTATATGTTTCGCCTGGGGTAAGATTTTGTGATCGACCAGGACGAAAATTACAAAATTCAATCAAAATTTCAAAGCCAAAGACGAAATTTGAGACATGGCCCTTATACGCTATATGATGTCTCTCGCATGCAATTCTAAACTGGGTATACTCCGTATTGTATTTTGAGTCTAGCGTTAATTCTTTGAATGACTAATATGATTTGGTCCATACGCGCGTTTCATTAAGTGTCTCTGTCTCGAAAATAAAAACATATTTCAATTAACTGCAGTAGTGTCGTCTGAATCACTTAACGTCAAACCGCACAACACGCCAAAAAAAATTACACTACGTTACGAACAAAGCCATCTTGATGACGTCATCGAATTGGGAGACTGTTTCTCCTATCCAAGGTTTCCTTGGCAACCAGAGTAAAAGATCATTTGAATTATTGTGACCGATATTACGCAGAGATCGAGTTTTTGTTATTTGTAACCATTTCCCCCCGCCGTCATTTTTCATTTCCTCCGTCACTTTGTAAAAACCTAACCTGCACAATTTATACTTACAAATAACCACGCACTTTAGAGGAAAAGAAAGACTCTTCAATTCGCATATCAGATAAAACACACGGTACGAAATTTATGCACGAACTCATATTGCAAAGCATCCAAAACAACAATAACATACTTACAAAGACTGGTTCGAAAACCATCATCATAATATTAATGTGTATATCAACACACAATCGAATCTCCAATTTATAGTTGCTCATGATGTCGGTTCCTGCTCCTTTTTAGCCATCAACGTCATTCAATAATAACATGACACACCTCTTTCTAACGTTGATTCTACTTTTGTGTGTGTAGAAAAGACACCTGAAATATCGATATAATTATCATCACATTTGTGTTTTTTAAAACTCGGTATCCATGAATATGGGATAAAATGTTGAAATTTGATATATCAAAATGACTTTATTGGTTTTGACGTCTTAAACCAAACATTCAGGAAAACACGTGATTCGGCTCGCCGGTTCGCAAAGCAGGCAGTTAAGCCAAACAGGCTAGCTGGCAGTTGGGTTTCTGTCATTACAACTGGACGGTTATACGTATGTGGGAGAACTATACACAGAAATAATGTGTTTTTATGATATCTCGAGCATCCTACGCGTAATCGACAGTTAGTGATGTCGGAAATACAAGCCTACAGGTTAGGAAATGAGTGAGGGCTTCATCTGTGGAAAGCATTTAGTATTACCAAAGATTGGCTCTACAGGAACAGGTTTTGTACGTTGAAGAATCAACCCATTACCAGAAACATTGCCAAAAAAAAACCTTAGGAACGGGGAATCTTCTCGTCATCTTGTAATGTCATTTTGGATTTCATAAAAATTAATCCAATTCTCGCATTTGAGAATCGTAGGCCAACTTGCTTATAATCCAAGATTTCATGTCATCGCGACAGCTAGCTGTTATTTCAGAATCTTCTCGTCTTCTACAATGATTGCACGATGGTAAAACGTAAGTTAGGAATGTGTCTAAAATGAAATCAAGGGTAAAATTTCAAAGCCTATATGTTCAGAGAAAATCAAACTTCTCAAACTGACTGATTTATCCAGCAATGGCCTGTCCTCGTACGACGCATCTCTGTTTCTCACAATCCCCACAGCGAGAAGTCAGGCTGGAATGTCAGATTTTCCCACAATATTTTCTCCGGTTCATGGGTTGTAGACCGTTATGAAAGCAAGGAGCTTCCCATTTCGTTTCCAAGTCTTCTGTGGAATGTGAGTCCCACTTCCTGCAACCGACATCTCGCTAGACATCAGGTGTTTGGAGCGTACACCTGTAGAGACTAAATGGAATGTGCTTCACTGCTGAACGCTTACGACACCCTTACCAGCTACGACCGCTTCCCCCTTCGCTCGCTCCGGTTGGACGTTGGTTAGAGCTGAGGTGTATGGTATACCATCCTCAGCGGCCTCCTGCTGCGAAGCCACCGGCATGTAGGGCGGGAAGGTATTCTCAGCATCCACTCGAATCTCCTCTCGATAGCTGCTATCATCATCGGTGGCGAAGGAGAAGCTGGGAATGAGGAGCGAGATGGCGATGACTAAACCCCCAACACACATCATGATCAGCCCCGCCAGTTTGGCCGAGTCCAGTTTCCGGTTGAACTGCCGAGCCTCCTCATCCACCACGGCGACATCCTCGTTGTAACCCAGGATCTCCTTTCTCGGAGTGATGAAGTAACCCACGATCAGTGCCAGGATGGCCAGAATTAGGATGTTAAGGCCTACCCAGGCACCTGCCTTCCACCAGACCGGAGAGCAACAGCCAAACGGACGGCGTCGCTTACGGGCAGCCAGATCAGCCAAAGGATGCTCCTCATCATCACAGCAATAGATGTCGTCCCGGTCCTTGAAGGTAGGGTCCTCCTCGTAGAACTTGTGCAGGTAGGACTTGACGCCGAAGGAGTCGGAACTGGCTGGGGAGTCTACCAAGGATCGGTCGCTGTGCTCACTCTCTGAGACGCTCTCCAGGCGGGGAGGCCGGGTCAGCTTACGGCGAGCCACGGCGGCTTGCGAGGCAGCTGCAGCTGCGCTCCCGATACTCCCCGCAGAGACCGGCGGGGGAGGAGCCGGCTTGGGAACAGGAGGGCGGGGTCGAACCACACTGCCTGCCCCAGGACCCATGCCCGATGGTGCTGATTGTGTTCCTTCATTTGCACCGTTCTCCATCGATTTAGGCTCCATGATCCCGTCGGTTTGTCAGTTTTCTACTTGCAGATGATGTCGGCGCAATCACTCATCATAGCTGTCCAGTGGGCGTTCGTTCCATTCTGAGAAGGAAAAAGCAATTTATTAAAATGAAATAATATAACGGCACGGGAAAATATTGTCAATTAAGCAAGGAACCTTTACCTAGCATTTTCCTTACACCTGTTAATCTTTCGGAACCTGTAGTAACTCTGACTTTACACAACCAACATCGAATATTGTCTTTCAAGACTTGAAGTTGCCTTTTCATGAAGAACGCAAGCTCCCGTCACAGGTATATCCCAAGCCCGTGGTAGAGTGATACAGTTGTAACACAATCAAAATGATCAACGCTCCGGTGACGATACCCGTTTTACCACAATAACTGTGCCAGTATTGATGAACCTATACATCGTAATATTTTTCTACTTGACGCAGTCTAGGTCATACATTACTTTACCCTTCAGTCTTTCAACGATGTCCTTGGTGATATATCGACTATAAGTGCACTATCAAATATTGGAAAGGCTCCGTAGCCTCATATGCATGCCTTAAGGCCTTGAGACAAAATGTTCTACTTCTACCATTGAGCTCATAGCAAATATAAATTGGATTTCCGTACATGGCGCGTATAGCAATTTATTAAATTTGTGTTCATTCCTTTACTAATATTGGAGAGAGGTTTGAACAACACACCAGCAGTATTTTGTTAAAGGGAATGTGCGGCTTTGAAGAACACTGATGTGGCTTTTCTTGTTGTTACGAAAGGTGTAACTAGAATTCAACGTTATTTTGAACTCTTAAAAATAATTCGTTTTACTGAGTTAAGGAGCCATCATGCTAGTTTATTTACATGCGTCAAGCAACACCCCCCCCCCAAAAAAAAACCCAATTAAAACCGGTGTGTTTTGGAACACTGACTTGGTGAGAAACGCCCCTCGAATAAATTCTTGCGCGCATGCGTATAAAAAAAGATGGCGCAGGAGGTTTTCATTGCGTGTCCGGTTTTTAAGGATAACTTTGCCACATAAATTGAATGTCACTCTATATTTGTCTCTCCATCAACGGCTCGGCATCAGAGGAGGCAGTCACTATCATAGCAAGGAAGCAATCGAGAAATAAACACTTAAACTACGTCATCGCAGCCAGATCTATAGGCTCGAGTCAAACCACCTACTCAATGTTTGTCCAGTTCGAATTGGATGTCAGCACTGTGCGTACTTTTTTTTTAAAGGAAAGATATCATGTATCGTTATTTTTTCAACCCGACGTTTCAGGAATTACAATCCAACAACGGAGAACGGCAACGAAGTTGTTTGAGCCACCATCCGTTGAGTACTACTTAAAAGTTCTTGTATTTTTTTACCCAAAATAAACGTCGAAGAGAAGGCAAACTGCATGTTTTAGAACTCGCTTCTTAAAAAAAATAGAAGCTCTCTTCGTTTTTAAACGTGAGATGTTTGTATTATTAAGTAACTAATCAAGAGCTCAAGAAACTACAAAAATAAGAGCGAATCAAGCAAGGAAATATAACTGCAATTCATTCGTGAAAGGTTTGACGGTTTGGCGGGGGTTGCGGCCCACCGGAGAGGGATACCGTACAAAAGCAGTTGCTGCAGGGAAGACAAAAGTCTAAAACAGCCCGCTTTCTTTCAAAAACATTTTGTTAAAGAATTACAAAATCTCACTAGCATCTTATTTCAACATAGGTTGCAAGAAAACGCAAGCTATCTTGGATAAACGGTTAAAAAAAAATATTAAAAAAAATATACGATACCTTTTATTTTATTTTATAGGAAAGACACTTTTGTATGAGCAAAAATAGAATTATGTACACACGTCAGAGCAACAATGAACAGCGCCACCTATTGTCCCTCTGTGTCCATCAACCCACTTTAGTTTAAAAAAAAATAAACCACATGTTATTACGGAGAATCATTTTCATAACTCCACACAGGTTTCGGGTCAACATGTCCAACATACGAAGAGATAGCGCCGTACGAGTCGCGTCACGACATCGAAGATTGCGCGTATCAATTAGCTATATTTTAATTATCTCTCTCGTAGCACCCCCCCCCCCCCCCCCCACGGACACAGGAAACCGAGGAGGCTACATCACTAATCTACCGAAGGATACGGTACGGGGAAGGACAGAAAATTCAGTCTTGATTTGCCAAGGACTTGCGTAGGTGTTTGCTTGTATAACACAAGAATATAGCTGCACTGTAGCCGCGGGTATCATTTTCGAATCGTGAAAAACTCGGTTTTACAATACTCGGCAGTGCATAGTCATATTCATAATGTTTTCTTAAATCAGTTCGACTTGTTTGGTGTCTTTAGGGGCTTTGACGAAACTAATTTCGGTTTTGAGACTTGGTTTGCATGGTTTTAGCAAAGACTTGCCATTGCAGACCAAGTTTTAAAGTTGTCAGGATGTTATATCCAATAGATATTTTCCCATATTTGTTTTTGTTTTTTGTCGCATCCTTCGCGAGCATAACGAGGCTTTAACTGAAATATTCTCCATATATAAACCATAACTATAACATCCAAGAGGATTTCCAAACGTAAGGTAGAATATATTATAATCGAAAACAAAAATCGTACAATTAGTTCTAAAAGGTCAACGTATATTTTTTTTTCTTACGCAACGACGTCAGTATTATCATGTGTTTCATATAACTAATGTACACGGTTGAAACCAATCGTTATTGTTCATACTTATTGCATACAGACTACTGTTTTCATTTGCAATACTGTAATAGTACCAACTAACATAATGAGCGAAGAATTATGCATGAAATGTAAGAAAGGAACACAAAGATTTATACGAAAATCAGCTACATAAATATAGTTAACTGATGCATAACATAGAATACAAATATTATACACATGTTTAATCGCTTGTTACATTAACATATTGACGCAATATCCAAAAAAGAAAAATCCGAAAATGTAATTAAAACTTAAAACTAGGTACATTATACGCTTATGCGCAATACGTCTTTAATGTCACGGATTAATTCTGTCATAGAGATCACATTTTGTTACTTAAGAATGCGCCAAAAATATCGTCTAAATGGTAAGCAGTTTTAAATACATTCAAGAATGATTAATTGTGCACGTCCAACCATCATACCTTTAGCAAATTACTGCTGAGAGATAAGCGATGCAAAAATCAATTTCGCTAGCAAAGCTGCACTCGACCTACAACAAACACAGCCGGGAAGACAAGTATGCAAGGAGCGGACGGTATATATATATATAGTAATACAAGATGGCTGCCGCACATTATGTGTAACCTACCTCAGCTCGAATGTAAACCGACAATGCGAACTCCTCGTCTTCAGGCATCCATCCCTGAGTGAAAAAAAGCCTCGGATTCCAAGAAATGCACCTCACTTCTCCTTCTTGATATTTGCAGTTCACGCTTGTCTTGATATGTTGGCTGTAAATTCCTGAGATTGAGCTCGAAATCAGGGAGCAAGCGAGCTCCGAAGACGCCTCACAGCGCGAGATAATGTTGATGCAAATCGAAGCAGTACAGTCAACGGTGCCCCTCCAATCTCCCCGCGTTTGCGCACCGTGTGTGATTATTTCTCTTCCCTCTTTTTTTTCTCTCGCCTGCATCCGCACCAATATTACCCCCGCGGAGAATGCGCCGTTACCGTCGCTGCATCCCACGCATGGACGATGCAACACTGACTTCGCTAAAGGGAGAGTGTGGGTCAATTTCTTGTCTATGATATGCACGCAGAACGCACCTCATTTTAATAATCATCATCGTTCGTGTTCGGTGCACGTAGGCTAGGCAAGCGGCGCGGCGATTCCGTTCAACGGAAGTGACGATTGGAACGTTCCACTGTGCGGGAAGATGACGAATTGCAATCGATGAAGTCTGATATTTGATGCTTTGTTTATCACAAACGAAGGGTGAATCATTAATTGAGAGTTATGCGATATGTAGAACGCTGATGCAGGAATGGAATAACGATCGGTTTATGACGGCTGTTTCTTAGAGTGGGCCCGATGCATGGGCCCAATGACGAATCTTTTGTTTTTTTCTCTTCAAGATGACAAGAACTAATTTGAGATTAGACTGTTTCTATTCATTGACGCAAGCTATTTGAAACAGGAAATTGGAAATATCAACAACAAAACAAGGAACTAAAATGAAAGGCTCTCTGTAAATTTTAAGAGGAAAAAATGAAAGAGTTGTCAACAACATTTGTCAAGTTTGTTGTTTTTGTCCTTTCTTGGGATTGTTCCAAACTTCCAATGTACGGTTGTTGGTAAGGTGACATTGCAGCGTCATATTTTGTTAAAAACTGATAATAAGAATACTGTAGCGATTTCCAACATTGGAAGTGCATTTTCGAATGACAAGTATAACCTTCAACAGTGGAATTCGTAGTCATTATATAATTTGCTTATATACGAGATTATTGTTCCAAAGGTCTTACCGTGCAACACACAACAATATTCTTGTTTGCATTTTTTTTTCTAACATGTCGGTGCATTTAAGTACACACCTTTGTTAAGTCAACAGCAGAAAGCGCGGTACAAAGCGATTGCATGGCTGGTGCCCTGTAAACTCTGGGCCTGTATCAAATCCGTACACTTCACCCTAATACATAGTGTGTACTTCTCTGTGCAATGGCATGGGGCATGCGCAGAAACTTACAAGGTGTTTGTTTTCACGCGCGACTCATTTTTCACAACACCGCTTAGAAAAAAAATAGGAAACATACTACGTTTGATAACGGAAACGATAGTTAATCTACCAGTGCAGTTGCTTGATTGCTATCAGCAAAACAGCTGTGCCTGAGGGTCGATTTCACATCATAATAATGCATAGTCGTAAGGGTTATTTGTCTGTGTCTGGGAAAACCTACTCGGAATTTTAGAGAAACGCATTTTTAAAATGCAGAATTAGTAGTAAACACCTTGTGCAATATTTCTGGCCGTTGTCTCTAAGATGAAGACAAAATCCAAGCTCAGTGGGAGTCCTCATTGTCCATAGCAACAGACAGCGCCATCAGTTGTCAGACAACAGCCAGGGCATTGTCAATTAGCCCTTCTTAAGTTAAGCATTCTTAATTCTGGGGAATTTAGACAAACAGTTTAGACAGAAAATCTACATCGTGAAACTAAACTATAAACAAGATAACTCAGCTCAATCTGATGAATTCATCTTTAAATTAATCACTCACAATTCAGTACTGCGCATATGGTCTCCCTTGTATCGCCAAGCTTCGCCAATAGAGGGGGCTATTCAACGATCATGCATCCGAACACCGCAACGGCTTCTTTCAAAAGTACATGTACATGTACATGTAGTTGGTTCCTCGCTGCAAGTTCTCCACTCCAGTCACTTGGCAGTTGGACCGCTTGTTGCTGGAACTGTCGTCAAGATTTGCCTCGCCTGTTAGCAGTGCTGCATGTAAGTGGTGAGTAAAAGTATTTGTTTGAGTACATTATTGAGTGATATTTTTTTCCTTAACATCTATGAGGGAATGTACATACAATCGGCACAAACGACAAACCTTTTCCAACACGTTGGATCCTGCGTTCCAAAATCGATTGTTCAGAAAATGTCATGTTTGTTTTACAATAAAGAAGATTTACTCGATTGGAGAGACCTTGCGATCCCCCCCCCAAAAAAAAACCCCAGGTGAAATAACAAACTTATTGTGTAAAAGTAATTGGGCATACCACTCAGATTCAATTGAGCGTGCAGGGAATTCATATTTTGGACCTCAATAGTTTTCAGGGCACTGGACGGGTACAGTATAGCAGGTGGCTGGTTTTAAGCCCGTGTATGTTTCAAAATGCCACCTGCTAATTGCTGCGATACTGAATGATCCTTGTGCTGTAGGCCTAGACCTAGGTATCGCCACTTGCTGTTGATTTTTTTCTTTTATAAGAGATATTAGGCAGATGACACTGCAGTGCTATTGATATGCAGGCATTATTTCAAAATGGTTTTTAGTAATACTCCTTTTTTTCATGGGCGCAATAGTTTGAAGTATCACTGGAACAACTACCTCCATGATTAGAAGTAAGTAGTGTTTACATGTACATGTATGATGGTGGTCGATGTTCAGCCTCGTCACGAAACTCGTACTGATGACGGACCAGCATAATACTATAGCCTAGCACTGTTCTATGATATACGTGCAGCTTGTTTTCTTTTGTCCTGCCCATGTGATAAAAATAGAGGGGCCCCTTGCCAAACATAACAATGCCAAATCAATATTACATACAAAGGACGGTGCCTGGGGTGGCTAATTTATTTGACAAAAAGATTACAGTTTCCTAGGTAGACCCGCTCATTGATTGGAGGAAGCTGAAACTCAAATAGGAGAAACTAAAATGTTTAGGTCGTACATTGCAAAGTAAACCTGAATGATTTAAAATAATTTGAGTGACTCATAATAAATCGAATGTTGATAAGAACTGTATACAAGCAAGCCCGACTAAATCTAGAATCCATCCGATGTAGGTTTATTTTCTCAATTTTCGTTATCATTTTCATTTTCACGCAATTAAAGTGCGCTATGTGAAAACAAAACTGATCGAACAAGGAGACCTAGGTACGAAGGCTGTAAATAAAATTCGTTTTAAGTCATCTCAAACTGATCCTCATAATTTAGTTGTTTTGTTTTGTTTCGTGGAATGCCAAGACATAATTCCAACATGAATGTTTCTTGGGGTGATTACGGTTAAAAATCAATCTGTCAATAATGATATGGCCAGTGAAAAATGCCCACAGGCGGGCCGCGCGAGGGGTCCATCAGCTCAAAGACAAAATGACGTACTTCCAGGCTCTGTTGTGATTAATTCAGTCACACTCATAAGTCTCTAGTCATTGCCAATCAGCATACGCTTGATTCAAATCAGTGATATACATATTTTAATTACTTTCGTATATTTTGCCCAATTCTGAGTCAATTGTTTACCCCCTTTTTGCACACGTTTTTATGTCTTCGTGGTTGTTGCCGCATATCTTTAACTGAAAAGAAACGGTCAAGTCAAGATATGATTTTTCAGTATCTTTTAAAACCTCCAGATGCGACAGCAATTTTTGCCCTAGTTGTTTGTGTACCCATCATTTCGAGCACGCAGCCATAATTGCTCTTGAACTTTGCACTTCACATCAATACGCACATTCAAAATCAGCACTTTAAATAATACATCCTAGCTGCACCCGCCTGTTAAACACACAATTTCCACCCAGCGTGTATTTACATTACCAGTATAAATGTGTTATGACTGCTCGCATATGCCGATCGTGATCAAATCGGAGTAATAAGGCGTAAACTTTGCTTCTGTGATATTTCTGAGCGACTTGCTAAAATAGAACTATTCTGTATTTTCTGTCTGAATTTACTGAATTAAACAAACATGAATGCGAACCTTCCGTTGTCGTGTTTTCGTATAAACTGGCTAGAATTTCAGTCGTTTCATATAAGAACCATAAGAAACAAGACATGTGTTTAATGTATCTTGACTTTTGTGATTTTTAAAAAAATTGTTTACCTTTTTGAATCGCTCATGAAAAACCATCCAACTTTCTGAAGTGCCCACGACGACAAGCACATTTATACTTTTGTACATTGACAGTTATCCGAGTTTCCCACGGAGGCAAAACAGCGACCTTACAGGGACCTGTCGTGAAAGGTTATGTTCCTTCTATTTCTGTTATTATTCTGGCAGACTTGGTCACACAGAGGTTAATACGTAGCTGCAGGGAGTTGGGGTCAACCAGCTTGATGGGTTTGGAAGATTTGTTAGTTTGGCCGATTAGTGAAATGCCCTTCATACTACAATTCAGTCTCTGGTTTCCAGCAATATAGCGCGACGACATTGCCGCTACTTCATTATTTCCGGCTAGAAAATCGCGAACAATATTATTGTGGACTTCAATTTCGATTTGTTTGCTGTTCGTTGTTTGCTTTTTACTGGTTCTATTCCAGAATAACGAGTAAAAGTAAGAACACTCCAAATATTGAGCTGATAATGACTTTTTGTTGCTGAAATGAGTTGGCAGGATTCCAATCTAGTATGCAGTCGGTAAATCCTGCAGTACAATAGTTGAGCAAGGAGATCTGCAATTCCGAGTCACGTAGGCCAACATTACCTTGTTGTGTACTTTCCAAAAGTTGAGCTGTTCATCCCTCACTAACCCTTTGCCTATTCACGTCATTCATTCATCGATACGTGGAGTTCACAGGGTTCTTAAAAGTTAATTCTTCCGTGCCTCGCGTGTGGTGAAAACGCATTCATTGATATTCCACTTCTCGCCCCAATTCTTTCTATCGACAATTGTAAAATTTACCGAGTAAAAGTATGGCGTACGTGGTTTCTAACAAAGATTTATGACTGCGGAATGATAACGAATTGGTAACCGTGGCTCACTCTCACACACCAAGATAAGTTACAACAATTAATGTGTACGATGGGTTTGCATTCATTTACTTTGCTTTGATTTTGCTTTGTGTGTGTTTTGATTGGTGGAATTCCATCATTTGGCTTCAAACTGAAAAAAAAGTGACAAAACCTCCGGTAAATGACATTAAATACATCTGGGAAATGGCAGACATTGATCAACTCAATTTAACAGGTGGTTGAATGCATGGCCGGCATATGACGCGTACGATGGTAGGTTAGTACTTCACGTGATAAAAATAAGGCCCGACCTTTGGGTCCAATAATGGGCGCTCTGAGCATCCGGGTTCAAGGTTGAATTGGAACTACGCTGCTTCAAGCTCGCCCGGCCGGTTTATACGGAAGCGTATTTAAGACATGACTGAAAATATTTTTTAGGCCCACTAAGGCTTCGCCCGGGCGGATTACTATTTCCCCCGGGCGGATTACTATTTCGCCCGGGCGAATTACTATTTCGCCCGGGCGGATTACTATTTCGCCCGGGCGGATTACCATTTCGCCCGGGCGGATTACTATTTCGCCAGGGCGGATTTCGCCCGGGCGGATTACCATTCCGCCCGGGCGGATTACTATTTCGCCCGGGCAGCTACTAATTCGCCAGGGCAGATTACTAACTCTCCCGGCCGGGCAGACTACTTATTCGCCCGGGCGAATTAGTAATCCGTCTGGGCGACATAGTAATTCGCCTGGGCGAAATAGTAATCCGCCCGGGCGAAATAGTAATCCGCCCGGGCGAAATAGAGGGCCGGAACAATTTTTTTGGTCATGTCCTTAATACACTTCCGTAGGTTTAAGTCGGCGTTGAAAGAAGAAACAGTACACGGGTGGCCACAATTCAAACTGCAGTTGGCTTTGTATGGATTGCTCTGCTAGTACATGCACTCGCTCTATTTCCCGGCTGAGTGCAACTAGTGAAACGGTATTTTGCGTATCCCGCACATTACGCGTCCTATTGAAGTCAGTGCGAAGGCTGAGCTTGAAGCCGCTGCACATGTAAGTACGTACAGTTGGATGTTTGCCCCACTTTTCAAATTCACCCTCTTCCGGCTTTATGCTTCGGGTTTAATGGAGATTGATGCATATCATGTGTATGTGCGATACATCGCAACATGTTTCAATATGGTCCAACGGGATACATAACGCACTACTACTGCTCATTGCTGCCGTTACGGAAAATATGTGTGTAAAATGGGGGTCTACCCGATACATTCCCCAAAATGGCTTAGGGTTAGCGTTAGCGTTAGATTGTATAGGGCTTGAGAACATAAGTATTGGGAAGCATAGGTGTTGGGGAACATAGCTATGCACCCTGTAAAATGTTATAGCAGTCCCTAAAAATAATTTCGTCGGCGATAGCCGACAGGGAAATGCGGCTGAAACTTGGAATATCGAGTGTTGGTATCAATAATGGATTAAAGCTTTGTATGAAGAACATGCAAGCTGACTATGAATGTGCATTGTTTTCGAAAGTTTAGTATAATAGGCATGTTTTGGAAACTATAAGACATACGGTCAAACAAGTATAGGTAACGTTTTGGCGATCAAGGTTGAACTTGGGCCATTCGTGAACTAGTTGAACAAGTACGTATAGGCCAAGTATGGATGAGTGATAACAGCACTTTTCAATTACCTGAAATCATGCCATCAACTCATGATGTTTGAACTCTATATCGAGGTATACTGAGGTTAATGATCTGATAAATTGCATAATCAATATTTGTCGGAAACGATAACATTATTTATATTGGAATCTAACTTGTCATGGCTTTTTTTGGTATCATTACTTGATCATAATGCATGCAATATTCGTGCTTCAGAACTTTTCAGTTTAAGAATTTAATTCATATGTTGTCGTCTCACAAAGGTACCCCCCCCCCCGAAAAGACAGAGTTCAGGTTGACTTTGGGTATATTTTTGCTTCTTTGGGAATGAGTGACACCCGTGCAGGGACAGTCCTAAAAGTCACGCAGGGTTCCCATAGCAACTGCCCCCTACACCACATGGGGCTGGCAGTGTTTGTCTTAAAATGGCTGGGAATCCATAAACCTAGTGTTTCCCGTGTAGTTTGACCCGGAGTTGTTCTCCAGTCCGAATACATCATTACATAGAACCTGAACAGGGACCACGACTGGCATAAGCGAAATTCGCGTGTGCTACGGTTTGGGATCAGTTGAAGGATCGATACACCATCTGTGAAGTCGATGACAGGTCCCAGCACCAGTGACCCTTAGTTTTGTTGACCCCTCTCCACCTCGGTCCCATTTGTGCTACCATAAAACCTAATCGCAACGTGAACTGAAATCCCGTGGCCGAGGGAGTGCCGGTTTAAGAGTAGGGTGACGTTATCACGACGAACACATAAGCCATCTTTTTTATGTAAAGTGCAAACACTTGCAAACATTTCTGAGTATTTTACACAATTGACTTGATCGCACAATATTAACAAATGCACACGGCCCAACCTGCATTGTCCACTTAGCGATTGAGAGGTTGAGTTGTTCTTTGTGTGATTTTTCTTTGAAGAAGGCTCATCGAGGTGGTCTGGTGGTCATATTTGTTTTCTGTCTGGTCATATTGAATCATCACCACTCACCAAGTATTCAAATATAACTGTTCCCAGGGTCCGATCCTTAACTTTTTTAAGTGGAAAAAAAAATATGTTGGGTTGTAATGATTCGCAGAAATTTCAGGAACTTTGAAATGACACCAAGCTTCTTCGAGTACCCCGCTCACATCATTCCTTGGGAGACCGATGTTACACCCGGTCCGGCCCTTCCCCGTGGAATTCACTGCCAATCAACCTGAAAAAGGAGTCTTCCCACCTCGCATTCAAGAATAAACTAAAAATCTCTTTCAATAATGATGTATCCCCTTGGTTATTATTATTTTTTTTTTTTTATAGTTTTTAACTCAGGTGACAGCAAAGTAAGAGGGGTATTTTTCTGCGCCAGGAGTGTCACGATGTGACAGACATGACGCATTACAAGTCTCCTTTATTGTTATTATTAATATTATTATTATTTTTATTATTATTAACTTGATAGTTATTTAGTTTGATAACATTTATCCTGTAGACAAACATAACACGCTGTCCGAAACGTCGAGCTTATCGGTTCTGCGCGGCTGTTTTTCTGTCACCTGCACAAAATGTCAGTTCAGCTGTACTGTCCAGTAGTCCTAATCCTAGTGTGAGAATCGATATCGCGCTGGCCAAGCTGTTCGATCTGAAAATGTAGGCTCAGATGACCAATATTATCAATGCGCCAGAAGAATTCGATGATCGAGAAGCGGAAAATCTATGTGAGAAATGTGCCACTTGTTGTCAGGGGTCGACTCGGAGTTTTATTGAGGTCAAATCATCCCACTGCCCAGTTTGCTTGTATGCACAGACATAATTTAGGCACTCGGTAAAAGTGTGCTCGTGGGCATTGTTTGGCACCTGTTTGAAATTCCAGTCCGAGGTCAATGTTAAGACGTTCTATTCAGCTTTCCTGGCCACGTTCACACGAAGACTTAACAAGGATAAGCAAGGCAATATGCCTTTGGGTTTTTGTTCATGGCCTAATAAAAGTCTCCCATTTTTTTTAGCCAATGAAGCAAGCCTCCGTGAGTGCACAACGATAGTATGCTCAGATTGATCTTTAGATTTTTTTTTTACTCTTTTAAGAATGTAAATGTGTTCATTCTGCATACTGAACAAGAACACACGAATTCCCTTTTTGCATTAATAAATGAAGTGCCCTCCGTTCTTGAAATATAGCTCCGCAACACACTTAGAAATGGTTTCACTAATTCTCAGTTTGCAGGGATAATGATCATATCAAACACCCCTGGAGCACGGTTTGAGAAGGAAGACATACGGGTTCTGCTATATGGGTATAAACGTTACACCCTCTCTTTTTGCTGATTCGCTGGGTTAAATGTTTGTTCAATTTCAAAATTACACCAAGTATTAGAGGAGTAACGGGTATACACCGCGATACGGAACAATGACAATTCACTATGCACTAACTTTTCCTTATTTAGTTAAAGGTTGCTTACAGTAAGTACACTGTGTGCGATATTTTGTATCTTCCTGCAGATTCATCAATCTATATCGCGCCATCCGCGTCACCTTTCACCGTTTGGTACGCCATATTGTGTCCAGCATCAGCAGTTACAATATGGCTAAGGTGAACACCACTTTTCAGACAGCAGACTACCTGGTCTGCGCAAGCACCCTGCTGGTGGCATGTGGGATAGGGGTCTTCCACGCCTGCACGGGCGGCAGGCAGCGAACCTCGGCCGAGTTCCTGCTAGCCGACCGCAACATGAGCCCCTTCCCCGTGGCCGTCTCACTAGTGGCTAGCTTCATCTCTGCCATCACCTTCCTCGGCACACCTGCTGAGAACTACACCCAGGGATGCATGTATTGGCTCTACGCCATCAGCTACATCTTCGTCGGGCTCTGGACATCTCGCTGCTTCATCCCTATCTTCTATCGTCTTCACGTGACCAGCGCCTTTGAGGTAAGTTGATTGTAATTGTATCTTTAATTATTTTGCGTTATGTTTGTGTTCCTATAGCAAACCGGTCCTCACTTTATTCGTACTGCAACTCGTTTGAGCACCCAATAAGACTGAGACTAAATTCCAAGCACGTTTTGAGATGCCGTTCTCAGACATTATTAACAGAGTTCTATTGTCTAGGAAACAGTTTCCCTGTTTCTTTGAAAATGAGTGAAAAAAGAGGAAATTATGAACATGAATGAGGTGCAGCTTGAGACGCGTATGATCATTGTTACTGCCCGCAAGCACATGAAGCACGGAGAGGTCTCGCTGGAAAACACTGTACTTCCCTTGCCTATGGAACTCCATGCCCTACCCAACCCAACTGTTAGACTCCCTGGAGTTTACAGGTGCGACAATACAAGCGAGACCAAGCAAACAACCCCCCAAACCTGAAAGGAATGAAAGGAATGACTTGAAGGTTCACGAACAGAAATACTTTCAGGTTGAACAGAGAATTGCTCCAATCGTGTTTTCATTCAGGTGAATATTTAATGTTTTACTTTCAACAAAGCCTCAACGAAGCCTCTGAAAAAAAATTCAACTTTGAACATCCATTGTGTGGTGTGTGAAAACAGCAGCAAACTACAATATGTCGTGTAATGGTATATCAATGATGAGGAAAACAGCTCCTTTATTAGCAAGAAAAGTGCAAATAGGCACACGTCATTATCCTCCCCAAGGGCTATGGTTACAATGCCGGATTTCTTGGAAGCAAAGCTGAGGCGGATACTCATTCTTGCTCAAGAAGTTCACGGCTGGTCAAGGCTAAACTTGTTGTCTTGGATGTCTGTCAGTACATTTAAATTGGAAGTTGTATTTCCGTTCAGTTAACAAGACATGTATGCCCCCTCAAACTAAAATAGTTTGCAGTGAGTAAGGAGGGAAAACAAATCTTCAAATTTAATGTTTTGGGGAAAATAATTCCTTAGATGGCTCGTGAATATCCCTAGTTCTGGAAAATGTAACCTGTAAAAATGGTGATGAAATGCACGAAATAGTGAAATGGCCCTAATAAATACTATGGTGGCAAGGGCGGATCCAGAACACAATTTTTTGGGGGGCAAAAACAAATTTTGGTCCCCCCAAAAAGTGGGTCAACAAAAATTACGGCGTGGGGTTGGGGCCCGCTTAAGGGCCCCGAAAATTTGTTGGATTCTAGATGCTCTGTGGTGCGATCTGAGGCAATTTCTGACCACTTTGACCAATGTTTTTTTGAGGAAAAGATGGTGGTGTACTCATTGCATGCCTTTATTGCGATGTCACATTAAAAAAAATCCTGGATCCGCCCTTGGGTGGCCACATGAGAAGGCATAGCGGATGTAAGTGTTAAAGGTCATTACCTTGAGCATTTCCAATGCAGAGTACAATCATCGTCAATTCCAACTAAAAAACAAGTTTATTTTATTTTATTTATTTGTGGCATTTCTTTCAGGGTATTCCCAAACAGTTTAAACTGGTTTCCATTGGGGCCCCGCATACAAAACAAATAACTACACACATGTACAAATGTAATACACAACAAATACAATAAAAGCGCTCTTCACAATTACAATAACGCTAGGAACTGCCAGCAAAATAATGAAATGAAACCTGTGATAGTAATTCACTGAATACCCTTGAGCTGTAGAATACTTTAGTGTTCCTGGAAGTGTTAGTCACTTATTTCTTTTCTTGTTTATGAGCATTTTGTAGCCCTGACCCACGTCTTGGTTAGTTCCATGGAATGAACGTGGGCAACAGCGTCAGTCAAATCAAGTAGGAATGAAAACCTACCGAAGTTAATAAAAGAGGCCATGGCGGTTTTGAAATATCTAGAAAGTGTTATTAATCACGCAAACTGACATGATAACCGTTCATCTCCCCACAAGGTCCGTGTGGTAACGCCCCCACATTGAAATTCAAGACACGTCGGTAAAAACGTCTTTTCCATCAAATCAACATCGTATGTTGACTGGTCAAATTCACCAACAATTCACGTGACTGTATTCCCTGCTCCAATTACTAAAAAAAAAGAAGCTGCGGGAGGACCTACTCCGAATCTAATCTCCATGTAGCAAACGCCCTCCTGAAAGTTATCGATGGTAAAGTATGGAGTGAAGGTGGTTCAGAACACTAGTGAATGCTGCGTTAGTCAATGTTGAACAGCTCTCACCGACAGCGGGCGCCGGTCAGTGCAGCTGCTTTCTTCCAACCGTACGTTCAAGTTGAACGTCAACAACCTGCTTTTGACTAAGTGTTAGTCAGTACCTTGAGCTTTTCTTCGTCAGTCAGTCAGCCACTCAACGCTGAGTTCAGCATGGAGACTTGATCTGATAGTTATAGGGCCTGTTATCAAGCAGACTTTACCAGACTCGTTCAGGGTGTTGTACCGTCGGTAACGAATCTCATGCTGTTGCTGCTCAGTCTTTGAATAAGAAACCACCTGCAGCAGGAGAAGAAGAAGAAGCTTGTAAACGTCTGCCATTATGGCGTCCAAACTGGAGCTGCGTGTCTTCAGCGGCGTCGATTACACCGTCTTCGCTTGCGTCTTGCTGATCTCCTGTGGCATCGGTATCTACCACGCCCTGTCAGGTGGCCGACAGAAGACAAGCGGAGAGTTCCTCCTAGCCAACCGGAACATGAACCCCGTCCCTGTCGCTGTATCCTTGGTGGCTAGTTTCATCTCCGCCATCACTTTTCTTGGCACCCCGGCTGAGAATTACCTCAATGGCTGCATGTTCTGGCTCTACGGTTTCGCTTACTCCATAACAGGTGTGATCACTTCCAGGACCTTCATTCCGCTTTTCTTTCGGCTCAATATTACCAGCGCCTTTGAGGTAAGAAATACCGGCTTTGAAACTGACCAAGCAATAACGCTAGCTCCAATTAAGTCAACAACAAACAAGTGAAGCTATCACAATCCCAATCGTGAAACAAACCAATCAAATCACCAACAACTTCACTTACTATCCCTCTGTTGTCTGTCCTGCAAAATATCGGGAAAGCGTTGCCTCACTTCCCCCTTCGCCCGCCAACCAACCTGTCCACTTGACTTTACTTGACTTAATTTCCATCCGAGATAGGTACATATACAATAATTAGCCACTTTATTATTATTTTTATACAAGACCATGACATAACAAACTAATTTCGTGATGTTAATAAATTATAGAGCAGGGATAGAGGGCACCCGCAAGAAGCAATGCTTGTCGAGTGCGAGTCCCCTGTAAAACATTAACAAGGAACAAAATGATAAGAAAATACATGACAAAGACAAGACAAACATAAAATGACTGAGAAATTGGTGAACTAAGGGTGAAATTAAGTGTACATTAAACGCAAATGCTAGGTTAAAAAATATATATATAACCAACCATCCACAACATTTCGTTAAAATGATTGATGAGTACGATCTACAACAATGAATTGCTATGAATCATAAATATTTCAAGAGAATCAAAAAGATATTTCTTTTGTAAGCTATAGTGACAAGTAAATTCATGAGCAAGAGTACTTATTGAAAAAAACATTACACCAACATTATACAATTTTTTAGCCTCATATTCAAATGGATATATGTGTATCTTAAGAAAACCCCAATGTTTTGCCACTTTTTAAGAGATAGATGTTTTGATTTATATTTTAAACAGTATCATCTGTATTTTACTGTAATGCACCGGTGTCCGTCATGGCACAAATGAATGGGGACCGTTTAGTCCCCTATTGAAGATTGAGGTTTAGCCCCGTTAACCTGGCAGTACGACGCTGAACCTTTGCCAACTTAGTGATGAGAATATCTGTATATCACATGGATCCCATACTGTTCCACCATATTCCAAGATTGGCCTGACAAGTGATTTGTATGCTTATTTTTTGACCTTAGAGTTCATATTAGGCCTGTTAAAATCGTTGCTTGCCTTGGCATTGATGTTATCCACATGTTTATTCCATCTGAAGTCGCTGGTGATTGTAACACCAAGAAAATTGTTCGTTCAATGTCAGAGTCGTTCAATTCTTGGTTACAGTCTGTAGAAACCTAGAAATGAATACAAATTGAAAGGCATCGCGCCAACAATGATGTATTTTTGGTCGATCTCTGGCCTCTATTCATGTCAGCCAATGCATAACATTACTAGTACGCTTTTTAGCACAAAGATCAATGGCAGTACTTTTCATCAGAACACAAACCCTTGCAAAAAAGTAGCTTAAAAGCTAGGCTCGCTTCAAGTCGCGTGTATTAAGTGCTCAACTCGTACTGGGTTGAGAACTGATCTCTTTTTGACATGCAAGGCGCTACAGACCATGGCATTTTGTTCTGCATGCCGTATTGCAAAAAAAATAAAATAAAGAAGGATCAAGGTTTCACTTGTAAAACAATATGAACCATTTCAATATCTGAAATGATTCAAGAAGCCAAAATACAGTCTCGCTTTCGAACAAGCCTGAAAGGACCCTTGGTGGTTCTTTCCATAGATACCAGAAATGAAACTGACATTGCTGTGAGACACTTAAAGCAAAACTGATTCATATGTGAACCTCGTCAAAGGTACAGCACAGTTAAGGTTTAAGAGCAGCATAAGTCAAGCTGAGCTCCCGACGGAGCACACAACATTCGGCAAAAGTTCAGGAGATCAACACATTTTCAATATTTGGAGAAACGATCCACTGCAGACCTACAATCATAGAATATTGCCATTGTACCTGTGCGATGTATTGCCCTTTGTAATGAATCGAGTGTGAATAGAGTCTGATGTTCTTTCAGGCACAGCAAACGAATATCTGCATGGTGCATGCCGTCAGTTTTTGAGGCAAATCATGTCACGTCTGTGCGATCGTGTGACTCGATAAAAAAAGTTGTCTTTCCTGTCCTTTTACTTGCACGAATCCAGAGCACATGCGCACTGGCATGCTGCTTGATAGGAGCGATAAACCAATTTAATTTATGTGATTCTGACTAACCTATGTTTCAACTCTGATCTCTTGAACCCAGCTCACCTACACGACCCTTCACCGGTTGGAATATCAAGTTTTGTTTATTAAGACTGTTTGAAAACAGAGTTCTTTGATTACATCTGATAGTGACTGTTGATCTAGTGGAGAATATTAGTGGAAGCTACATTTTTTTAATAAGGTTTGTCCACGACTGTAATATAGACCTTTGTCATGCTGCCACCATTTCAGTCGTGTTCCCTGTGTCCGGTGACGGTGCTGAGTTCATGTTTTTTTGTGCATAGGGGAACCGGTCTGTTTTTCCTTCCGGCCTCGTTTTTGGTTGTGTTGATTTGGGTTGGATGAAGTCAGGGTGGCCGCAACATGATTTTGGTCTTTGGGGCTCTGTTTTTTTTTTTTTTTTTATCCATGTAATTTTATTCCTGTATTTTTAAAAATGTATCTAATTTTTTTTTATTGTGGGGCGCCCTCCTCTCGTGAAATTTAGAACTTTTTATATATATACAATCCAAGCAGTAATACATGAATTTATATATATATATATATATTTTTAAAATATTTTTTTTATGCGTCTAATGACTGGATGCTGTTTTAAAATTGTCCTATATCAATGTTTTTTTTGTCTATTTATGTATATGTGAGTATATTTGTTACTGCATGTTTGTATTTTATCTGTTGTCTGGAGATCCCTTTAAATAGTGATTTGTTTGCTTTTGGGAAATCCTCGGGCCCGTTTTTTAAAAATATTTTTATCTTGTTTGCCCGACAATATGTTAATAAATAAAAATAAATAAATAAATGGGAGAACACATGGAACTACTTTTTTCTCAAGGAGAGTTTATGTGACGTCACAAAGAACTCACAGCGAATCAAATTCGCCGAAGTAGGATCTTGTGAGGACCTTCGCGGTCCGTCGTTCACTGACTTATTGCAAATCCGTCTTCTAAGTTATATATCTTTTATCACAGACGACTCGTCACATGCCTTGGTGTGCAATTGACATGAAAACTTCAATGATGTGAAGAGGACTTCACGCGAGTTCATTGTTAGGCGAGTGCTTTGCGACAAGGCTGTTTGGTATGAGAATCCTAATTGCCACCACCCTTAATTTCTTCACTAGTCAAAGACATTTCTAGAGAAAAGTTAGGAAACCACTTCCGTAAAAGAATTCGGTGTGGGGGGAGGGGGGACAAAAAAATTACGGTCCCCCAAAAAGTGGGTCAAAAAATTACGGCGTGAGGTTCGGGGCCCGCTTAAGGGGCCCCTGAGCTGCTGACTGTTGATAATACGCGTGGGGACAACTTGGTTTATAGAACACCAGTATTGACTAGATGGCGGTCGGCCTGGAGCAACGATTCTTTGGTTTAGCGGACTATGCCGTCTTCATCAGCACTTTGCTCATCTCGGCAGGCATCGGAGTCTACCACGCACTGACCGGCGGCAAGCAGCGAACCTCGGCCGAGTTCCTGCTAGCCGACCGCATGATGAGACCCTTCCCTGTGGCCGTCTCGCTGATAGCTAGCTTCATCTCCGCCATCACATTCCTCGATACACCTGCCGAGATCTACATCAACGGCTGCATGTTTGCTATGACCGTGCTTGCCTTTATTATCGCTGGGTTCGTCGCGTGGAGGTTTGTCTTGCCCGTCATCTTTCGGTTGCGGATCACAAGTGTGTTGAGGTACTATTGATTCGCAGCAGGATTGAAATTGTACTGGTCAGTCGTCGAGTATCCCATTTTCACTAATAATGACCGATGAAGAATGACCGACCAAATCAAATGAAGACCGAACATCGGGGATGTAGTCCGAACATCGGGGATGTAGTCCGAACATCGGGGATGTAGTCCGAACATCGGGGATGTAGTCCGAACATCGGGGATGTAGTCCGAACATCGGGGATGTAGTCCGAACATCGGGGATGTAGTCCGAACATCGGAGCCTCCCAATACTCTTCATGAGAGTCCAAAAATGGTCTATCTTAGCACATCTCTCCATGGTCTCCACAATCTTTTCAAACAGTCGGACATGTCTTGTCTTAGGCTTCAAATTGAAGTCACTTGGCTTCACTCTCAGGTACAAAACTTGGCTGGTGAAATACTGAGGACCTTATCTTTGCCTAAGGAACATTTTGGAGAATGTTGCCCACAAACCGTCTGGGTTCGTCGCTGGGTTCGTCGCGTGGAGGTTTGTCTTGCCCGTCATCTTTCGGTTGCGGATCACAAGTGTGTTGAGGTACTATTGATTCGCAGCGGGATTGAAATTGTACTGGTCAGTCGTCGAGTATCCCATTTTCACTAATAATGACCGATGAAGAATGACTGACCAAATCAAATGAAGACCGAACATCGGGGATGTAGTCCGAACATCGGGGATGTAGTCCGAACATCGGGGATGTAGTCCGAACATCGGGGATGTAGTCCGAACATCGGGGATGTAGTCCGAACATCGGAGCCTCCCAATACTCTTCATGAGAGTCCAAAAATGGTCTATCTTAGCACATCTCTCCATGGTCTCCACAATCTTTTCAAACAGTCGGACATGTCTTGTCTTAGGCTTCAAATTGAAGTCACTTGGCTTCACTCTCAGGTACAAAACTTGGCTGGTGAAATACTGAGGACCTTATCTTTGCCTAAGGAACATTTTGGAGAATGTTGCCCACAAACCGTCCTGTTAAGTATCGTAACCGCGATTCCATGGACGTCATTTTGCAGAGAATTTAACATGCACGGTTTTTGTTTGTTTCAGTACTTGGAGCTTCGCTTCAACAAGGTCCTGCGAATTTGCGGCATGCTGACGTTTTTCCTTCAAATGGTAAGTTTTATTTCCGCAAGACGGAGAGAGTTGCTACAACTGACCCTCCTTCAGGGACGTAAGGGATCATTCAAGAAACCACGCCCCTCAAGCTTCGCGATGAAAAGAGAATGCCCAGAGAGCACTTTTCATATACAGTTGAAAACAAGCTTACGTTTGGTGCGGTAAATACAGTGACTGTCTTACTTATAGCTACAAGGGAAAACTTCAATATAAAATGCTATGGTCCAGTGCAGTGGTTATGGTGTTTGACTCGCGTATGTACGACGACGGTGGCTTTAAAACCAGAAAATATGGTGTTTTTGCTCTTGGGCAAAACACTACAATTGCAATGCCGCTGGAACAAGCTTTTGTCAGGGGGTGCTGGAATTTAGGACGGACAAAATTAATACGAAAGCAGAGCGCAAAGCCCTTACGTTGTGGCTCAATTCTTGAATATGGATGTTCTGTGGTGCAATCTGAGGCAATTCCTGGCCACTTTCATTGGACTATTTTAGCAAAAGTTTTTGAGATTATAAAGACAATGTATTTTATTATTTTGTTTAGAATATACTGTTGCTCTTAAAATGTTTAACTGTACTGAAAAGTGGAGAACCCTGTATTTTTATCTCCATTTTTGGTTCCATTTAATTCTCGAAAAAGAATTGTATCATTACGCATGACATCGCATGTAAATATTATTGTTGCAAGGCTGCTTTCTTGCATTTAGTAAATTCCGTCGTGTATGTTTTGTTTTATTTTCCGATCCCTTACGGCGTGGGGCCACAGGGCCAGGGGCCCGCTTTAAGGCCCCGGCAAATGTTGGATTCTTGATGCACTGTGATGAAATATACTGGTAGTATACTGAAAATTATAAAACCCGAAAGGATGGGGTTTTTTTTGGTTTAAGTTAAAACAGATGGTTCCACTGGAAGCGGATGAATTTCCGTTCATAAAAATATTCACATAGTTCTAACTCACCAAACGATGTAGCTCTCGATATATTTGCAGTATTATTTGTTTGTTACAGGGAATGGCAAATATAAAAGACTAAAAGACCAAATGTATCTTTATGTTTATGATCGATACATGGCAAGTCTGGGACTAGGCAATAATTTATGGGTCTACAGAGTTTTATGAGGAAAATCTTGCAGAGGGTAAAACATGAATATTTTTTTTCTATTAAAACGAAACTACATTGGAATTGGCGTAAAGCATGACTGGTTTCAATTAACCTTGCCATTCGTAAATGTTGAGTACAGAATGCTTGCAACGTCAATGAAACTTTTAAAGGAAAAGAAAAACCTTCAGGGAAAGGTATGAACAGTTGCCCTATTGAAAGATCGAATGAAAAAATCGTGTCAAGCATAATCAACTTTTCCACCATCGTCATGGCCGAGGTTATTGTTTTCGGGTCAAAGCTTCCATAATGGCGGAAATATTATAGACGTGTCATGATTTTAGATACCTTGAGAAAAATATGGATTCTGCACTGTCTGAAGATTTAGAAAATACCTCCTCGTGATATTTTACAGTGTTTGTGCTAGACTTTCGAAGCGCCGCGCTCAGCCGCTGGAACACATTTTTTGCCCGGGAGTAGGGGGTGCTGAAGCATATTCCAGCACCCCAATCCAAATAGTTGGGGGTGCTGCAGGGGGCTTGCATTGTACCTAGCCTCTCTCCAGTCTCCACCCAAACCCCTATGAGGGTCGAGGACTAAATGTGCGCTGATATCGGCTGCCGCGTGGTCCCATGTCCTGATGAACGGGGTAATAATTGTAAAGCGCTTTGAGATTGTTGATTCGATGGAAAGCGCTATGTAAGCATAATACAATTTATTTATTTTAGTTGTTTATCTACATGAAAGATCACAATCTTTTGCTTCGTGCAGATCATCTACATGGGTATAGTGATCTACGCTCCAGCACTTGCCCTCAGTGCAGGTAATTGAGCTACATTTTAATTTGTACTATTTCAGTGCCATGTATGTCTAATGTCCATGAGCATGATATTTTACAGCAATAGTGATTTATTATTGGAATACGTAAGGGAAGCTTAGCACAAGAGATTGCGCACTTAATGTGAATAAAAGAGTGACAATTATTATTTTGTTATCTGTTTGTATTAAGCCACTACGGTGGCTGCGATCGACCATTAATTTCTATTAATTTTCATTCTGTCTCAGTCACCGGCCTTCACCTTTGGGGTTCTGTCGTAGCCATCGGACTTGTGTGCACCTTTTACACAACAATTGTAAGTCCAGTCTTACTAATCGTTTAATCTTCATTCCACACAATTTGCGGATCTTGGTGTAGCTCCAAGATTTGAACACAACATATGGGGATCATTGTAAGTGGGAATACTGGCACTCATAAGTCTCAATGCGATACCAAGATACATTTTGTTAACGTCACTGGTCTGGCGCCCTGTCTACGTTGATCACTTCAGGGTGGGATGAAGGCGGTGCTGTGGACCGATGTCTTCCAGGTCACCATCATGATCAGCGGCTTCTTGGCTCTCATCATCGCAGGGAGCATGCGCATGGGAGGCATCGGCAAAGTCTGGGAAGTGGCAGAGGCCGGCGGTCGAATTGACTTCTTTAAGTGAGTTTGATTGGATTGAATTTGAGGTTATGTAATATGAGTGATTGTTCTGTGAAAAATAAGAGGTGTTCACTCGTCACTTCTGTTACTTTGGTTGGAAAGTTATTATGTTCTGAAAGTCATGAAGATCAATTAGAAGAGCATGTTGACGACGGCCAGAACGCACAGTCCGAAACGTCGACTTTACATCACTGGTTCTTTTTGAAACTAGCTCTTTTTTATAGAGATGATCACATCACATGGTCTTTTCATGGGGTTGCCTCCCCCCCCCCGGAAAAGCCCCCCCCCCCCCCAAAAAAAAGGAAGAAAAAAAAGAGAGATAAAAAGATCCGGTCCATGTTCATATTACTGCAAATTTAATGGGTGGGGGGACAAAATATGCCTGCCCCCCTCTAAAAATGATAAATCGAGAATATGTTGGGAAGTACAAGAATATTTGGGGGAAAATATGTTTTGCCCCCTCTGGAAAAAAATCCTGGCGACGCGCATTGGTCTTTTAATTAAACCTGGTTTGGGAAATCCAAGCACTACTTTCTGTCACATGAAAATAGAGAATTAGGTATTTGAACTGGGAGTTGTAATTTTAATTTTTTGAAGGCGGAGCGAATAAATGAAATTGAGGGATATGGCTTTATAGCCATTCAAGTGTAACGTTGCACCATAAAGAATGTGGGCGAATTGCCACTGTCCATGACAAAGTGGTGATCCTGAAACCTGAATTATCTTGTTGCCGTGGTCTTTAGAGTCCAATAATTAATTAAACAAGGAACAAAGTGCGATTGAAACGGAAGAAAGGAGAGTTGTTTTATATAGGGATGTGGGAATGCTGCCATGTGTGTCAATACATTCATGTGAAAGTCCACTTAATAGATGATGTATTTAGCCCTAAGCTAAACCACGTAAAAGTAACACTATCTACACATATCTACTGAACTGCATTTTGTATTTTATAATGGATAATGAGGTCTATACATCGTTGGTATTACATTATTCCATCTGGGTTATCATTCGGAGAAAACTAGTTTTTTTCTCAAAAAGAAACAAAGAAAAAGCAACCGAGAAACTTGGTTTATTTAACATTTCTGCTCTCGACCTTGTTCAATATCCAAATCGAATGCACCCCTTTTCTGACACCATTTCAATCACATTGATCGATGCTGATTTTGTGATTGCATTGGTTCTAGCTTCGACCCGGACCCAACCGTTCGCCATACATTCTGGTCGGTGGTTATCGGCGGCACTTTCACCTGGTCTGCCGTCTACTGTGTAAACCAGGCGCAGGTGCAACGCTACCTGACCTGTGGCAGGGAACCAGTGGCCCAGTTGTGAGTATCTAATTTCTCAGAGAAGGTAAAAAGAGGTGTTGAAATGGATTAGATCGGTAAAATTGAGAAAACAAATGTTGCACTCGAAAGAAGTGAAATACTGTTTTGGCTGCGTTTTGTAAGGGCCAACGATGTGGCAGTGGCAGCATCTGCAATTTAATCATACAAGATAATACACCTGTCTTAGCTCTTGAATAACATTTGCATCATTTTGCACCGACTGTGGTGTAAGAGTTTGTTTCAATTGAAATTTTCATTAATGGTAGAGTTGAAAGCTCATCTTTAAATAACTAATTTTGAGCTTAAATAAGGTGTAAATGTTTCTGAGAGCCTACGTATGGAGTGCACTCTAATAATTCACTGCAAAATTGTTCACATGATCGAAACGAATTTAATGAAAGTGATATACTTTGATCTATCTAGTGCTTTGTTCCTTGCCGTGGTGGGCATGGTGATTGTGGTCTCTCTGGCTTGCTTGGCTGGCCTCGTGATGTACGCCAATTATGCCGGATGCGACCCCTTCACGCTGGGATACGTGGATTCTAGCGATCAGGTATCAAGCTTGAATGTTGTACTTGTATGTGGTATAGAGCTTCAATGATTAACGTCTTATACTAACCTGTTGAGATGAACCATTAAATTAATAACAGCACCTGTACTTGACTGGACATCTGCACTCATGTTATAAGGACAGGCAACGACCGTCCAGCCTTGAGATTTCATTGGCTATTCACTGCGTGACAAGTTTGCTTTTCCGTATTCTGATTGGCTAACCTGACAAGTGTGCGCAGTCACCTCATGCCATTGTGTGCATTGTACTTGTTTTATGTTGCAGCTTGTCCCATATTTCCTGATGGACCTATTCCACGAGAGCCCAGGACTGCCTGGCCTGCTAGTATCGGCTGTCTTCAGTGCTGCGCTGAGGTAAGAGGTTATTACAAAAACCACAGACGTAAGGCACATTGTAATACGAATTTAGTAATAATTCAAAAACCTCAACCGACAATATTGAAGTGTTTTTAATTAATTTGTACCAGTAGGCTTATTTGATATTTTTCTTGTCTGGCGGCTTTCTTCGTGAATGGGTGTGATTTTTTTTAATGTTTATTTTTTAAATTTATTATTTAATTTCATGTTTAATATACATGTATGTATTATTTTCTTTTCACACAGCACCGTGTCGTCCGGTTTGAACTCGCTGGCCGCTGTGACTGGAGAGGACATTGTCAAGACCATCTCGCCTGATATTGAGGAGGAGAAGTATACTAAAATTACCAAGGCCTTGGGTATGTACTTCTCATCGTTGACTTGTGTAATCAGAGTCAATCACAAGTCATCTCAATGCATCACAAGTCAATCACAACTGAAATAACGAGTCAATCACAAGTCAATCACAAGTTAGTCACAAGGCAATCACAAGGCAATCACAAGTGAATCACAAGTCAATCACAAGGCAATCACAAGTCAGTCACAAGGCAATCACAAGGCAATTACAAGGCAATTACAAGGCAATCACAAGGCAATTACAAGGCAATTACAAGGCAATCACAAGTCAATCACAAGGCAATTACAAGGCAATCACAAGGCAACTACAAGGCAATCACAAGGCAATCACAAGGCAATTACAAGCCCATTACAAGGCAATGACAAGTCAATCACCAGTCAAATCACAAGTCATCACAAGTCAAGTCACCAGTCATCACAAGTCAAGTCACCAGTCAAATAACAAGTCATTTCAAGTCAATCACAAGGCAATTACAAGTCAATAACTCTTCAATCACTAGTGAAATACCGAGTACATGACAAATCAGTCACGACTCAATCACAAGTCAGTAAATAACTTCAAGTCCATAATTGTGTACAAGTATTTATTGACAATGTTCTGTATAATCCCTTTATTTTTGTGCAGCTGCTGGATACGGGATACTATGTATTGGCATGGCATTCGTTGCATCTCTGCTAGGAGATGTGCTGCAGGTAGGCACATAGTGTGACAACGATAATTTGGTGGCAACGCTTTTGTCCTGATTAGACAATTATGAGACGATGATCCGATTCCAAGAATGTACTGTTTTCATTTTCCACCATTCATTTTCTTAGGCTGCCCTGAGTATCTTTGGCATGATTGGTGGCCCCCTTCTTGGTCTCTTCAGCTTGGGGATATTTTTCCCATGGGCCAACTCAAAGGTAGGAATGTTCTTTAAAAGATAGAAGAGCTAGTTTTCAAGAATCAGTCACTATTTTTGCCATATGCATGTGAACGTTTGCTGTATGAAAAAAACCTCGTAAATTCTCGATGTGAGCACTTAACCGGCACATTATTTAATTTGTCGTATTTTTTTTTATTGTTTCCGTGGGTACGTAAGGGCGCATTGACTGGACTCATCTGTGGCCTAGTCTTCTCCTTCTGGATCGGAATTGGAGCCCAGTTCTACCCACCCCCCAACCCAAACAAACCGCTCCTGTCTATCGACAATTGTCCGAACGTCACCGAGGCGTCTTTGAACGCGACCTTCTACATGACCACTGAGCTGCCTTACACAATGGCTAAGGAACCTGAAAGGTACAAAAGTCGATTTTACGCCCCCCCCCCCTCTAAAAAAACGTTCATGGCCTTATAAATAATGCATCTTCCCTCCCCACTTAATGTTTGCATGTGAGATCTAGCTATAGCTAGACATTGTGTCATGGTTGCTGTTTTGGTTAATTTCTGGTAATTGTGGCAAACTTTACGGATCCACTTATTATGTGTGAAAGTCGTTTTACAGGAACAGTTCTGAGAGTTAACACCTATTTGTTTTTCTGTTCAGAACTGTTTTTTATACAGATAGTTACTTCACTGTTTGCAAAACTCGTCCCAATATTCTGTGCAATGCTGGGCCTTGCAATGACTTGAATGTCTGGTACACGTAATATTTACTGTCACGATATTTAACTCTTCTTCTTGTCTTATATTCATGGGTTCCAACTGTTCCTCATGTTGTAATATTGAGTGTGTCTGATTGGTTCCTGTTAAGTCAATATTATTTGGTTCACAGGCCGCACGTAGCTCAACTGTATGCCGTGTCCTACGCCTGGTACAGCGCCATCGCTTGGCTGACGGTGATCGGTACTGGACTAATTGCCAGTTTTGCCACAGGTGGGTGCATTTTGTTTAAGAAGATTCTCTTCAAGATATCACGAAAAGCCTGCGATGAATTGATCACATCATTGCACCAGTTCTATAAAAATCTTATTTTTTGTCTTTTATCATGTTGGGATATAGGCCTATAGGTTTAATTTGATACTATTTTTTCTATTTAAGGCAAAGAATTTATTTATTTAGAAGTGGCATCTTTTGATAAGCTTTTTCAGGGTACCTGGATAAATCTTGTTCTTGCGAACTGAAAAGAGACTCTTTCCCATTTGACTAGAATAAAGAAGTGTATCCACAAATGTAGTTACCAACAATGCGCTTACTGTAAACTTTCATTGCAAAACAAGTTTCGAAGAACAGGAAGAACAACTTCAACCTTTCAGTCGATATTTGAAACAGAGAAACGTTTTTGAGTGTTAATATTTTAATATTTTTGATTTTATTTAATTTTATTTTTAACTGTTTTTTTCAGGCTACACCGAGCCGTCGGAGGTTGACCCCCGCTTGCTGTGTCCGGTGGTCGACGCCATGTATTGCTGCCTCCCGGAAAAGTGGAAGGGACCATTACGTTGTGGGGCAAAGAAGTATGAACCAGGGGATGACCAGGTAGCATTATGTAATCATATTGGTTCAACTTCTTTTAGTTTGAAAGTTTTGAGATAAAAAGAAGTGGAATGCATGGTATTTTGAGTTCACATGCGTCATATCAACATTAGAATCATCACGCTTTGTTCACGTTTTCAAAGTATCATGGAACTTGAGCTTAGAAAAAGCATTACTTCAGCTTTTTAGCTGTCTGCAGGCATGGTTCGTGACCATCATCTCATATTTCTGGCTTTATTCCACCATCAAACATCAAAGTCACATTGCTGCAAAAGCAGTCGATTGTTTCATGTAATATTATGATCTTTTCATTTTGTGTACTTTTTTTTTTTGGTCTTGTGATTCAAGTCTGTAATTCAAGATCTGCGAAGGAATACTGAGCTGATTTTAGCATGGATCAGTGACACCCTAATTTATTACGTGTAGTGATTTCCAAATTTGCGTCCATTTTCACACATTTCCATTTGCTTTTCCTTTTCTTTTTCACCGTTCTAATCCCTTCTTTCGTCCTTATTTTTTCGTAGTATCGGGATTATAAAATGGAACCAATACGCACCGTCGCCACAGATCTTGATTTAGCAGTTTAGAATTTTGTAAGTGGAGCTCAGCATAATGGATGTCCCTGTCTGTGAATCCTCCTGTAAATGTCGTGAAGACATTGTCTTAGTACCCTTGACTGTCCCATGCCCTTTGTCTGTGATTTTTACTAATGTGATAGATAGATTGTAGTGATAGATTCCTCACAAACACTTACAGTTCTAACAACATTTGAGATGATAGCGGTTTAAGCAGTAAATCTGTAAAAGCATTTTGAGTGGAAGGTGTATGTCTAAAGAAGACTTTGCAAGGAATATCATTTTTATGATCACTGATCACTTAGATGTCACACTACAAGCATCTCCCTTATTCAAACTTATGACTGAATATTGCCCTCAAAGTCTTCACAAATGAATCGCAACACGTCTTGTATTGTATTGTTATATACACTTTGGATAATTGTCGTTCTTGGTTGATTGTACTTTATTATTCGAAGCCGCTATATGGATAGGGATTTAACTGCGTGCAAAAAAAAACATTAAAAACTACACTGCTGATAGATGTCAACAAGAAACATTCGTTGCGAAGAATGGTTGGTTATTTACAACAACGTGACTGTGGACCATTGTCTCAACCTGCTCTTTACATCGCTTACCACTACACTCTGCTAAATTATTTATCTAACATGGGCATAAACATTGAAATAAGCACCGCACTTTTCTTGCCTTTTCGACAGGCTATTTAATTAAAGTGCATGGCTATTTCCTCACCCTTTCACTTTTTCACATTTGGAAAACCATGGTGTGTGGGTTGTTAGTTTAAAAGATAGTTTTGTAAAGCAAAAAAAGATTTTCCAAACAACAATTTGTCTCCTAGCAGCACCTTACCATAACCACGACTTTTCAAATACTTTCACTAATGCTTGTGTTAAGCACTTGACTGACTTCAATTGTGTGCTCATGTACTAACTTAATCTTTGTTTTATCCCATGTTATTACGGTGAGTCTAAGTTAAATGGAAATAATATGTATTTGTCATATATGTATAGATGTATTTGTTTATCTTAAACGTTTATTAGTTTTGACATGTATTTGAACTAGCAAAAAGCAGTTCAAAATTGAACTTAAAAAAAAGGTAAATGTTTTCCCTATGGCATAGGGCTTTAAAAAACAGTACACAAAATGAGTACGAATTTCAATATTTTTGAGTTGCATAGGTCGTCACTCGTGGTTAATATGTTTAGGCCTATTCTATAAGTTGTTGTTGATGTTCATTTGAAATAATGCATACTAACAGCAATTGTTTCCAACGTCATGTTTAAGGCGCGCCATCATTTTGCATTTACTGAAACTCTCGTCACTGAACCTTAGGAAAAAGTCGTGACCATGAAGGAGACAGAGGAGTACAAGTCTGAGCAGGACGGGCAAGGAGCATTCTCCCAGGTCGTCACTGATGGAGATCCGCCAGCTTACGATGAAGCCGTGGACCAGCTTACCAAGCTGTAGACGAAGGGAATTGTGTCTTAAACTCTGATCGGATAGGTTACACCCTTGATTGAAGTCTTATTAAGACATGTCTGTATTTGTCACACTCAACATTTTACATGCTTACCCACAATCTGTCCCTTGTTTGAATACCACAATACTGGCTTTTATAGTTGTTGCATTGAACGTTGACTTTTACGTGTCAATTGTGCTGGTATCCGCTAAGACATTGATGCGTAGTCCGTTCATGCATTCATCTTGGAACCAGTTGCATACAGGGGTCGTGCACTGGTAGAATGATTGTTATATAACACCTGAATAAATCCCCGTCATCTGATTGGTGGATCGTTGATCACATGTAGTTGTATTTTTTGTCCCAACCATAGATATAGAATAGAAATAATAGATCGGCAGCGCGTACATACGCCCCCATTCACTGCGCGATAAATGTGCACCATTTTTATGGTCTCTCGTGGACGTGCAAAAAAATAACATAAAGTCATACAGCTAAATGTATCTGTCCTCCAGCACGTGACCTAGCTCAACGCGCGCGAAGCTAGAAATGCGCACCGAGTATGTCCACGCTGTGCACAGACGTGCCGCTTTCCATTTCGGTAACGATAGTTTTATTTTCTGCAAACTTATAAACCTGTAAAACCTTATATTGTGCAGGTCATTTACTCCAGAGCAAATGGCTTTTAGTAAAAGCGTTTGCTTAATTTTTATTCATGCAGATGCGAGTAAATACTTACAAATTGGTAGTAAATGCAAATGCTAGTTTTTATTCATACGAACTTTGGTATTATTTGTACTGTATGAACTTTATTTTTTCGCGATTAACAATAATTGCTGTAATTTTTGCGCATAATTATGTGTTTTTATATTGTTATGGTAGCCCCTACCCAGCCTTGAAATTATGACAAGTAAATATTTGAAATCTGAAGCATTTACTCCTTTTTATTCATATTATGCAACGAAGAAACCGCTTATAGTGTAGCAAAAGCTAAAAGGTAAAAAGTAATTATTTTCAGATTTTAGCAAATGGTTTTTAATGAAAGCTTTTGCTTAATTTTTATTCATACAGATGCGAGTAAATCCGCAGTAAAATTTGTAGTATTAAGCAAATGCCATTTTTTATTCATACGACCATGGTATCGATTCTACTTTATGAACTTTATTAATATCAATTTTTTGGCATTAATAAATGCAGTAAATTTTGCGCAGAATTATTTGCTTTATAATTTCAAGGTTGCCCCAGATTTGAGATCTGAAGCATGTATGCCTTTTTATTCCTACGAAACGAAGTAAACGATTATTAAATAATTAATATATTTCTGGTATTCAAACCAAGGATTCCTCAAAAGTGCAAGCCCAAGGCACTGTAGCTCCCAAGTTTGAAAAAAGAAAACTGTAGAGAAGAGGAAATGGGACGAAATTACAGTTTTATAGTTGGGAAGAAAAACCCCAGAAGAATTATTCTGGGGAAAACCCACTCATCCACATGTAGACTAGGGTGCCGATGCACAGCGCTTTGTGCGCGTCAATGGTATTGCGTTCGTCACATTTGGCTCGCGGGTTTTTGTATCTGTCCTCCATCACGTGACCCTCCAGATAAGGCCGCGCGTATGCACGCGCTGCTGATCTAGTCTTTTAATTTTATATCTATGGTCCCAATAGATATAGAATAAAAAGACGCAGGGCGCGCGCGCGGCGCGCAGCGCACAGTGCAATGGAAGTTCTATTGCACGGTGAATGGAACTTCCATTACACGGTTTCAGTGCTGCCGATGGTGGCGCTGTGACACGAATCTATTTCACAAAATACGGACGTTACGCGAGACTGAAACACCGTTTGTTCCCCTAACAGAAGAGGAAATATCAGAACTTGTAGGTCAGCTGCTAACACAAAGAAGTAAATAAAATATGATGCCAAACGAAATTCGCAAAACATACAGGAACATTCTGTTTACTCATGATCGGACTGAGAAGAGAACACGCGGCACACTGTAAATATGTATCAGACGATGAGGAGTTATTCAGGTGTTGTTTAAAACAAATAATGAATAATTTCATTCGGTGACAGATGAAATTTCATCTGTCACCTCATGAAAATATTCCGGGTGCATACCTAGTTTATGTTCCCCAATACCTATGTTCCCCAATACCTATGTTCCCCAATACCGATGTTCCCCGAAATCCTTACCCTATAACCCTAACCCTAATCAAAGGATTTCGGGGAACATCGGTATTGGGGAACATAGGTGTTGGGGAACATCGGGTAGACCCCAATTATTCCTAGCATTGCACTCATAACCATTCATTATTTGTATAAAAAGCAATATCCAGTTGACCTATCGCCGTTTGTGAGTTAGCCACGCCCCTTAGACAACCCTATGGAGTTTTTGTACACTAAGTTTTGTTTCCCACGGATTTTGCGCGTTCCGCGTCCATTTGAATATCATGCAATTGGATAATATTTTACAAGCTGAGTTGACGCGATTATAACGCAATTCCACCGCGATAGGTCCACACCGAAGCCCATGTACATAAGGAAATTAAAGACCAAATCCATTAGATCAAATCCTCTCATAAAGAAAAAATACGTTTTCTGTATACTCACGTCTTGCATTACTGTTATTGAAAACGCAGTCATATATAAGTCCGTGGAAATAATTGATCGATCCACTTAGCCCCGCCCATGATTTTTTGACCAATCATAGCCAATCACAGTGTGCGCGCACGCGTTTGCCGCGCGCGGCTGGAATGTGCAGTTTTGCATGGAGACGAGCACAGTGGGCGGGGCTTACTGGGTCGGTCTACTGGCTGTACTATACTATGGAACGATTTCCCCATCATTATTATTGTTTCTTCTTGTGTCAAGCGGGCATGTAAATATTACTTGTTATGGTATATTTGATATTTCTGTACCGTAGTAAGAGTAAAGGTGGATTTGATTCAATGTCATGATAATTGTAGTGGTTTATGTTTCATATTTTGTTTGCTGAGGCTTTTTAACCTATTCACTGAGGCTATTTACATATGGTATTATTTTGTTGTATACTTCCGCTAATGTTTTATTAAATAAATGTCGACGCTTTCAGTTTCATAGCTTTTGTATCTATAGAAAGTTGATGTGCCGGGGGGGGGGATTATGTTATTTGGGTATTATCGATGAAATGATGCACCAGGTTTAATACAAAATATATTAACTTGAATGATTTCTTTTATAATGAGAATCTTGGTTTTAATTTCTTCCAAATCTTTTTCATATTCACGCTAGGTGATGTTTTTTTTATGTAAATATAATATAACTTTTTGACGTCGTTTCTTCTAAATTTTAGTTTCAATTTTCAGAATTTGTTTATACTCTAATTTTGTAGAATGGTAAGCGACGACAGAGTGTTCGTGTGGGTTTTAATTAATGTTTTAATCGAAGTACTAATCTTTATAACTGTCCCCATCCAGAAACAAAACCCTGCACAATGTACTCTCAGGGGAAAATCGAATCGATTCCGCAGAAATAGGGTAACAGTGGATGTTACTTTTAACGGATGATTTTCTCGGAATCACAACTATTTCATAACATTTACCATTATTAGGCCAAAAAAAAAATAAGTCGATCTCTGGTCAGCGCGCGCGTCGATTTTTATTATGCGCGTTGATCTTTTTTTTTTCCAAAATGTTTCGCGGTAGCTCCAACAGCGCCCTGTACTTCCGCACCTCCTCAATTCTTTTTTTTTTTACCAAAGAGCACCAAGGAATGGGAAATGGCACCAAGGCAAATGATCGAAAGCACCAAGGCAAATTATGGAGGACACCAATGTACATGAGGACACCAAATAAGCAAAATAGTACCCACCTTGTCTGTACAATCCAAGCTTGAAGAAAAAAGAAAAAAAAGAAAAAAAAAAAAAAAAAAAAAGCCGCGTGGCCGCGTCAATTCCGGAATTTTGGTCTGACCAGAGACCGATTTTTTTTTTTTTGGCCTTTATACAAAATTTAATGAGCCACCTTTCGTGTTAAATTCCAATGTTGAATGTTGAAATTGCATAATGATGGCTGGACCTGAATAATCAAATTCGCAAAAAAAAATCGCCATTTCATTTATTTTTTATTGTACAATATTCCTTTGTGCTTTGTATCTCTCTGCATTTATGCGCTTTTTTTGGCAAAATATAATAAAAGAAAATGACAGAAAGTCCATGGGCTGTAAGTACTCAATTTTTCAGTGTACTTGTAAGTGTTTCTTTCAAAATCAATTTCCCGCCATAAAATGCAAAGCAAGGTCATAATACTGATTTTGCATCATAACCTGCTTTCCTTGTTGAGAACGTTCATGTATTCGATCCAATTTCAGTTTAGCTTTTGAAGAGGTTTATAGCTTGTTTGATGATGTAAGTTATAGCATGGAGCTAGGAACACATAGCCACTTACCGATCAATTGTCCGGACCAATTAATGTCCGGACTCCGGGGACTCCGGGGGCTCCGAGTCCATACGTCAAGGCACAGCGAAGCGGTGTGAAGACTGCTCCCACGCTGGTGCGGTGAACTTCGGCTTACAGCCGTGTGTGTCATCTCATACACATGTGGTTCCGAGAAGTTCGTGCGACAGCTCGACGAAAATTGGTCCGAAATCGTATACAATACTAACAATCCTCGGCGAGTACAGGCCACAAAACTCACAGGATAATAGTCAATAGTTATAAAGACGACGAAATGTACACGTTGCCGTAGTCTCGTAGAATAACTCCAAGCAAAGATTTAAAAATCACTCAACAATTACAACGTGTTATTCGTTTCCGAAGACCGATTGCAAAGTGTGTAGAAGCCTGTAACAGTCGGAGCACTTTTCCGTGTACACTGCATGCTGGAAATCGTCTGACATCCAGACTCCAAATGCCGCGCGCTGAGTACTTGATGCGCATGCTACGAGTTCTAAATAAGAATGCGTGGTATTTGTAAGGAATGCACAAATATAATAAAGCTGCTACACTTCTATATAACCTGCAAAACATCGCTTAGCAAACTCTGCTGAGAACCAGCCACAATCACTAAACATAGCAGCACGTTTTGGCTGGTGACCTCTTGCAGCTAACCATGGGCGTCGCCAGGATTTTTTTCTAGAGGGGGGCAAAACATATTTTTCCCAAAAAATTCCTGCATTTCTCAACATATTCTCGATTTCTCAGTTTTAGAGGGGGCAGGGACATTTTGCTCCCCCCCCCAACTCATTAAATTTACACCACTATGACTTCGCACCTCTTTTTTTTTCCCTTTTTTTTTCTTTTCTTTTCGGGGGGGGGGCAAGCGCCCCCTTGGCCCCCACCCCCCCCCCACCCCCGGAAGCCCATTGCAATATTGTCTGCACTTGGCTATACTTTTCTGTGCCGGCAGTTTCGAATCCCAAGGCAGAAAATTGTCTTTGGTCGCGAACCTTATAGACTGAACATAATGAGAAGGTTGGAAGTTAGTCCTCTGATTGTCAGCCTGTGGTTAATACGGCAATAAATGGTTGTTGTCTGCTTTTGTTTTTATTGACATAGCGTCCATAACTAAACTAGTTTTTGGGGGCAATAGGTGCAATATCCAATAAAGGTTGACACACCAGATTACTTAAATTGCCTGATTATCGTCATTTATTGGTCGTGTCCATAGTACCAGCTACGATTACTTCTTAGAGAGGCAGTGACCTTGTTTATAATGATCCGTAGGGTTCATTGTGCCTCCTTCAAGTGCGTTTAATCCTCCTTCCTTTAAAACACACTAGCGCCAATATCTAACTATAGCTAGCATACCTAAAACATTAGGGGGAAAACTTATACCAGTTGCGCAAATTCATCGCTCTTGGTGTAAAATTGGGATAATCCAATTAGAGATAAATACATCTTTGCTGATAATAAGGCCTATATCGAGAACCTTAAACAATCTCAACTTCCTGACGATTCGGTATTTTATCTTCAATTCGTGGAGGTTTATTACACGACTGTGACGAGGTACATCTTCAAAATGATCCTTTTGACCCTAGAAAAATCTGGTTACGGTATACGTGCAGCTCTGGAACACTCACGAACTGAAAACGCTTATACAAGTGTCATCCCAGTTCTGATCTTTGGCACACGATTTGTTTGCTTCATTTTGTTTACACTTCAAACAGTCCAAAAGGCAGGAGATAAAGTCACAAAGGAATTGGGTCTTTAAAATACATAAATCTACTTGGTTATGAAACCTCAGCCTTTTTCGCGATCGACCCTTGGCAAGGCGTAGGCTGACATCTTCCTACTCCGAATCAAACTTAACCAAAACTCGCCGAATCAGTTACCACACCCATTTGTAATTTGTCAAAGTTTGCATGGAGGTGATGTGGGTTATACAGCAATATTGATTTGAAGTTTTTCAATATACTCAGTTTATTTTGTAAAAGTATAGTCTTGACTGGAAAGATTCGTCACAGACCGCAATCATATGCTAATGCGTCGCTCGGGTAACACCGACGTTTATCGAGTGTCGTCACATAGAGTGTACCTGTGCGCAGGCTTGTACCAATTGTAAGCCATTCGCACTGACGTACTTCATCCCAGCGACTACCGGACCACTTCTGTCACCAGCCTATTCTATAAAATCCTCGTCTCGGAGCGAAAGGTTTCCCAGTCTGAAGCATTTGATTCGGAATTTTAGAGCGTGTATTAGGCAACCATGGTTGGGGAGGAGAACCGTGTCTTTCAGGTCTGGGATTACGTGGTCTTCGGTCTGATGCTCGCCATATCGGTCTTTATCGGACTCTACTACGGCTGCACGGGTGGCAAACAGAAGACGACCAGCGAGTTCCTACTGGCAGACCGGAGCATGAACCCCATCCCCGTGGCCATGTCTCTAGTAGCTAGCTTCATCTCAGCTATCACCGTGCTGGGTACACCTGCCGAGACTTACATCTATGGTACCATGTTCTGGTGGTTTGGGTTGGCCTACATCGGGACCGGTATAGCCGTGACGAGGCTCTTCCTGCCCGTATTCTACCGGTTGGGAGTGACCAGTGCAAACGAGGTATTTTCAGTTTCTATTGACCTACATAACTCCTTCAAATCAAATTTGGTATACACAGATGTTTGATGTGTCATTGTTATTTTATGTCAGATGATGACTTGACATGACAAAGACTATGACCATGACCATGACAAAAATAATTACATTGGTGTCAACGTTGGCGATCATGATACTTTGGCACAGTGGTGATCTTTGTTCGGCCTATAATGACTGTCATGATGGTAATCACCAGGACAATGTCATTGTTATGACGATAATGATAACACAGATCAAGATTCAAGGGATAACCGGACACGGTAATGACATTCTCAATGACCGACGAATATCTGCTCACATATTAATAAAAACCTGATCAACTAACTCTCTCCTTGCAGTATCTGGAAAAGCGTTTCAACAAGGTTGTTCGTGTTGCAGGAACGCTGACGTATTTCATCCAAATGGTATAAACCACCCTTTTGTTTAAAGATATCGACACTTCAATGACTATAATAATAATAATAGTGAACATTTATACCGCGCCATATCTGTCAATATGACACTCCTGGCGCAAATTATGAGACGTGTTGACAATTTCATACATATAATAGTGGCGCATAATTACTCAATTAAAAAAACAAACAAACAAACAAACAATCCTGGCGCCAGTAATTGTTTAATTACTATCATTTCATTTCAACCTATCTCGGTTTAAGGAAAACTTCATCAGTTTATGCCAGTATTTTGTTGAAAACACCCAGTTTTCGTTCCTTCAGTATGAAACGTATTTACCAGTTTTGCGCTCGTTGTAAAGACTTCTGTTAAAATGTATAGTGTTCCTTGTCATTTTCGTGTTTGACTTTAAAAGCACGTCTGAAGGTTTTTTTTGTTTGTTATTTGTTTGTTTGTTTTTTTTTACTTTTAACGAAGGTTCTGTACCTGGGTATTGTCATCTACGCTCCAGCACTGGCATTCAACGCAGGTATCTTCTGAGTTTTCATGACCGTTTTAAAATTGACATGTCCATTTTTTTTTATTTGATTTAATTTTAAGAATTGTGCCGGTTGTAGTGGGCACGACTCATCATACTTGCCGTTATGCTCAAACCGATGATTTAAATTCATTTATTTCAAGCTTTCAACGACATGTTCTTTTTTTTGTGTACGCAGTGACTGGAATTAACCTGTGGGGATGCGTCGTTGCTATCGGTGTGGCCTGTACATTCTATACCACCGTTGTAAGTTTCATATTTCTTAAAACCGGAGAAAACTTGTAAGGAATATGCTGTAAGGAATATCGAATCACACATTTCAAAGATGGCACTATCCTCATACCTTGAGGGGATCAAGCGAATAACCAGGATTTTTGATTTGTTAATTTTGTATAGGGTGGCATGAAGGCGGTACTTTGGACCGACGTCTTTCAAATGTGCGTCATGATGGCGGGTTTCCTCGCCATCATCATCGAAGGCTCTCTGCGTCTTGGTGGCTTCCAGCAAGTCTGGAAGATCGCTGAAGAGGGAGAAAGGATTGACTTCTGGCAGTAGGTTCAATTTAACTTTTTATTTTAGTTGTCTTTAGCTAATAAGATGGTCAATTCGTTTCGCACTGATGACAAACATGTATTGATTTTGTTTCTTGATTGTATGAATTCAAAATCGTCACTGTAAAAACAGGGCTGTTGATATTCTCCAGGATAGCTTATTCGTGGGTTGGCTTTCCCAGGATAGCTTATTCGTTGGTTGGCCTTCTGGTTGAGTGCAAGTGTCTTTTGGCTAGTGACAGGTTGGCATTATTCTTGGTTGATGATAGGTTCAGCGGTCCTTTGAGTAGCTGATTGTTTTCCTCTGAGTGGCTGATATATTGTTCTTGTTCTTGTTCTTTGACTGGCTGATAGGTAGCCCTTGTTGCTGGACACATAACAGGGGTGCATACCTAACCCAACGCTAACCCTTACCTTACCCTAAGGATTTTGGGGAACATAGGAATTGGGGAACATAGGAATTGGGGAACATCGGGTAGACCCCCCCCCCCATGACAGGCCTTCCGAACTTCACCTGCTCCACTCCTGTGCTGGCCCTTTCTTTTGTCGTCACTTTGTGTTCCGTCGGCTTAGCCCAGTCGCAACATTTCTGCTAACTTTATCCCCTATCTTTTTTTTTAAATGTTCCAGTTTTTCGCCAGACCCGAGTATCAGACACTCGTTTTGGTCGATCGTGGTCGGCGGGTGCTTCACATGGACAGCAACCTACGGTGTGAATCAATCGCAGGTCCAGCGGTACCTGACTGTTGGAAACGTGAAAAAGTCCAAAATGTGAGTTGAAACGCCATTTTGGATATATGGATATAAATACTGAAAAACATTTATCCGCCAAGGGGGAGGGGGCAGGTTGCCCCCTCTGCTGCCCCCCCCCCCTACGCCACTTCTCATGTACTCTTCCAGTTATGGAATTTTTAACACAAACACAGTTTTAATCTTTTGTCCACAGATCACATTATTTCAGTAGAATGAAACCATGTCGTATGGTCGTATCATGAAAACGATATCAGAATAATCCCATAAGTCTCTGTGGTAGCCAAGTAGAAGGCAGTGCAGGTCTATAAACTATTGACATTACAAGCATGTTGCATTAACATTGGAAGCAGAAGGTGTTTAAATATAGGTTATGATAAAGTGCCAGTTATTTAGTTATTAGAGAGTTCTGATCTTTTTTAATATGTGAAATGTCTTCGTTTTGCAGAAACATCACTTACCTTTATTTTGATTCATGGACAAAACTATTAAACTGTGTTTGTGTTGAATAGTCCATAACTGGAAAAGTACATGAGCGATTTGAATGATTCTTTGACGAAAAAAAAGCTAATTACTTGGGCTTTCACATCCTAGATCTTGAACGTGCTACATTCAGAACTTCTTCAAGAAATAGGGGGCGCCATTTGGGTTTCATTTGTTGTTATACTCACCTTATATATAGAGATTAATCGGTCATATTCTCTTGAATTCTTCCCAACTCCAGCTCTCTATATCTTGCCACTGTCGGCATGGTGATCGTTGTGTCTTGTGCCTGCTCAGCAGGCGTGGTGATGTATGCCTACTTCGCCACCATGCGGTGCGATCCGTACACTGGCTTAGCAGATCAAGTCAAACAAACCGATCAGGTATGTAGATGAAAGAGGGAAGGAGAGAGAGAGAGAGCGTTTAAAGAGAATTTTAATGGGAAATATTATACAAAAATACAGCATTATCAAAACGTGACAGTGTCTCTGAATTCAAGACCCCACTACTTGATGCTTTGTGGTTCGGATAAGTTGGGATTGTTTGTCGGGTTGGAGTGGAATGGATTTGGCCGGTTTGGGTTGGGTGGGGGTAACATTATGTTGAGATGTTGCGGGGTGTAAGAGGTTAGATGGGCTGAGCTGGGTTGAATTGACAATATCAGTGTTTGACTTTATATGGACTGGTTCCCTTTTGAAATAGCTGATACCGTTCTTTGTGATGGAACTATTCGGTGGTTTGCCAGGCCTGCCGGGGCTGTTCACATCTTCTGTCTTCAGCGCAGCCTTGAGGTGAGATCACTGTTTCTCCTTTCCGGATGATAACACCTGATTGTTTTTGTTTGAAAGTGATAATTAGGTGTGCGTCTCTGAATTGACGATTGTGACTTTTTTTCAGCACTGTTTCTTCGGGACTTAACTCTTTGGCAGCGGTGACGGCTGAGGACCTCGTCAGGCCTTGCTTCAAGAAGATGGAGGAGGAGCGATATACGCTGGTGACTAAAGGAATAGGTGAGTAGGCCTTTTCAATTATTGGTGCTTATACAACAGGTGTAATGGAGTCTATCCAAAGTCAAACTGCCGAAATATACATTAAGTTACAAGTTACCCTAACAGAAAGAATATTGTCACCTTTCATTTTAGAAGCTCGTCACTCGAATTGTCTGAGCTATACCAATACCTGCAGTCGTGGGTTAACAAAGCTACCCATCTGACGTTAAACCACTTGACCCTTGAACTTGTACATATAATCACTAGAGACTTTGTACTGACTCTTTATTCTTGCACTGATTTTGTCAACAGCTATGGGGTTTGGCCTGCTGAGTATGCTGGTTGCGTACATCGTGTCTCTCCTTAATAAAGGCATCCTCCAGGTATTTTACAACTTCTATCAAATTAAGGAAAGAGGAGGCATTACAAAGGCCAGTCTTTCAACACAATTAGTCACAGGCAAATGTATTAGCATGTAGTAATTCTGCTCTTCGTTTTTATCCCGTTGTAGTTGGCCCTGAGCCTCTTTGGTATGACTGGAGGACCGCTGATGGGAGTCTTCAGCCTGGGAATGTTCTTTCCTTGGGCCAACTCTAAGGTAAGTTAAGCTCTTTCTTTTATTTACAAACTGCTGAGAATAGAATAACCCTCTTGCACATTTCCGTTCTTGCTCGTCAACAACAGTGTTATGGCATGTCAGTGCAATCGGTAGGCCTATAAACCGAAGCATCGTCGTCGTCATGGTAGGCCTATTCGTCTTTATTGTCTCTAGCAAGGCTTCTTATTACCATGGTGTATTGCTTTCCTATTGTCGGTGTCGCAACCCCATCATCCACGCCATCCCCATGATCCAAACAGAAGTTGACGACCCTTGTTGATTGTCCTTTCGTCCAGGGTGCCTTTACTGGACTGATTGTCGGGCTGGCCATGGCCTTCTGGGTCGGTATAGGAGCTCAGATTTACCCACCCGACGTCTATAAACCTCCGTTGCTTGTCGACGGCTGCTTCTCACCGAACGTTAGTACCACTTCCACCTACGATGCTACGGGTTTTACGGACATGGCACATCTGACAACGCTGTTGCCTACTGAGGAACCAGCAAAGTAATTTTAGCCATATCCAGAATTGGTTGGGTTTTGGCGGGAAAAAATACACAAAAAAGCCTGCTATTTTTTGCTCTCTTCAGGCTCTTCCAAGTTAAGATTCGTTATTCATTTTTATGAACCTTATTTCCTAAGGAAAACAGTCATTGTGGAGCAATATTATGATGCGGGGATGTCATGTCAGGGCATTTTGTGCTATCATCTTGGGATGACTTTGACAAGCGGAAGTATGGAAATTCATTCTTGTGGTAAAAATGCAATGTTCCAATGAAAACCAATGCATCCATTATCGGGTTCTTTCATTTTAGCCATGATACCATTTGCATGTTTTTAAACAGAGCCAGAGAAAGCCACCACATTTTGAAACACACATACTGGCCACTTTGTAGTTTTAAAGATAAAGTTATGTCCCAAACATTTTGTCTTCTCTTCAAGGCCACGAATTGCTGCCTTATACACTCTCTCGTACTCGTGGTACAGCTGCACCTTCTGGCTAATCACCGTCTTTGTCGGACTGCTCGTCAGCTTTATGACAGGTGAGTGGATTGCTTCATAGCATATAAACAAAAACCTGCATGGATGATTTTATTTTGACAGCCATTTTGGCTGTTGTCTACGTCTATGTTAATGGACAGCTGATATGCAAGCCACCATGATATAGCTAAAGGATATATCTTCGATAATTCCGCTATGGGGAAATCCGGTTCTCGAAAACATTTTTAAAAATGGTTTCCACCTGTTGATGCTTATGTGACGATGATGCGTAAAGTCATAATTGTCATTTAGATCTTTCTGGCACCTCACTTCGAAATGTGTAACTTGACGTCCATTTTCTGAGTCTAGGTGCCAACAAACCACGTGATAACGACCCGATGCTGAAGCAGCACATCGCCGATGCTTGCTACTGCTGCTTGCCCGAGTTCATTAAGAGGCCTATGCGATGTGGTGACGACAAACTGGTAAGAACACGAGTCGAATTCAGTATTGCAGCTAAGCACCCTCTATTGTGCTTAGCACATAGAAATGTTGGATAACAAGAATTGTTTATCATCACAAATTCCATAAGATGTTAACTACCTTGTGACTGGTCTGATCGGCCTGTTTTTTTATCTGCACATAAATCTGCTAAGTTTACTTTCCCTTCATTTTCTGGCTGCTTTGTGAAAGAATAACAAAACTTGATTTGCCTGACTTTAGACGTTTCTTCATGACATGCATGTTTTGTTTTTACAAAAAGGTATAACAATCCTCACCTTTGGGGCACATGCATTGGACACTTTCAGATTGGTTTCATGTGGGGTATTTTAACAATAAATTGAGTAATAAGCCCTTGTGAATAATGTTTAGTATCAATCCGATTACGCTGGTTGAACATGATACGAATTGATACGATATTGAGAGAAACAAATTTATGATGTTGATATTTTTTTTCTGAATGATGACGAGTGTTGTGTTCATTCCTGTGAGTGATTCAATATTTAAATTCCATCAAGGATTACTACGAGGACGATGATGTCAAAGATAAAGACGCGTCACTCTACGTGAAAGAGGTTGAAGCCAAGAGAGGGTACGACTTCCAGATCTCAGAATCCAACGGCGTGGGGGCGCTGTCCAATATGAAGTACATACCGGATGTGAGGGATGCGGAAGAAAACGTGTATGACAACCCTATGGAGCTGGAGCACCCCGTCACGGAATTGTAGACAGACTAATCATTCGATTTATGTATATTAGGTCCTCAAGCGGTGAAAAAAAATCTGAGAAATCTCGAGACCTGACGATAAGTGCTTTATTATATCAAACCTTAATAAGGGGGCATCGGTAAGATGTTAGTTTTTATGAGAAGACAATCACTTAACTTTTGTCATCTATCACGCTGTCCTAATCTCGATACCTATTTTATGTCGTGTTCATAAGTATACTCAGGAGTCACTTTAATATGCTTGAAATAATTACAAACTTTTTTTGAGTGTTTAAGTTTTAAAGATGGCCTTTGTATGAATTATATTTCCTAGAAAAAATCCTTGGCACTGAGTAAGAAATAGTCTGCACAATTTAGTCTTTCAATTGAGCTCAAAGAAATTTTATTTTCTCAATAATGACAAACTCTCCTTGGTAATAACTTGCCCAGAGTTCTTTTAAACACGTTGAAATAGTAATAGTAAAATACTTAATTTTCTTTTAAAATCTATATAAATTTAAAACTCTGACTAGATGTTGGAATTAATTATTGTGTACACAATTTCGATGAAGTCTTAATCTATTCTTACAATCATTGTTTAAATTAGTGGTTGAAATAATGGACGTTTTAAGTATTTTTTAAAACTCTAATTTTTACTAATATTCAGATACTTCAGCAGATATGCGTGATCATTGCAAATCAATTTAATACAATGTATCGTGCATGAATATTAACTTGACAAAATGAAAACTTTTAATCCCTGAAAATCGTTACAATGACTACAGAGCTGTGAAGCCGTTGTCCAAGCCATTTTCATTGGTGCCAGGTTGCTCAGTGGCAACCGTCGCTATATGGCAACCTCATCGTTGTCGAAGTTGTGATTGGTCAGTCCGGGCTTGACCTCTTTAATCTCGATCATCTCTGCCTCTTCGTCTTTCTCTTTGTAAATCTACAAATAACAAAGACGATTTGTGTTACCTTTTGTGAGAGTTTTGTTTCGTCTTGTTGTGATTCAGATAGAGATGGCGTTTGCCTACATGAGATTTCTCAATTTGTAAATCGTCATCCACTGACTTGGAGTCTTGAATTTCGAGAGGAGACAGCACAAACAATGTCACGCCATATGCACGATTGAAGGTTAACGAGAAATAACAGGTACTTCCGCGAACGTCCTTTATTGAAAGGTACTAGTTTTGCCTTTTCTTTCCACGTTTTGTTTTTATCGACAAATAAAAGGAATTTATAACTGACTCATATGCGTATAATGAAATGGAAGTGACAAATAAATAAAACCTTTAATGTTTAATTATAAAGATGCTACTGTTCAAAACTTTGAATTTCTCAGTGTCATACTGTATATCATTGGTCAAGGTGCATTGTAAATTGTGCCTTTTCTAAAGCGGCGACTGTTTGAAAACTTGCAAAAAATCACATGCTACGGCATCACCCCAGCGATAACTCCATTTTGAAGAGGAAAATGTAATTACGGTATGTGTGTGTGTGTGTGACCTTTGGACCCTATGTAGATTATAATTATCATAAACCTCGGTTTATTATGTGACGTGTCTATTTGTTGCCAATAGACCTAACATTATTTGATAAACAGCGCCCTCTCATGTTGTGAACAGTTAGTGCATTTCTTACCACTTTCTCGTCCCCACATCGTAATGGTTTCTTGATGACTTCCGGTAGGCAGCAGTAGAGCCCGTCCACGCAATGCTGGCGCAGGACAGGGTCGATATCCCTCCTCTTTGTAGCACCTGTAGCATGAAATAGTATTTTAAAGTCACCTGAGGGCGCTATAATATGATGTCCTTAGTCAATGGTGCATTTGTATTTCATGGAAGTTATTATAATTATTATAGGCCTAGAGTTGCAGAGGGATAGGGTCGTCCTCTTATGGGATCATCATAGAGCTATGGCAGAATTAAGGATGGGCTAAACAAAACTAAAGGTTTGCTTCTCCTGCTGTCTTACGATGCAATGCTGCATTAAAATTGAGGTATTACATCAAGACACAGTAGAGGAACTCGGGTAGATTTCAAGCTAGATCCGCCCCGAGACACAATTTCACACAAATATATATACGCACCTGTTAGGAAGCTGACAAACAATCCAACGAAGACGGTTACCACCCAAAACGCACACGCGTACCAGGTGTATGACAGCGTGTACATTTCAGCCATAGCTGGTCTAATTAAGAGAGATGCATATTGGATATAAACCCTCGTTGTTATTGCATTTGAACATGATTGGTTTTTGCCAAAGGAAAGATTCAAGTTAACAACCTAGCCAAAATAACTGGACATATCTTTTTGCTGAATTACTTCTACCAAATTTGGAGCACAAATTGTCAAAGTTAATGTAAAATCCTACATTTCAGGCGCCTGTGTCGTTGTCATTAGAAGTGAGCTGGGTGTGGTCACGGTCAGGTTACATCCTTCGATCGTTAGAGGGGGCCTAGAGGCGCCCGGTGGATAAATGATGGCACCGATGCCGATCCAGAAGGCAATGCCGAGACCAGAGAGTAGTCCGGCGATAGCACCCTTCATTAACAAAGGAACATGATTGGTACAGTTTGGGGGTTTGCTCCTTCTTATCCAATGATTTTTGGGAAGTATCATCTTTGATCTGTGATAATGACAATGGCCACATATTTTGATTACGATCATGACATGATTTGGTAGGTAACTACGATGACAATGATGGTGGAGCACTTGTTGATCACGACAATGGCGGCGATGTTGGTTTCCTAGTGGAAATGATGACCATGACATATGACAGGTGATTGAAGAAGATGGCGATGGAAAAGCCGATGACTAGAAGGATTCATCGACTACGAGATGACGACGGCGTTGTATTAGGCCCTACTGATGGTGACAATACGTGTGTCGAAGACTGTGACCATGGTGACACTGTTATTGACGTCGAAGTGGCAACCAAAATAATAGTACTTGAGATTGACCATGCCGACAAGGATAAATAGTGAAGCTAACTTTGACAAGAGCGAAGATGGTTAAGGCGAAGTTTGACAAACAATGGAGGTACCGTATTGCCAACGGCAAGATCGGTGAAGCTTTCATTTTGACAAGGATGCCGATGGAAACGTAGAGAAGGTTGACGGCGATTTGACAAACATGAAGATGATGGATCAAATTTCTACGAGGGTTAGAATAGAAGAACCCATGTTGATGACGACGACGCTGAAAGACCAATATGAAAATGTTCTATGACAATAATGATAATGGGTTTGCTATCGTACCTTTGAATTTGTCCAGGGAAAGAAGAGTCCAAGAGAAAACAGACCAAGCAGAGGTCCTCCGGTCATGCCGAACAGGCTGAGTGCCAACTTGAGGAAGAAAAACATAAATATTGGCTGACGGTTTATGCTTTGTTTGTTTCTTTTTAACAAATGAATTTAAATATTGCTTGACTGTTCGCATGCATATTTTACAAGGATGCTGACACAACATCAGAGATTAGACAGAAATGGATCTGTATAGAAGCTTTTAAAATAGCAATAACAAACTTAACGCTATAAGGGACTCACTGCTTCCATATTGTGAATCCGAGACCTACCTGTAAAACGCCTTGGTTCAGCAGGGAGGTGACGTACGCGATCAGAATGCACAACAGGCCAAATCCAAATGCTTTAAAACATAACAAAAGTTAAAATGAAACAGAATGAATATAAAGAAAAGAGGAACTCAAGCTTCGAAAGAAATTACTTTGCGAACGGGTCTAGAGTACATGCAGATGAAGTAAATGAAGATGCATGGAGTGGAAAACCTAAACTGTTCAAGAGACTTTTTCTTCACGTTACGAATGCTATACTACTGCAACTTCAACAAAGTAAAGTAGCTCGAAATTTCCAATTTCTACAAAATGCTTTAAAGTCCCTTATGCTTAGAGGATTTCTAAAATCGTGGTTCGGGTACTCACCGATCAGTTTGGTGACCAGCGTGTACCGCTCCTGTCTCATACGGGGGAAGCACGGCTTGACGAGATCCTCGGCAGTCACAGCTGCTAGTGCGTTCAGCCCGGACGACACAGTACTGCAAAGGAAAAACAACAACATTATTTTAGCAATTATTTGGCAGTTCCCATAGTCAAATTGAAGAAAATCTATAGGCGTGTGCGCATAGCCGTAGGTGTGTGCGCATAGCGACAATGGTACACATATTTTATGTCCTTCAATCTATCTCTTTTCATCGTTGAGGGGGTACTGGTCTCAGCATACCAATAGAGCTTTGTGGTCACGGCTTGTTCTCTGAGGTACACTCACCTGAGCGCCGCACTGAAGACGGCAGAAGTGAAGAAACCAGGGAGGCCAGGGATCGTCCCGAACAGCTCCATCATGAAAAATGGAATTAGCTAAAGCAAACCATACAAGACAGATACAAAAATCTAATTCAATGTATAATTATTTTCAGACTTGTCATAAGAAATATCTCTTTGGGAACGACAGAATCCATCACGAATCGGTATTTAATGTGAAATATACAACGCCTGAATAAATCCCCGTCCTCCGATTGGCAGATCGTTGCTCATGGGTCACTTAATAATTCGTCCCATATCCATAGTGGGCGCACTGCAAAAAATAGCTAAGTAAAAGTTCCACTGCACGGTCATACTATCGGTGGCTCTGACCAGCCAGATGACGAGGATTTATTCAGGTGTTATATCAAACAAATAATGTAATGTTTCCCGGTTTGTACAGTGGAAAGAAAATTCATTCGGTGACGAATGGATTATTCGATTCTACGAGGCGAACATTCCAGCTGTCACCGTATGAAATTGTTCCTACCATTTTAAAGATTACAAGCAATAAGTCGCACTTCAATCAGATGGGGAATACAACTAAAACAATGACCAGACATATTAAGAGTTACACCATCAGGCAGGTGTTTCATAAAACTTTAAAATTACTTGTGGTTTATCATTCTTGTTTGACATTATTTATGAAATACCCCAGATGATTGGGATGACGTACCTGATCTGTCTGTTGTATTTTGTTGCTGGTGTAAGGGTCACATTGCTTATCTGCGTAATAGGAGTACATGACCAGTCCGGACAGACATGCGGCTGAGGCGACAATCACCATACCTGCACCTGCTAAACCCAGCGATCTGAGGAAATTCAACGGACACGGTGACGTGACGCAAAATTGCGAAGAGAAAAGGTTCAACAGCGTATCACTTATAATGACATATCTGCCGATTATGTTCAGCATAATGGAAGTCAAAGAGGCGTCAGATGTTCAGTGTTTGACCTCGTGACGTCACATGTCACATTGTCCACCCGATAGACTCCTTGCACAGAGCTTCTAAAATTGAGGACTGGCTGTGTTCTTTTAACTGGCATGTTGTGAAATTCAAAGAACTGTCTTTGCAGGGGCGGATCTAGCTTTCAGGAAACGAGGGGGGGTGAAGGCGTGCCGAATTCCCACCCCCCCCCCCCCAAAAGTAAAAAATCTACGATTCTGTCTCCTGCATTCTAAGGCAATTGAGAAAAAAATATAGGAATTTTAGCATTCCAGTTTTAAGTTCGAACTCATAATACTAATATCATAACACAAGTCAGCGGCTGAACGATTCCAAGCCCAACCATCCCCTCTAGATACTGCCTCAAGAGTGCGCTCGGTTCACGAGAATTATGAAAGACTTACATCCGGGCTCTCTTGACGGACCCTGTCGTCATGTATCGCTGCACCTGTGATTGGTTGACTGCGTAAGTTGTACACCACGTGAAGCAGCCCCCGATCAAAATGGACCAAAAGGTGTGACGGATAGTCGGGTCGAAGTTAAAACTAAAGGAAAAAAAAGGAAAATAAAGTTTAAAAATGAGAATAATATTATAATGAGGATGTGTCTTCCAAATCTACTCTATAAAGCATTCTGTGACTGACTTATTTTTTCACAAACAAAACAAATATAGACAAAATGGGAAACCGCCAACAAAGGGGGCTGGACAGTTCAGTTGGTAGAGCACTGATGGAACGGTGATCAGGAGGTCGTAGGCTCAACCCCGCTCCAGTCAATTTCTGTATTCAACTTAATGCCTGTACAACTTTGTTTCATAGAATATACTGATCATTATGTCGTAATCGCAAACATCAGGGATCTCAATCAGCAACAGATCTCTGAAGACAAAAGTGAGCTTTGAGAAAATGTTTGACGATGACCTACTTCCAGAAGTCGATGCGTCCTCCGTCTTCAGCGATTTGCCAGACCGCGCCCAGCCCACCGAGCCGCATGGAACCAGCGATGATGATGGCGAGGAAACCAGCCATCATGACGCACATCTGAAAGACGTCAGTCCACAGTACAGCCTTCATGCCACCCTGGATAACACGGAGAAGACAAGGAGAGAAAAGTACAGTAGCTTCTTCAAACCACATTCGGTATTACGGAGATGAGGAGCTCTGGTACTTCGCTGCAATAACCTTTGTGTAAACTTAACACTATTATATAACAGGTTGTTTTTATTCGTTTCAGCACCACAGTTTTTGAAAAGGCATCTTGGGTTTAGAACATAGCATTTCAAGAACTTTTGCGTTTATACAGGCCAACAACAAGGGTAGATTCTTGGTTTAATGTGCGCAAATATAAGATAAAGAACAAGCTGAATTTATACACCAAATTTAAGGAGGCAAAGCAATCACAAAGGCGTTGGTTGACAGTCTGGAGGAAGTACTTACTACTGTCGTGTAAACAGTGCAGACGAGTCCCGTAGCCAAAACAGAACCCCACAGGTTGATATCGGTCACTGAAAGCAGTCATAGAAAATCGAATATAACAAAAATTGTTTTTAGTAGGAAAAACTCTTTTTCAATAGAGTAAAAGTTAACTTGTATTATGATATACGACTTAAAATAACAACAACTTTTGCAATGTCTATATTTTGTTAAAAATCACTAACACATACAAACCCGCATTGAGTGCCAATGCTGGCGTGTAGATCACTATTCCCATGTAAATCACCTAGGAAAAAAACAAAGATTAATAAAAAAGAAAACCATCTTCACTAGTAGCACAATTACCCACAGTCTTGTCAAAATAGTACTGATATTCTGGACATCTTTTTGATATTTAAATTACAGTCTGTCAACTAGCATGTATATTTTCTCAATATTCGTTTTGTTATAAAGATTAAGGGCAGTTTAATCGGGATTATATGGACGCGCGGATACCTTGAGAATTTTTGAGAAGATCCCTTGTTTTTTGTTGCAAAGGGGTTATCACTTTGTGGTATTGACATCAACTCAATTGTAGTATTTTATCACAAAGATTGCAAACCAAGATAACTTTGTCACAACAATTATTATTAGCTTTTTTATACAGATAATGTCACTATATAGATGCACACTCAGCACAGAGATGTCAAATTCCACTGTTTTATTGACAATGAAAATATAGCGCTTTAGCACTTGTAGTATTAACACAGGAACTTTGGGGCAGTTCAATACTAAAGGGTTAAAGGTAAAGTACATCATTTTTCATTTGTGAAATTGTTTTGTTTGAAGCAACAAACGTGCTCAAAATCCAAAGAAGAGTGCTTAACAACTAACCTGATGAAGTTTCATTTCAGTGAATACTGTATATTCCGAGAAAACAATATTCTAGGATCGCGGTTTCAATTAAAGTTATGTTTTGAATTGAGCCCGAAATCAGCGTCCGGGACAGGTTCTCATTCAGCAGATTGCAACTACGCGATGTCGCGCACTGAACCGACGAATTATAGCAACCGCACGCGCGTATGCGTCGTGTCAACGGCTTCGCTAACTTCTGACGGACATTTCCAAAAATGCTTCTTTGAACACATCTTTGGAAATGGCCTTCTTTTATTGGTTTTTTTCTTCAAAATGAAAGCATGCCAGAAAGAGAAACTTCACAAGGAGTTTAGTGGCATTTCTATCTTTAAACTAAATTATGCTTTTGATAGCTGCAAATGATATACTCCAAATTTAAGCAACTAAAATTTGACAGGCAAAAATGTACAGAACGTCCGGAGAGCCTCCGAAGAATTAGTTCAGAAAAGCATGACTTACCATATTTAGGAAAACGGTGAACGTTGCGCAGACGCGAACTGCCTTGCTAAAACGCAGCTCAAGGTACTGAAATATAGAAAAACATTTCATAATAAAGATAACAAAAATAATGCTCTATACTCAGAAAGCTTAAACTTGCTGTTTAGATAATCTTAAGAACAATTCTAACACTTTGAAATCTTGCATGTTTGCCATGAAGATGGAGTAAAACAAATGATGTATTGTTTTCATTCGAACAAATATGACATGAAATGTACCTCATTTGCACTAGTCACGTTCAGCCTGAAGAATGCCGGAATGAACAGGCGTGACACAACAAGAGCGACGGCGGGATAGGTCAATGCGAAGAGCCAGAACATTGAGCCATAGATGTAGACCTCGGCAGGTGTACCCAGCACGGTGATAGCTGAGATGAAGCTAGCTACTAGAGACATGGCCACGGGGATGGGGTTCATGTTCCGGTCTGCCAGTAGGAACTCGCTGGTCGTCTTCTGTTTGCCTCCTGTACAGCCATAGAAGAAGCCAATACCAAGCGAGATGGCCAGCATGCAGCCGAAGACCACATAGTCCCAGACGCCAAAAGTTCCGACATCCTCAGGCTCCGCCATAGTGGAAGGTTGCCGGTTATATCACCAGCAGGTCTGCGCTGAAGGTTGGGAAAAAACCGGAATGTCGTACCACGAACTGACCTGCTCTTTTAATCTCCTGATTGGCTACGGTGGCTCTGAGAGGACGTCCGATTTTGACCACTACAGCAGTATTTCTGAATTTTCTTCAGAAGCTATTTAGAGAAACAAAATTATAATGTTGCTGTCTTTTTTGAATGAGGCCGACCGTAAATGCCTTCTTGAAAGTCTGTATCAATATCTGATATTTACCTAAGAATATTATGACGTCAAAGATAAAGATGCGTCATTCTACGTGAAAGAGGTTGAAGCCAAGAGAGGGTACGACTTCCAGATCTCAGAATCCAACGGGGTGGGGGCGCTGTCCAATATGATGGACATACCGGATGTGAAAGATGCGGAAGAAATTAAAACGTGTATGACAACAACGTGGAGTTGGAGCACACCGACACAAAACTGTTGCCAGACATGGCACTGAGCCAGAAATATACTCACAATACAATGTTTCTATTCAACTCAATGACATTTTATTTCTCCTAACAAAGAACTCGATTCGTCAGTTATGGGCACTACAACTTTTTAAACATGTTGACAAATGTATACAGAATTAAAATGCTTAATTTCTAAGAAAATCTTTATAAAATTATAATCTGACGAGGTACTGAAATTAATTATTGTGTATATGCAATTATGAGGAATGTTTACATAATTTTCCTAATCACTGATATAATAAATGGTTTTAAAAAAAATTGACAGAATTAATTTTCTTTTATTTTTCAACTCTACTTATTTAAACATGTAGAAAGATAGTGAAAAGCAATTATGTATAAGGTATTACGGGTGAAGTTGATGGACTCTTAATACTATAACAAACACCTATGTACTCTTTTATCCGAGGAGGTTGTTGTCATGGTTACTAGGCTGTGAAGCCGTTGTTGTCCAAGCCATGATCCTTGACAGTGCTGCCAGGTTGCTCCGTGGCAACTGTCGCTATGACAACCTCATCGTTGTCGACGACATGATTGGTCAGTTCGGGTTTGACCTCCTTGACCTCCAGCATTTCTGCCTCTTCGTCCTTCTCTTTGTAAATCTACAAAAGAATAACCAAGAGTTTTTGTTTTACCGTTAGGGATTTATTTTAACCTTTTGTTTTGTTTTATTGTGATATCTGTAGAGATAGATTTGGCTAACATGAGATTTATCAAACGTCAATCGCAAATTTCGAGTCATAAAGTTTAGAGAAGAGACTGCATCATAACAATTTGGAGTCTTGCAAACGACTGAATGAAGGTTGACAAAAAACGAACTGCTGCCACCACTGTGTGTAAAATTGTACTTTGGTATCCTATATTAGAATCGTCGTTATAGGTTTCACATTTTTGCTATGTTTCACTTACAAACGAATGGAACTAATAGCTTACTACGTGTCTGTGTAATAAAGGTAATAAATAAAATCTGTATTTCTTACACAGATGTTCCTTTGCAAAACTCAAGATTTATCAATTTCGTAGCGTAACCTCGTTTTGTTTTTCGCTAACCCAAGGTGCAAAAAGCCATTGTGATTATGCTGGGGCGATGACCTTGCAAGAACTTGATACAGTTGTCACGCTACGTTACCCGACAGATAACTCCATTTTGATGAGGAAAATCTGCGAAGGCTATGTGTTTTAATTAATGCCTTTGGATCCAGTGTATATTATAATGTTCATTAACCTGGGTTTGCTTATGGGAAGTATGTATTTGTTGCCAATGGAGCTCACAAGCTCAAAACAGCGCCCTCTAAAGTTGGGAACAGGTGCATTTCTTACCGCTTTCTCGTCCCCACATCGTAATGGTTTCTTGATGACTTCCGGTAGGCAGCAGTAGAGCCCATCCACGCAATGCTGGCGCAGAACAGGGTCGATATCCCTCCTCTTAGTAGCACCTGTAGAATTATACAATATTTCAAAGTCACCTGAGGGCGCTTTAGTGTGATAACCTAAGTCAATGGTACATTTTATTAAATGAAAGTTGAGGGGCTGCAAAGGGCCAGGGTCACCCATGGGACGCTCTTAGAGCTATGCCCCCCCCCCCCAGAAAACAACGGATGTCATACTTCAAGATTGTTTCCCATAATTTCCTACATGCAATGCTGCATTATAATTGGGGTATAACATGAAGACACGGTAGAGGATCTAGAATCGAACACCCCCATTCAACCACTGACTAATATTTAAAACTAGTAAAAGTTTGCCAAAAAATAATAAATGAAATGCTTAAGTGCCTAATTAATTCTCTAACTGTCTTAGAATGCAAGTGGCAACATAATGGATTTCAGAATGTTCCGGGGTACATCCCGGACCCCCCTCCCCCTTAGCGGGGTGTGCCTTCGGCCTAAATCAACCTGAAAGTTCCATCCGCCCCGAGACACAATTAACACAAAAAAATTATGCATACGCACCTGTTAAGAAACTGACGAGCAATCCAACGAAGACGGTTACCACCCAAAACGCACACGCGTACCAGGTGTATGACAGCGTGTACATTTCAGCGATAGTTGGTCTAATTAGGAGAAATAAAATATTGAATTTAAGCCCTGGCTGTTATTACATTTGAAATATATATCTATTTTTTGACACAGAAAAATACCATGTAGGCTACAGTTCTAACTTCGAAGCGTTGTCAAAATTAAATCCTCAATTTAGTCCAATTACTAAAACTGAATTTGGAATATAAAGTTAATGTTTAAGCCTACATTTCAGGCGCCTGTGTCGTTGTCATCAGTAGTGAGCTGGGTGTGGTCACGGTCAGGTTACATCCTTCGGTCGTGAGAGGGGGCTTATAGGCGCCAGGTGGATAAATGATGGCACCGATGCCGATCCAGAAGGCAATGCCGAGACCAGAGAGTAGCCCTGCGACAGCACCCTTCACCAACAAAGCAGCAGGGTGGTATAATATGGGGGTTAGGTTAACCAATTCCTACGCTGTTTTGCAGTACAATTTTGTATTCAGTGAAAATGACAATTGTGGCACAATCAATGACGATCATGACATGATTGGGTACGTATCGATGGTGACAATGATTTTTATAGAAGCATTTTGTTGGTGAAGAACTTTTTGATCATGACAACGGCGGCGATGCTGGTTTATTGGAAAATGACGACAATGACATGAGATACTGAGGAGATTAATGACGACGGAACAGCCGATGACGAGAAGGATTCATCGGGTGCGAGTTGACGACGGCACTGCATTCATGATGGTGACAATACTGATGACGAAGACTGTGACAACGGTGACACTGTCATTGACGTCGAGGTGGCAACAAACAAAGCGATCAAAAATGTACAAAAAGGATGAAGGCGAAGCTAATTTTGACGAAGTTGACGAAAGAACTGGAGCTTAAATTTAACAAGGATGAATGATGAAGCTAACTTTGACTAGATCACAAATGGTTCTAGCGACATTTGACAAACAATGAAGGTACTCAATTGTATTTCCGACGGCAAGATCGGGGATTTTTTTGACGGGGATGACGATGGAACACGAGAGAAGGTTGACGGAGTTTTGGAGCAATTGGACAATGATGGCACTGATGGATCCAATTGCGATGAGCCAATAAGAGATGACGTCATGTTGAAGACGATAGGTGGTGTCAGTACTAGTCGTGTTAAGACTGATGGCAATCTTTACCTATAAACATACCTTTGAATTTGTCCAGGGAAAGAAGAGTCCAAGAGAAAACAGACCAAGTAGAGGTCCTCCGGTCATGCCGAATAGGCTGAGTGCCAACTTGGGGAAACAATCATAATTATTGGCCGTTTAATTCTTTTTCTTTGTTAAAAATGTGTATTTTTTGGTACGTGATTCAACTCAAAGAAGAATAAGTGGAACCAGGGAAGCTTCAAGTTGCAGCAATGACAGCCTAAGTAACACCAAAGGAGTGGACAAGGTTCACTGCTTCCATGTTTTGAAAACTGAATCTGAGATCGAGACTTACCTGTAGAACGCCTTGGTTCAGCAGAGATGTGACGTACGCAATCAGAATGCACAACAGGCCAAATCCACATGCTTTCATAACATAAAAAGTTAACAATGAAACGGAATGAACAAAAAGGAAAGAAATTCGCGAGAATTATTCATAAGAGAATTATTCTTTACGTAGTACACTGCAACTTCAACAAAGTGTAACTGATCGTTTCCAATTTCAAATTTCTACAAAATACTTTAAAGTCCCTTATGCTTAGAGGATGTCTAAAACGAGTGAAATGGGTGCTCACCAATCAGTTTGGTGACCAGCGTGTACCGTTCCTGTCTCATACGGGGAAAGCACGGCTTGACGAGATCCTCAGCAGTCACAGCTGCTAGTGCGTTCAGCCCGGACGACACAGTACTAGAGAGAACAGAACAACATTCTCAAGAAATTGTGTCGCAATGTGACCAATATAAGTTCCTTTATATAAAGTTCCCTTAAGTCGTCAAATTGAAGAACCAATAACTGTGTCTTCACGAGCTTTGGAAAAAAATCACCTTGGTGAGCCAGGACGTGTGACGCCTCTGAAGTATAATTGACACTGAAACCGAGGCCTCAGTGTTGTCTTTTGTTGAGAGATTAAAACAGACAAGTTCCTCAATATCATACAATTGTTTATCATCGAGTGCCTTGGTGTCAAACCAATTTAGAGTTCGTCTATACAGTTTTATAAGTCTAGTCTGTGGTTTCGGAAGGTTGACTGTCACTTAATAAATGCAACAACGAGGATTTCTGGTGCAAAACATCTCAGACTCCTGAAAACTACGTTGGTCTGAACGTGAGAGCATGTACAACTCAGAAACCAGGTAAAAATACTGGCTGGTCAACAAGAAACTCTCCTTGACTTTACAGTGTAGGCAGATTCCATGGCAACGACTTAATGTCTTCCGAGGTATACTCACCTGAGCGCGGCACTGAAGACGGCAGAAGTGAAGAAACCAGGAAGGCCAGGGATCGTCCCAAACAGCTCCATCATGAAATATGGAATAAGCTGAGGCAAACCAGGATGCAAGACAGATAATTCAATTTATATTTCCAGGCATGCCATAAGAAATATCTCTTCGGGAACGACATAATCAATCACGAATTACTTTGAATTACTGGAAGATTCACACAATACATACTCTTCAGTATACTCAGATGGGACAACAACAACTAAAACTGAGAGGTACACCATCAGCTGATTCACGAAGACTTACCTGATCTGTTTGTTGTATTTTGTTGCTGGTGTAAGGGTCACATTGCTTATCTGCGTAATAGGAGTACATGACCAGTCCGGACAGACATGCGGCTGAGACGACAATCACCATACCTGCAGCTGCTAAAAACATCGAACTGCAAGAAAGAAATCCAGTTCACAACTTAACACATGTACCATTTGTGTGAAGAAAAAGTAAACACATATTTCAACTGTCTTATACATTGAAGATAAATACATTTTGGCAAAATTGTTTCAACATAAGGAAGAGACGCCGGTTGTTGTTACCCGATGATGTGACAAGATGCATCGTCCAAAGTTCAGGAAAGGTTTCGTTCTTTGAATTGAACCTTGCTGACCACTCAGAGGAACAAGGTCCGGTCCTCAAAGGGGGTGCTCAGTTTAAGGGGATCATTAAGCATTAATAAATATAAGTTGCATTGCACGGTCGCACTATTGGTACCTTTGATTAATCAGATAACGAGGCTGTCATTATTCTTACCATTGCACTCATAAACATTCGTTGTTTGTATACTTACATCCGGGCTCTCTTGACAGACCCTGTAGTCAAGTATCGCTGCACCTGTGATTGGTTGACTGCGTAAGTTGTAGACCACGTGAAGCAACCCCCGATCACAATGGACCAAAAGGTGTGACGGATAGTCGGGTCGAAGTTAAAACTACAAAAAAAAACAGGAAAATTAAGTTTATATATCTGAGATTACATAATATATTTCATTTTGTATAACGAAGTTGTATCATCCAAAACTTAAACAATATTATAGTATTCTTAAACAAATTGAAATTGAAGCTGAAGATAAAAACGAGCTTTGAGAAAATGTTTGACGATGACCTACTTCCAGAAGTCGATGCGTCCTCCGTCTTCAGCGATTTGCCAGACCACGCCCAGCCCACCGAGCCGCATGGAACCAGCGATGATGATGGCGAGGAAACCAGCCATCATGACGCACATCTGAAAGACGTCAGTCCACAGTACAGCCTTCATGCCACCCTGGATAACACCGAGATGCAAAAAGGAGATCTTGTTATTGGTCTTACACCGTAAAATCTTGGTATAATGTTGACATCAAAGTGATCTTACTACTGTCCTGTATACTAGGCCTATTACCCAGTGTATTTACACATCATTCCACAGCATGTCCTGCATGTCACTCTGTGGATTACTGATGAAATACCCCCCCCCAAAAAAAAAGAAGCTGTGGGCAGGTGTTACTATACAATAACCTTTGTGCAAAATTAAAAGTATAAATTGTTATGATAAGTTTGAAACCTGCGATTTCCACGTAAATAATATTACAAACTTTGAGATGAAAATGGGTTAAAATATATCAAAATATAAGATTTAACGATAAGATATCAAATTTTAAGATAGTAAACGACCACTCTTGAAGGAAACTTTCTCTGCAGAAGATACTTACAACTGTCGTGTACACAGTGCAGACGAGTCCCGTGGCCAGAACTGATCCCCATAGACTGATATTGGTCACTGAAAGCAATGACGGGAAAATCAAGTTTATTTCTTTAGATTTATTATTAAAAAACAAATAGGTTTATTTTCGATCCATCAGGTTTTACCTGTATTTTGGAATTTTACAATGAAAAATCGATTTTTATAATCCACGACTTGAAATGCGACAAATTTTTAAATGAAAAACTATTTTCTTGAAAATACCAACCCGCATTGAGTGCCAACGCTGGAGTGTAGATCACTATTCCCATGTACATCACCTGGAGAAACAGAGAAAATTGTTTTTAAAAAAAATCATCTTCACCAAAAAAAAAGAATTATACATTCCACCGTCTTGTCAAAAAAGTACCAACGTTTTGGACATGCCTCTGTGATATTAAGATTACAGTCTGTCCTCGTAGCATATTTGTTTACTCAATATAAATTTTGGCAGTCTTAAACCAAACAAAAAAACACCCAGAATACTTGTTGGCTGTTTTGTTTTACTTGTTCCAAACGCGTTTTGAGTATACTGGGTAAAAGAATGACACAGCATCATTCGCACAGGTACCTGCAAAACTCATTCGTATAGTTCAATATTTGATAGAGATTATGACAGGCAGCCGTGATATTTGTTTAATGCTCATTAATAATCATAACAAAAAAGGACTTACTTCATGTGCCGGGTATAATACCCCCCCCCCCCCCCCCCGTGCATGACAACCAATATTTGTCCTGGTTGGGGATAAACTACATAACAGCCAACCATTTGAAGTTCTTATGATCACCAAAGCTATAGAGCCCAACCTAAGCAAATGCCAATGTTTGATGAGCGTCATCGGCAAGGTTATTAATCTGGTTTGTAAATATGTTGGCAAGATTACTCCGTAAAATCGTTTTTTCACACGTCGGAATTAAATTCTTAACTACGTAATTGTGTCTGAGAATGCTTTGTTTCTGACGCCACGCAAACTGAAACTCTGATGTGCACTGTTAAACCATAACGTCTTCCTAATTGTTACGCGGAGTTGTATTTTGTTATCACTTGTAAAGATGGTCAAACTAGGTAAATTCGTCATAGCAGCCATTTTTATAGATAATAACTACAGGTGTACAGAACACTCAGCACAGGTTCAAATATGTGTCCAACTGCACTGGTTCAATAACAAAAAAAGATTAGCCTTTTAGCAATCGCATTACATTATATTTACGTCTTCGAAGTGCTGGAGCGGTTTGGGGCAGCATGAGAAGTAACACCGGCAGGGCGGTTTGGGGTGGTACAGTACAAGAAATAAAGGGTTAAACAACTAAATTTAAATTGACTGACACTCGAAAATAAAACAACGACCGAAAAAAATAGTTCAAAGAGCAAAACTTACCATATTTAGAAAAAAGGTGAGCGTGGCACAGACGCGAACTACTTTGTTGAACCGCCGTTCGAGGTACTGAAATAGAGGAATAAATTGCGTAAATTAGATGATAATATTATTAAGTAGTCTTGAAGTAACAGTAGTCGATCTCAGACGGTTTTTTTTGTGGATTATTATTATTCGAAATATTTATATTCTTGTTCGCAAAAACTTTAACCATACTTCATTCTTAAAGTGGCCTACATGTAGTAAAGTAAATCCAGAGAGCTTTGCAACGACGAGAAAAAATTCACGAAAGAATGAGAAAAGACGAATCATTGTTTTGGTTCTAACACATTTAGGTTCAGTCAACCCTACCTCATTTGCACTTGTTATATTTAACCTGAAGAAGGCCGGTATAAACAGCCGTGACACTACGATTGCAATGATGGGATAGGTGAATGCGAAGAGCCAGAACATGGAGCCATAGATGTAGACCTCGGCAGGTGTACCCAGCACGGTGATAGCTGAGATGAAGCTAGCTACTAGAGACATGGCCACGGGGATGGGGTTCATGTTCCGGTCTGCCAGTAGGAACTCGCTGGTCGTCTTCTGTTTGCCTCCTGTGCAGCCATAGAAGAAGCCAATACCAAGCGAGATGGCCAGCATGCAGCCGAAGACCACATAGTCCCAGACGCCAAAAGTTCCGACATCCTCGGGCTCCGCCATGGTGTGAGTTACTCGGCTGTACAAGATATAGGCCCTAGTCACCAGCGGGTCCTCACTGATGTTGGAAAACACAACTTCTGAACTCGTACCGACAGCTGGCCTGCTTTTTAATCTTCAAAAAAGCTACGGTGGCCCTGAGGGGACGCCTCTAATGTTCACGAATCACGAGGTGACATTTATTAATCAGCTCACATTCACAGGTGTTTTAATCCTCAAAACGTCTTGCATATGTCAGAACTGAGATCTTCGCACTAATATGACATACATTTGTACGTTTTTAATCATTAAGATATTTCATTTTAAATTAAATGTTACGATAGTTTTTGTAGGAAGGAGAACCCGTTCTATGTTGCTGTTTTCCGACGTTGAATAGCATAAGTAAACCGAGTGTGGTAAAAATCATGAGCCACTGGGTGAACTGGATGCTTTTACATTGACGCGTATGTGTACATATTTTATTAAATAATGAACCAATAATAATCAATCTTAAACAATGCGACATTGTTGTTAAAACCTAATTTTTATTTTAAGGTACAAATACAATGTCGGGGATTCCGTACTATTATGCAAATTTTGACCTTGCCGTGACCCTCATGTTTGCACCCCTGACGAGCCGCATTAAAAGCCTTCTCGCACGTGACGAAAATTATCTCACTATCTATAAGATTGCATGTCTTATCTGAAAAGTAAACTGACACGTACACGTATATACCGTACAACAGATACGAGTGATGTACCAAATGGCAGCCTAATAAGACGACAATGGACGTCTTGATATTACTCACTTATAAATTGAAGACACACAATAGTCAAATTACATAAAAAATATATAGCAGTCTTGAGTTTCCGATAAGGATAAGAGTACATCGTGATGTGAACACCTGATGATGGTCAAAGTTCGTTTTTCTAATCTGTTCATTTTTATCAGCTGTTGACATGTTCGTTATAAAGATTTACACTTCATGATGCGATTACGATGGGATACAGTGTAAAGCATAAAGCAACACGCAATCAACAAGTACATGATATATATTATTTTCACCTTCCAATTTATGAAATAGATTTCGTTTGGTCGTGTAGGAGTCATGTCTTGCGCACTTATTAGACTTCAGCTCCTTCCATTTAAGTGTATGCATGATAAGGTATTCATGATTTAAACATTTTACGGATTGTATCCAGCAGATAAAATGGACGACCAAGATCCTAGAGAAAGGTGTACCCAACGTGCAGTGGAGACAATTCATGTTTGTGTCATGGAGTGATGCTTCAATTTCAACAAGTATAACAAATTGACTGACGTCGACACTTTATCGTTATGTGTACCATCATCCAACTTTCATAGTACAATGTACATGTATCGCGTTTGAAAAACAATTTAAGTGTTTTCCTCAGATCTCATCCACAAGTCTATGGCCCGAAAACGACTGAGCCTAATTGGTTCCGTTCTGTTTGCAGATTGGAAAAGGAGCAATCAAGAGCCCGAGATGGAACGAAGCCGTGATTTGAGAAACAGGTTCAGTCTATGGTAGCAGACCAGTAAATAAACTTCCATAGACCCCAATGGTAAATGCTCCCACTTCAAAAATTCGGGAAAAATACTCATAACTCTCCAAGGTGTTCGAGACGCACATCAAATTAAAGCTTATTTCATCATCTTTCATTTTCTTTTCAATTTTCGGGGGGTCAACTGATGACTTTTAGGAGAAATTTCCATCGGAAGATGATCACCCCTGAAAATAGTCCTGAAGCCCATCGCCATTTTGAAAAACGATGCCTACACTCCATTGCAAAAAATAGCGCTTTTAGGGTCCAAATTTCATCAAAATTACACAGAACTGCAAGCTCCAAGTCCTGTGCACGGCTTCTACCCATATTTTTTACAAACCCTCAAGTTCATGGCCCACAGCATGCCCAAATACCGAAGATTTTGAGGGCATGCAAATCGTGATTTGGCCGGCGCAGGCAATTTCGGACCGATTTACTGGTCTGCACCCCTATGCACTGCTGGCGCTTGGAATAACGTAGAGGGCGCCATAACATCCGGTAGGATCAGGCTGCAACATCTTTGGGCAAATTGTTGTGACCATAATAAGTAGGACAATCTCCACCCCATACAGTTGAAAAGAGCAATTCGAAATTTCGGGATAAACCTATTGGTAACAAATAATTAAAGAGAAAATTTAGTTCCGGGGAGGAATACTTTTTACATGGAGAGAAATAGTGAAGATTTAATACTGCAACCATCCCTTTACTCAGCGCCATTCTGTAATATGGTCTTTTTCATTCCTCAATGCTGTACCACAGAGTGCAAGCTAAATAAAATTCATAACAGAGGGCTCCTATACAGTTATCGATATGTTACGTAATAGCTGATTGTTATGGGGATTTGCCTTGATGACGTACGTCGGCGCTCTTACGTATCAACATGTCATTGTGTATACAATAGCCTTTGCTCAAGGCTGGTCATTCACAAAAGAATACAGACTAAACTCACCCCAGCTACAGTACAGGCGTGAGTTCACGTTGCTCGGTTGACCCGTAGGTCGAGAACGCGGTCGTGTCTTAGCACGCACTTGTTATTTCCCGCTCGTAGAAAGGCGTACCAGAAAGTACTCAAAACAAACACCAAACACATACAAACGGAACTTGACTATTCCCGTGCATTGTATAACCTTCGTAGAGTGTCTGAATGCTGAATCGTCGGGCGTGAATCGGTGTCAACAACTTGCCGGACAGCCAGTGCACACCGGGTACAGCTTCTAGCGATAGTCATAGCCATCATCCATGCATGTCATCGTAGTTAAAAGAAATATGGCTCCACGAATTATTCCAGGTCAACAATTGTAAGTTTTATAGTGCAGCGTACGTTCACAGGAATTCAGCTTAGATGCGATTTACATCGGATTGCAGCCGTATTCACCGAAAAAAACACGGTTCGACTGAGTTACCATTGGTTTGGACTTGAGACGGTCGCCCTTTATCACTTCCGGGTGCAGATTGGCGTCTCAACATGATGATGTTGCCGAAGGATGGGATTGCCACACTACGGTGTCCTTGTAGCAGAGGTGTAATGAGAATCTCTCAGATGGTTTTCGTTCTGTGTGGATTACTTGCTCGTGTTGGGTGCCAGCCGTACGGTAAGCTTGTGACGTTCGGGTAACATTCCCCAGTTTTGTGGCTCCATAGTTTGATTGTGTCGTTTCACAATAAAATTGGAGGATCAGGAGGGCCAGGGATGCGAGTTTAGTATGCAGTAAAAATCCAATGTTATTGTTATTGAGCGGGGATAAAGTAATCATGGCGGTGATGCGTGGGGTGACGGTGGAGGTCTAAGATACGTGACCAGACTCTGAAACGAGCAAAACAAAATCAGGCCACATTAACTCACTCTTTAGCCAGCAAATTCTCCACAAATTCCATTGGGAAAAGAAAAGGTCCTCAGTATTTCACCAGCCAAGTTTGCAGACTCAATTCAATTTTTAGGGAGACATTTCTTCAATATTTTACACATGGGATAGAAGTCAAGCGATTTCCATATGAAGCTAAAGACTAGACTGGTACATGTCCGACCGTGGTCCAACTAATTTGAAAAAAGAAGAAGAACTGAACTCTTCATTCAGTGTCATTCGTCTGGTGGATGGCAATGGAGAAATGTGCAGTAACTTACTGCACAGAGACTAGTTCCCGGTTCATGCCACATGTTTCTTTTAATTGGCACAGTTGATTGATGCAGTACTGAAGCGATGTTGGACCGGTTGTTTCAGGTGCCAGTCTATTTTCCTGTATTGCATGTTTTCAATACCTTACGTTTTGGGAGCGAGTCCCAAATTGTCGGTCCAGATGGTACAAATATGTACTGTCCATCATACCAGGCCTCAATTGCAGTTCAAAAATTGATATTCAGGTGTTGGAAATTTAACTCATGAAATAGCGCCCTCTTCTAATAATCCCTTTTATAATTATAACGTCAGAAGAAAACGGTAGATTAAAATAAAGTGTTTTTGCCTCTGCATTCTCTATCAGAAATCACTGAAATACGACTGATGGACGGACCTCCTGACGCGCCCAACTCCGGCCGAGTGGAGGTCCTCCACGAAAGCACGGGAGACTGGCTAAACGTGTGTGACGTGAACTACTGGGGAGACAACGACGGTACGGTAGCGTGCCGTCAGCTAGGCTTCCCGGGATTCTCACGGGCTAGACGGACCTCGTATTACGGCGAAGGAACCAACAACGGCTCGGTGGGCGGAATCGGGTGCAGTGGAGGTACGTACAGCAGCACTGCTCATGGGGTGTGAGCAGGTACCGAGGGCAAGCACCTGCTTGGGGGTCAGGGGCATATTCCAGCGAATATTTGGAATCTTGTATTCTTGCCTCAATAATTGTTTTTGTCAGTTTAAAGTTATTGCAATTTGCTCTGTTTTTGTGAGTGAAATTGTTTTCAAAATAGCAGGCCCTTTTTCATGTCGATTGCCAGCTGAGAATTACTTTGCCAATTATACTTATGCCTATATAGGCCTACCTAAAAAAAACACAATATGACCCAGAGTCAATTCACTTGATTTCTTTCACATTTTGACGTCTTTCACATTTTGACGTCGATCAAAATCACATTCTTGATGTCGATCTTTCGCAACACGCAGATGAGGACAGCCTTGGACAATGCACTCATCAACCCGTGAAGGAAACCGAGGGCTGCAACGGCCGAGTTGCCGGGTTGATATGTACAGGTAAGACGACACAAGTTCAATTATGAACTTTGCTGATCATCTTGTTTTCAATTTCAAGTTTCGTGTTTCTTTGTTGGACATCTTGGCCTAATCACATTTTAGTGAGTGTCCCTTTTTTGAGGTTCTGTGTGACATTAAAGTTAAGCAGTTGGGTTCGACGTTTCCCGTATCTGGTGAATAACAAGAGACACGTGTTTTGTCACTTTTCAGTGCCCGGTTTTCTTGGATGTTTCACCGACGACAGGAACAACCGCGTGTTCTCCGAAATGCGCCTCACAGCAGCCAACATGACCATCAGCCTGTGTCTTGACCGGTGTCGCCGTCAGGGGGCGCGCTATGCAGGGCTGGAGAACCGGCGGGATTGCTATTGCGGGGCCGAGGGCACGCAGATTGATATCTACGGCCGGCTGCGTGACCGGGACTGCAAGAGCGATTGCCTGGGGAACCCCGACGAAATTTGTGGCGGTGGAGGGAAACTGTCCATCTACGACCGTGAGTAAAGACTAATCTAGCCCGAGACTGGATTTTTTGTGTACATGTATAGCATAAATATTATAGTACTCTATACACAAGTCATCAGATGTGAAGCAATGTTATCTTTGCAGTGACGCTGGGCTACTGCATGGACCCAGGGACCCCGGCTAACGGCGGTCGTCGGCCGGCAGATGGAGACGCGTTTCACTACGGCGTAAATGTCACCTTCTTCTGCGATGACGGTTTTGAGCTCGTGGGGTCGGACTCGGCGAGATGTGTGCTGGGTGATTCGCCGCAGGAGGTTCGCTGGGATGAACCCATGCCACAGTGCAGATGTAAGTAATCCATCGGAGTATTTTATGAAAGAAAAAACAAGGATTCTGAAGTTTACAAAGAAAATAATACCGCTGTAAACTATCACTCGAGTGGATTGCTTCGCCAACTCGAAATGCTCAGTTTTTCTTCTTGGTCTTTGTGTTATTCTTTCTTACAATTTGATGTGAATCCCACACCAATAAACATCAATCTTATTTAAATGCATGCATTAATTACACCGGCATGTTTTTTTCACAGCTTTGTCGGTATCAACGACTCCAGACCCGGGGCTAGTAGACGACATGCTAAGCAGTGGCCAGGGCGCAGGTAAGCCACACTTTTCGATGAGCCGGCAGTGTTCATTCTTACTTTGCGTTCAAGTTTTCTTTCGCACAATGTTATTGAACTCTTAGTATATGCAGTGCAAGTTATGAATTTTGGGAAAGGTTTTGTTTGTGTGACATGAACATCAAAAAATACAATGTCTATTGGAGTAATCGTGCTGCTTGATAGTTTGAATAAAACAGTCAACTTGTGACTCACTCTGAAAACAAATTGGTAATGCCAATGTTTTGTCCCGTACCAAGAGGCGCTGATGTAATGCATTCCAGTTAAACAAATAAACGAAAGTTTTAAAGTTGATTGGCAGTATAATATACTGTAACATGTCTGGCAAGTTACTCTTGATGCAATTATGCTTGTCTGGCCTTCTAAACATTTTACATGTGTTTGAAATGTCGTCTGTTTCAGGAACAACTGCTGGGATAGTAGTGGCGTGCGTCGTGGTGTTCGTTCTTGTTGCAATCCTCGTAATTCTTTTCATACGAAAAAGGTTAGTCCTGGCATTTTTACTCGTTATGAGAAATAATGTTGTGGTCACGAAAACAAACTCAACTTGTTTTACATATCGACTTGGGCTGCTCGTTAAAGTGTCCTCCTGTTTTTTACACTACTAAAAACCTTATTTGTATCAATTAGGAGGCGGACGCTTGACAGGAACGCAAACAGGACCCCGGGGGATAAGCACGGTAACGCCTACTCCGAGCCGGACCCCGCGTCAAGGTACCAAACCTCCCCGGGCACGACAAGCGCCAACAGCGAGTACCAAGACCTGACCCTACCGTCCAACGACGCGGAGGGACCTTATACCTCGCTGCGGAAGCCCGCTCAACATCGTACTTCCGAGAAGGAGATCCCGGAGTACCTGGAGTTGTACGCCGAAGGTATCAACCCCCTCAAGGAGCAGCAAGGAGGCAAGCCACCGAAACTCGCTCTGGCCAGCGGGGCTGGCGCGGGCAAGATGCCCGCCGCGGCACGGCAGAAGGCCTCACGGACCGGCAAGGCTCGCCTGCCGAGTCCGGAGGTGCATGAGAACGAGTATTCCTACGTGGACGCATCAAGGTTTAGCAGCAACTCCCAGGGACTAGGGGCAGGCAAGCCCCAAGATGCTAGGCCACAACAATCCCAAGAGTACGCTGAAGCAGATTCCGTGTATTACAGTGTACCACCTGATGCGCGATAATGGATCAATAAAAAAGGTCTGAAGAATGGAAGCACATAGGGCGCAATATTTATCTGCACCCTCGTAGTGTCTTACTTGTTAAAACGCAGCAAAACAGGAATAGTATTAGCCTATTTGAGGTATGGTGGACACAATAATGAGGGCGCTGTTTGATTTGGGTAAACTCTTTTGTACTTACCCAAACCAAACAGCGCCCTCTTATCAATGTGGCGGCCATACCTCAAGTAGGCTAATGGTACTGGTGTAAACTCAGGATTAAGTCTAAAACCCCGACTCTTTGACAGGAAAAAAACTGGAACAGTGATAAGGGATACATAACTACATGAGTCCTTATCACATTGTGTTCCCATTCCCAGTTTCTGATCTGACTGATAATAATGTCACCGAACTTTCTGTTCGGTTAACCGACATGTTTGGTCCAAGTTCCTGAGTAACAAGAAATGTACAGGAAACCTAAACCACCATTTTTTTGGTCGAATCAGCCTTTGCAGTTTAGTGGTAAATTTTCCATTACGCAGTACTCGTTTTTCTTTGAAACAAACTTTTTTTTCCGAGCAAGCATCGACCTGAACTTTTGGGGGAAAAAAACCTACTCTTTCAAACTTTTATTTCAAAATATAATAGTAAAAGGTTCTTTGCAAGTATAAAATGTATAGTGTTATTAAATGGTTTGATATTGTTACTCCCTTTCAAAAGTTTAGTCGTTTTTAATATGTTTCTATTTTAATACATTTCTACTGTTTTTAAGGAGGTTTTGGGCAGATACGCTGTATATCATATACTAGGATGTGGTCTTCGTTGTTACGTCTGGTCCAAAAAGATTGCATTGTGTACATTTTGTTATTGGTAATGTTCAAATTCGAAGTATTTACATAATGATAGCTTTAATAAACATCACAGTATATTGCTTGTTCTTAATTTAAATTCAGCACAAAGTATTTTGTACACATAGAAAACTGTTTTCGGTCAAACATGAAATTTACTGCAATGGAATTCAGCCTGCAATATTTAGAATACTGTATCGTCATTAACCATGTATCTGCGCTGTTTTACCCGATGTATCGTCTTTTTTCATGGTAAAAAAACTACATGAAAGACAAATTTAAAAAAAAATGTATATTTTGTTTTACTCGCTTCAATTTGAGGGCGCTCTCTTATAATCAGCCATTGTAACCCGAAAATGACGACTATGAATTGTATAATTAGAACCCGAAAGTTGTATTTACAAAATAAACAGAACAAACGATGTATTAATGGGATCACATTCGTTTCCTTAATTTGTTTTGTTTTACTTTAATTCGTTCTTTGGGTTTGTTTGCTTGTTAGCTTACTTGTTTGGATTAGCGACAATGAATTAGTTTTAACATTTTTTTCGAGTTGCAATGCATTGTAATGGCATGCTGTGTCGACGACACTCGTCCTTTGTCCAATGTCTGCAGTTTCTTTTACACAGTGCTGGATAAAATGGGAAAGAAAAACTAAACAGGAAGGAGATCGTGTTGTCATGTCCTTGTGTTGATTTCATGAACAAGTAAAAACAACAGACACATCAATCATCAGAACTATGTGACTAACGTCCGCTGACCATCACTAATGATTTTAGGATAGACTAACACCCAGTAAAATTTTACGCGAAAAGGCCATTTTAAGGCATGTTAGCCTACACTTAAATTTAGGCTAAGCGAAAAAGGTTTCCATGGCTTGAAAAAATGCCAGAGAATGCCAATTTTTCCCAGGCTACCACTGAAACAACCACACATATGGGCAGTTTAATTAGTTTGTACAAAGATTTTGTGAAACAACCATTGGCGCAAGGGGGCGGGAATCGCTTTCCCCCTTTTTGTGAATCGGCCCGCCCTTCCTTTAAATTGCTAGCAGCGAAATCATTAAGTCCCTGACGTGTGTACGTTATGGATCTGTACGTGTCCATACTGAAACAAACAACACAAATCAGTTGCGTCAGATTCGCACGAAACAGGAACGAAATACGGCTAACCATTTCCCGTTGGTACCCCTGTCAGTGTGAACTTTTGCATGAATTGTCGATCTGCGGTCCCTGATCATTCGCTCATCACAATGGTCCCTGGCCGACCTTGCCCTTTCAATTCAGTCTCGATATTATTCTGTTTACCACGTTTTGTTGTAATCCAGCGACTTTTTTCATGGAATGCTAGCAGCCAGTGGCACAAGGAAGTATGATAAAGCATATCAAACACGGAAAGCAAGTAATCACGACATGAGCAGTCGTGCACCGTGAAAACAAATCCTGTGAATGTGGAAATTTCAGTTTCGTTAGCGATTTTGCTCATTGTGCTTATGGTTTACACACCTGTATCTAAGTGGACAACATTGATCTTCTTCAGACCGTACACTTGTTTATCATAAAGCTGATTATTTTTCACTGACATTACGTGAATGAACTCCGTTATCAACGAGAAGGCAACCTGCACGCTGAAGGTAGGCAACGTTGTATGATTACCCATTCTCATACTCAACATTACTGTTATGTGCAGTTCATGTATATATTTTTTTTAAAGATGTGTTTACTCGAGGAAATGCAGTTGGGTAAATTAACGTTTCATATAGGTTAGTCTTTCAAAAACTAATAGAATAAATTATCTTTCCGAAAATGCAAGAAACTCTAAGGTATTTTCAGATGTTCCTCTTCACATGCCCGTTTTGTTCGTTAGTTTGTGTCAACTGTTTTATTTTTCATCGAAAAACATGAAACGAGGGAAATCGTGTTGTTATGATGGCAAGGTAAGTACAAAGTCAGTTACCGTGTCCTGAGCCAATACATCGAGCCAGCATTTGTCTCTGATATCCTCGACATAAAAACTGACAATATTACTTTATCCCTATCCCACTCCGACTACCCCTCATCCAATGTTGGCACCAATTAATGTGCTCGTAAGTTGAGAGAGGCAGGTGGGGTGAAGTGGCTTGCCCAAGGACACATTCAACATTATGGCAAGCGGTTGGATTCGAACCGCTTAAAGAGGTTGTGGAATGCTAGAAGACATTTCCGTCATTTTTCGGGTATATGCTCCCGATGCAGAGTAGCATAAACGAGTCCTGTTTATTGCGTCACGATTTACTGTGTTTTGTTTGCTGCCCGCAACGACGACTTTTACACAAATTGCACGTTCGGGTCGAAACAGGACCTGAAAAATAGCTCTCAAAAGTAACCTTTGTACTCATTTCATGACAGAAACAATAGTCGTTTTTATTTCATCACACTTTAGGTTACATATACCCAAAAAATGACGAAAATGTTTTCGAGCATTCCACAACCTCTTTAAACTCTGATCATGCATCACAAACCCTAACCAATTGGCAACATTCCAACCTAACTAAATCATAAAAAAATACTTTTATTCAGTAATGATAAGGTGTTTTCCCCCTCGCATTTCCTCGTGGAACGGACTATCACGGTAACAATGAATGCAAAAAAGGATTGTGGCGGATCTCGAACTGTGACCGTCGAAAGGACGGGTTTTTTTTCCGCCCGGCTTCCTAAAAAATCTGGGAATACAAAATATGCAAACCGGTGACTTTGAAGTTTTTGAAAGCTGCAAAGTGAAGCAATGGTCTTTATCATCCCTTTATTTAGGTGATGTGAGTCGCATGAATAACTTTGTTAATGAACCTGGCAGATTGAATATATATTTGAGCAGAGTTTATTCGGGTGTATCATTTATGAATCTCCAGGTTTTACATGGTTTTTATAATTTTCACAATTTAATATTTCTTTATTAACGAAATCAACTTTCCCTGGAAGTATGAAGGCACCCTTACTCAGAGCTTTCAGTAAGAAACCTTTAGAGGTTTAAGGAGATTCCCTCTCTCTTTTTTTTTGGGGGGGGGGGCTGAAATCCCATGAGAAATGGTCAACGATATCGGGAGACAATTATAAGCGGTGTATTTTCGCTGGTCTCAGAAGGCCGGCCTATAATGTCCTCCTTGTACCTGCTGATTCACTGTCACTTTTGACTGAGACTTGGCCAGTTTTACGACGTTTGCCTAGTATATGCTTTTTTCGTCTTTTCATTGATACTCAGACATGAAGAGTTTCATCTTTCGACTCGAGTTTGTGCTGCTGATCATTGTGTGTACATCGCCACAGCTATCGCTGCAGATGGGTAGGGAAAAAATGCCATTTAGTAAGACAACAATCTTGAAGAAAAAAAACTGTGAAAAACTTCCAGCCTATTACACATGGGCGTCGCCAGGATTTTTTTCCCGGGGGGGCAAGGCAAATTTTTGCCCAAAATTCCTTCACTTTTTCATTATATTCTCAATTTGTCATTTTTCCGAGCGTGAGCAGGAGAGCATTTGCCCTACCTCCCCCATCAAATTAACAGCAATGTGGCTTCGCACCTCTTTTTCCTTCCCCCCCCCTTTTTTTTTTTTGGGGGGGGGGTGTTTTCAGGGGGGGGGGGCAAGCGCCCCCTTGCACCCCCCCCTTTCGCGACGCCTATGCTGTTACATTAACTTCGAACACCCTTTTAAACGTTCCATTCCGTTGTATGTCCATTATCTTTCCTTTCCAGGGGCTTTAAATATTCATTTTACCTCAAGAAACAGGCAGGTTTATCCAGGAGGGGTTGGAATAACTATAGTCTTCCCGCCTGAATTAAATACTTGTGAGACAACCTGATATACGAGAGAAGGATTCGCAGAGTGATTCAAGTCTAGAACCAGCAGTTTTTTTTCTGCTGAAAATCTTGAATAAAATAGATTGAATATCCGAAGAAATAAGTGATGGAGATATGATGCGATGAGATTATAGCCAGTTCGCAAGAAGAGCTCGATCATGGCCCCCTATCCCGAGATTTTGCAAGGAGGGTCCGTCTGCTGAACTTAGTTCCCAGTCTACACTTCTGCTCCTCTGATATACACGTTTGCCTACCTTTCCTTTCGTTTTGTTTGCTATTTTTGAGAAGAGGTAGAAACAAAAATATAATATCCACTGTTTTAATTTGTCCCTTTTAAGTGTTAACTGATGTTCGGCTGGTTGAGGGGCAACCAAACTCGGGTCGAGTCCAAGTACAAATCGACAACTCAACGTGGATTGATGTGTGCGATGACATGTGGGATGACGAGGACGGTCGAGTGGTCTGTCGGCAGCTGGGATTTCCAGGGCTGGACGAACATTTGAGAGGCCTTCCAATTGGACAGCAAAGTACAAAATCAGCCACAAGGTTTAATTGCGACAGAAGTAAGTCTGGCAGTGAATGTCTTTAATTACACTTACTATAGTAATAATGTCCATATTTCATTAATTCGGTAGTGGTTAAAGGCAGATCCATGTTACTTTTTCATGGTTAAATCTGACCCATAGATATAAAAAAAAAACGAAGAATGAAGAAAAGTTTGTATACCTTGGGTTGTATAGGTTTCAAATGCGTCTTTACTAAACTTAAATCCTGCTGACTGATGCTGTTGAATATACCCGGTGTAAGTTTTTTTTTTTTCATGACTGTAGGTTTAAGACATATACTGCGAATCATACATTTCAATTATATCTATCAAATTGCTTGTCTTCGCAGGTGATTCTACACTTTCGGAATGCAGGCACGTCAGTAGTGACATGATGTGTGGCTCTGACAAAGGAGCAGGAGTTACATGCAGTGGTGGTAGGTGTTGTCTAATGGCTGGATGTAATACGAAGCATAACTCATACTCTTTTAAAAAAAATGATTTTGTTCTCATTACGAATGTTCAATGTGTGTGTGTTTTTTTTAACACAAAAAAATACTTTGTTTCGATTTTGGGCGTCTGCAACCCTCTGGAAAAAAAGGCTTTCATTCTATGCGAAAACCCGACCCTTCGAGAGCCGAATTATTGTCTGGCAGCCAGTAACTCGGATTTTGTGAAATAATGGATTTTTGGTTCGATGTCTCATTCAAAACTGAATATTTTTTTATATTGGGAAATAGTAATGATAAAAAAATATCCTTATTTTTTTTTTTAGAGAACAAGCAAATTTTTTTCTGTTGATAATCTTGAACAATTTATTTTTTAAATTTGAATAAAAAGGCTGGAGATATGGTACGCAAGCAAGGATCGTGCACCCTATCCCAAGATATACAAGGAGCCTCTGCTAGCAAACTTAGTTCCAAGTCTACAACTTGTCCCCTTTGGTATGCCTACGTTTCCTTCTTTTTATTTGCTATTTCTGGAAAGAGGTACAGAAACAAAAATAACGAATATCAGCTTTTTTATTTGTTCCTTTTAAGTGATTACTGATGTTCGGCTGGTCAGTGAGCCTTCGCAGCCAAACTCGGGTCGAGTCCAAGTACAAATCAATGGCTCCATTACGTGGATTGATGTGTGCGAGAATGGGTGGGATGAAGATGACGGTGGAGTGGTCTGTCGGCAGCTGGGATTTCCAGGGCTAGCCCAACATTTGAGAGGCCTTCCAATTGCCGGACAGCAAAGTATGGAATCAGTCAGGAATTTTAGATGCCAAGGAAGTAAGTCTGGTAGCAAATTTATCCAATTTCAATTTATAAGCAGTATAATGTCCATCTTTCATCAAATAAACAGTGTTAGTAAAGCCCATTTCGTACGTCGAGTGGCAGATTTCAGATATATAAGAAGCAACAATCAAAATAAGATTGACAAAGGTTCTTGATAACCACGTTATCTTGTGCGTTTCAAACGCAGTCTAACTTAAACCTGACAATTATTCTGTAGTGTACTGGGTTAAGTTTTCTCCGTGTAGTTTGTTTTTAAGATACACACAGAGAATCATACAATTACATCGATAAAAATGCTTGTTTTCTCAGGTGAATCTACACTTTCGGAATGTGAGTACCAAATTGAAGACATGTGTGGCTCTGACAAAGGAGCAGGAGTTACATGCAGTGGTAGGTGTTGTCTAATGGCTGGATGTAATTATTTTAAAGTGGCATAACTCATGCTCTTTTTAAAAAAAAATGATTTGTTCTTATAACGCATTTTCAATTGTTGTGTTTTGTTTAAGTCGAAAATTACTTTCATTTTATGCACAAATAACCCGCCCTGCGAAAGCGAAATTATTGTCTGGCAGTCTACAATTCGAAATATGTAAAGAAATGGTTCAATAACTAAACGTTGGTGGTTTTTTTGGTTCAATGTCTCATCAAAACTGAATAAATTTTACACTTATATTCTATTCGTTTTAGTAAAAAAAAAAAAAAAAAGGCCTTTTTTTTAAAGACCAAGCAATTTTTCTGCTGGTAATCTTGAATGAAAATAGGTTTATTTAAAAATTGAAAACAAAGGGATGGAGACATGATACAATCAGTTAGTCAGTTCGCAAGCAGAGATCATTGCATCTTCTCCCAAGATTATACAAGGAGGCTCTGATGACAAACTATGATTTCTGGTCTACAGTCAAGGGTGGATTCATGGGGGGGGGGGACCAACGGGGTCATCCCCAGAAAAAGTGACGTCGCAATAAAGGCAGACACTGCGTACACCATCATCCTTTGCTTTAAAAAAATGTTAAAGTGGTCAGATATATTGCCTCAGATCGCACCAAAGGGCATCTAGAATAAAAAAAAAAAAGCCGGCCCCTTAAGCCGGTCCCGAACCCCAAGCCGTAATTTTTTTTGACACACTTTTTTGGGGACCAAACTTTTTCTTTTTGGCCCCCAAAAATTGTGTTCTGGATCCGCCCTTCTCTACTACAATTTGTCCCCTCTGTTACAAGTACGTTTGTTTTGTTTTGTTTGATATTTCTGGGAAGAGATAAAACAACACTACCGAACATCCGCTGTTTTCGTTTGTCCCTTTTTAAGTGATCACTGATGTTCGGCTGGTTGGGCCAATGCGACCACTAACGGGTCGAGTCCAAGTACAGATCAACAACTCAACGTGGATTGACGTGTGCGATGACATGTGGGATGACGAGGACGGTCGAGTGGTCTGTCGGCAGCTGGGATTTCCAGGGCTGGACGAACGTTTGAGAGACCTTCCAATTGGACAGCAAAGTACAAAATCAGCCACAAGGTTTAATTGCGACAGAAGTAAGTCTGGTAGTGTATGTCTTTAATTACACTTACTATAGTAATAATGTCCATATTTCATTAATTCGGTAGTGGTTAAAGGCAGATCTGTGTTATTTCTTTATGGTTAAATCTGACCCATAGATATAAATTTAAAAAAACGAAGAATGAGAAAAGTTTTTATACCTTGGGTTGTATAGGTTTCAAATGCGTCTTTACTAAACGTAAATCCTGCTGACTAATTCTGTTGACTATAACCCGGGTTTTTTTTTTTCATGACTGTAGGTTTTAAGACATATACTGCGAATCATACATTTCAAATATATCTATCAAAATGCTTGTCTTTGCAGGTGATTCTACACTTTCGGAATGCAGGCACGTCAGTAGTGACATGATGTGTGGCTCTGACAAAGGAGCAGGAGTTACATGCAGTGGTGGTAGGTGTTGTCTAATGGCTGGATGTAATACGAAGCATAACTCATACTCTTTAAAAAAAATGATTTTGTTCTCATTACGAATGTTCAATGTGTGTGTGTTTTTTTTAACACAAAAAAAATACTTTGTTTCGATTTTGGGCGTCTGCAACCCTCTGGAAAAAAAGGCTTTCATTCTATGCGAAAACCCGACCCTTCGAGAGCCGAATTATTGTCTGGCAGCCAGTAACTCAGATTTTGTGAAATAATGGATTTTTGGTTCGATGTCTCATTCAAAACTGTATATTTTTTTATATTGGGAAATAGTAATGATAAAAAAATATCCTTATTTTTTTTTTAGAGAACAAGCAATTTTTTTCTGTTGATAATCTTGAACAATTTATTTTTTAAATTTGAATAAAAAGGCTAGATTATGGTACGCAAGCAAGGATCGTGCACCCTATCCCAAGATATACAAGGAGCCTCTGCTAGCAAACTTAGTTCCAAGTCTACAACTTGTCCCCTTTGGTATGCCTACGTTTCCTTCTGTTTATTTGCTATTTCTGGAAAGAGGTACAGAAACAAAAATAACGAATATCAGCTTTTTTATTTGTTCCTTTTAAGTGATTACTGATGTTCGGCTGGTCAGTGAGCCTTCGCAGCCAAACTCGGGTCGAGTCCAAGTACAAATCAATGGCTCCATTACGTGGATTGATGTGTGCGAGAATGGGTGGGATGAAGATGACGGTGGAGTGGTCTGTCGGCAGCTGGGATTTCCAGGGCTAGCCCAACATTTGAGAGGCCTTCCAATTGCCGGACAGCAAAGTATGGAATCAGTCAGGAATTTTAGATGCCAAGGAAGTAAGTCTGGTAGCAAATTTATCCAATTTCAATTTATAAGCAGTATAATGTCCATCTTTCATCAAATAAACAGTGTTAGTAAAGCCCATTTCGTACGTCGAGTGGCAGATTTCAGATATATAAGAAGCAACAATCAAAATAAGATTGACAAAGGTTCTTGATAACCACGTTATCTTGTGCGTTTCAAACGCAGTCTAACTTAAACCTGACAATTATTCTGTAGTGTACTGGGTTAAGTTTTCTCCGTGAAGTTAGTTTTTAAGATACACACAGCGAATCATACAATTATATCGATAAAAATGCTTGTTTTCTCAGGTGAATCTACACTTTCGGAATGTGAGTACCAAATTGAAGACATGTGTGGCTCTGACAAAGGAGCAGGAGTTACATGCAGTGGTAGGTGTTGTCTAATGGCTGGATGTAATTATTTTAAAGTGGCATAACTCATGCTCTTTTTAAAAAAAAAATGATTTGTTCTTATAACGCATTTTCAATTGTTGTGTTTTGTTTAAGTCGAAAATTACTTTCATTTCATGCACAAATAACCCGCCCTGCGAAAGCGAAATTATTGTCTGGCAGTCTACAATTCGAAATATGTAAAGAAATGGTTCAATAACTAAACGTTGGTGGTTTTTTTGGTTCAATGTCTCATTCAAAACTGAAAAAAAAGTGGTCAGATATATTGCCTCAGATCGCACCAAAGGGCATCTAGAATAATAATAATAAAAAAAAGCCGGCCCCTTAAGCCGGTCCCGAACCCCAAGCCGTAATTTTTTTGACCCACTTTTTGGGGGACCAAACTTTTTCTTTTTGGCCCCCAAAAATTGTGTTCTGGATCCGCCCTTCTCTACTACAACTTGTCCCCTCTGTTACAAGTACGTTTGTTTTGTTTTGTTTGCTATTTCTGTGAAGAGATAAAACAACACTGCCAAACATCCGCTGTTTTCGTTTGTCCCTTTTTAAGTGATCACTGATGTTCGGCTGGTTGGGCCAATGCGACCACTATCGGGTCGAGTCCAAGTACAAATGAATGACTCAACGTGGATTGACGTGTGCGATGATATGTGGGATGACGAGGACGGTCGAGTGGTCTGTCGGCAGCTGGGATTTCAGGGGCTATCTGAACGTGTGACACGCCTTGACATTGGAGAGCGAAGTACAGCATCAGTCAGGAATTTTAGATGCCAAGGCAGTAAGTCTGGTAGCGAATTTCTCTCATTTCAATTCTTAGGCAGTATAATGCCCATCTTTCATCATAACACAGTATTGATAAAGGTCGTTTTGTCATCAAGTAGCAAAATCAGACCCATAACAAAACTAAAATGAAAAGATAATTGAGAAAAGTTCATACTTTTCTCGTTCACAGTGTGTTTCAAATGAACTCCTAAATCTGTAGTCGACTCTGTGTAAATTGTATTATTTTTCCCAGTCGAATTCCGATTGAAATTGTGAGAGTACATTGTATACAAATAATTGTTTACTCAATTTTTATATATTTTTGGTCTGATGACTGTATTAAACAAACTATGATTACATCGATGAAAATCCTGTTTTTGCAGGTGAATCTTCACTTTCGGAATGCTGGCACCAACTTAGAGACAATATGATTTGTGACTCAAACAGAGGAGCTGCAGGAGTTACATGCAGTGGTAGGTGTTGTCTAAAGGATGAATTCCTTTATTTTAAAGGGCAACTGTAATTTTGTTTCAATGCAGTCCTTAAAAATACACCTTTGTGTCCCATTTACCTTATTTTCAATTTTCGTTTCGCCATTTCTAAGGGTATTTTGGTGCCTTTTTGGTTTTTATGCTTATGCAAATTTCCATTTCATGTGCAAAACTGTGATGTCTCTCCGGGCAGAAACGTCAATGCTACAACTATTGGAAAGTATATTACATGACTGAGGAAAGGCTCGTCGTACCGACAAGACGTTGCGATGAAAATACTTTTTCGCTAATCTTGGCTATCAAGTTAATATTTTGTCAACACTGTTTTTGTTTTTCCGAGTGCATCTGGAGAAAAGTGGTTATAACGGGACAACATCGTCTCTAAAAAGGTGTAAATGTTTCACTTTTTTGCTTTTCTTGTTGTGTAATTTGTTAAACGCGAGGTGGCCTATCCCTGCTATTTTGCATCAGCTTTTCCAACAACCAAACCACCCACCGAAGCGACAACTGCAGTACGTTTAACAGCAGAAATAACAACCAAGGGAGCAACTTCCCAAGAGCCCGAGCGAACAACACTCAGCATCGCCGGCACGACCGAAACAGACGAGATGGGAGGAACCACGGCCAGGGAGTCAGTCCCTTCCGCCCAGACTACGGGAGAATCCGTCCAAAACTCCCCAGTGACGATCGGGACCAGAACCGATGAAACCACGAACCCCGAGCTGACGCGGTCGCCTAACGAGAGAGACGGCACAACGATCATATCCACAGCCGGAGACGGAGGATCTGATGCGCGAGGCGGCTCAAATCCAGGTAAAACGAATTTTTGTATTTCGTTCCTGGAAGTAAACATTGTTGGGAGTAACTCCTTGCAATTTCAATCTTTTTAATGACGACTTAATATTTACCATTACCAACCGTTATATCCAATATTAAGAAATGTGCATGCGTTCATCTGCAAGTGCTGATACTCATTCTTCCTCCGGTTGTGAATATTGTCGGCTGCCATCCCACCAATCAGAAACACAGAGTCATGCATGCCAGGGAACCAGTTCAAGACACTCACCTCTTATTTTATGCATTATCAGCCTCTTTCCGAGGTATCAAATGATAATTACTTTCTCATTTCTTTGCTTCTGTTCTTTTGTGCAGGAGCATACATTGGCCTAGCATTAGGATGTGTCCTCTTCGTCGTGTGCGCTAGCATTATTGTCGTCTGTCTTCTGAAAAGGTACGGGTTCTCTACTTTAATAAAACAGTTTAATTATATCTTTAAAGCTAAAGTCACTCAAGTCTGTGTCTGACAAGGCACGGAATATGCCCTTACAAATCAATTGACTCAACTTGAGTAAAATCCGAAACAGGTTGCACAGTTAATCATCATCTTCCATGTCCTTTAATACCACATTACACTAACTAAAAACCGTTCCCAAAAATACACCACACGAATGAACAAATCCGCGAAAAAGACTAGGTCAGAACGAAAGTCACAAGCCAGTCACACCCGATACCAAATTAAAAACGAAACTCACAAACGGTTTTTATTTAAGTCTTACCCATGCCTAATCCCGTATCTTTTCTGATACCTCAGTGAAGCACTTCAATAAGCAACCGGATAAATCCTTCACATGCCTTGTCTTGGTTTCTGTCTTCTTATTAGACACAAGAGGCAAGACAAACCCACAGTCCCAGCCGCCTTCCAGTCGTCAGCCGGCTTCCAACAACACAGCGCCGTCTACGATAACTCCCAAGGATCGAATCATCTCAAGATGCGTGAGCTTGGAAACTCACAGGCCGAGAAGGCCGCTCCTAAACCAGCCGACGACTCAGCAGAATACGCTTACTGCGCTGTGGAGGGAAGAAATCTAGAGGTCGAGGCAGGATACGTTGCTCCTAATCCATCACCGGTCAAGACCCCCCAGGAACATCCGGTGTCTTCAAAACAAAAGCCGAGCAACGAGTTGGCTGGGAAAATAGCAAATCCATGTTACCTAGAACTTGATGGGAAAATAGCTCCGGATGACAAGGCACCGACATCTGGTCCAGAATCCGACGACGCGTACTATTTTAAACTGCAGCCGGACTCGCCTAAACCGGTGACAACTGACCAGGTTGCGGGGGGTACCGACTACTTCACCGTTGAAGAGGGAGGAGACTTGGTCGACAACGGGCAGTACACTACCGGAGTGGTCGGGGAAAAAGCCACACCAGAACCGCCCGGCAACCCAGATGACGTCGATGACCACTACTACTCCTACGCCAAACCGGACACCACCAAACAGTCGGATCCTCCGGAAGACGACGTGTACACGTACGCAGATGCACCGATAGATAGCACCAACAACCTGCCACCAAACACCGACTATTTCATGATTGAGGAAGGGGGTAACTCCATGGGTTCCCCCCAGCAACCAGCGACGGAGAGCGAGTATGCCTACGCAGATCCCACCCAGCTTCGTGAGGAGTCGCCAGACGAAACCGAGGGATGGGTGGAAAATATCGTGTATGCTGCGGGTCCGTTAAAGTAGTCCAGGCGGCCACAGTCACAAAACCCTACATAAGTCGCAAGCCAATTAAAAGTCCTCCAGTCACAAGTTAAGTGAGAAGCTTTTCAAAGTGAAACTTAAACATCAATTTCGACATTATTTATAATGTGACTACTTGTACTTGTTTGAAATCGACTGAATGACACTCTGCCCAATGTGTACAAAGTTGTATGTAATGTAATCTCTGGACAAATAATTTGAGAGCTCCCATCTCCAACAATGCTTAAGTTCGTTCGGTTTTTGCTTGTATTAATAGCAAGTTGGATTTTAGTTTTCCAATTGATGCAAGGCAACATTTTGTACAAAACAAATAAAAAGCTCTATCAATTTTAGACAGTCAAAGTTAATAGATATCGTCATCGTTGGTCACGTTTTTTTGAGCAAATATATTAAAAATCCGAACTTAAAAGCTTTGAATTCTCCTGTGAACAAATGGCTGTATTCGCTTGTATAATATCATGCTGCGCCGCTGCCGCTGTATCGAAAATTATTGGGGTTTTTTTTAATAGAATAATTAAGGTATATGCTATATTTTGCTGTACATTGCCTTTGCGTTATGCCTTTATCCAGCAGTACATATTGAATTTTGATACTTAACTAATTATAAGGAAGTCACTAAGTATAATTGTGTATCTATTGCTTCTTTAATACTATACGTTACTCTATTTTGTATTATTACGATGTATAAATCTGTATTGTCAGTGGAGAGTACAAAACAAATGTTTCATGAATTGAAACAATTGAAATAAAAGATAGAAAATAGCTACAAAGAAAACCAATGATCTTATCACCAGCGTTAAGACAACGAAGACTTTTTTATTGATTCTGATTGCCTGATTATCTTTTGAAAATTAAAAGTGTATAATTTCAGTCGCAAACATATTTGTTCCAAATGAAACACAAAAATCACATTGTGACATGAGTAATGATTTGACTGAATCGCAATTTAATCCTTTCTTGTATTAAGCATATATTATATTTCGCAGTACAGTGTCTTTCTACTATGGTTTTATCCAGATGTACAATTATATTTGCTTGATTATCTGCTAAAATATAAAATATATATATAACTTAAACAATGTTTTTGATACACATGTATACTTTTCCAATCTGTGGATAATGGATATTCTTGGTCATAGGCCTATTGTTTGTAAAATGTCCTAAAATGTAACTTAAAATATTTGCGTTTGCTGTATTTTTCAGAAATGGATGGATTTGGTGGTTAGTGTTTTATAGCAAATAACATAATTACTGACCTGTTTAAAGTTTTGTGTTCAGATGCTGGACATCGACAACCAAGACAAAAAAGCTGGTCTCGTGATCTGGTTCCCTGACCCTACTTCAAACGAAACGGAGCAATTTATAGACGTCGCGGAATTGTCAGGACAGGGAACCAGAATAACTGACTTGCACCCGTTCACGGATGTGTAACCGATTGCAAGCAAACTGTGGACTAACTAAATTTGATATGTTGGGGCAGTATTTGAAGAACAAAGTATTTTTTCAAACGTGGTCAGCTTGAGACTATAATTCATTTTTTGAGTCAAGTAAGGTATTTCGTAATAATTTTGTAGTTTTTGATGTTTGCAAATATTGTATGATTGCCTTTAACCTTGTATGCTGTAAATAAACATCTGTCCATATTACTTGTATAAGATAAAAGAAGTTAAATATAACTCGCTCAGAACAATGAAAAAATGATGAACAGAGTAAACTAAGCTAATAAAGAAGGCAGCTTATACACGCTTTTAATTCACTTTCAGCCTGACATTTTTTTAATGGTATTGATGAATTTCCAATTGCCATTCAAACCAAGGTGCTCGATGCCACAGATTGGCTTAGCACAGAAAGCCTCGCTTTCAATTCCAATTCTTGATTCGTCTACTGCATTGTGTGCCGCTTGGCAACCCTTGCAAATGTGTTACGCAACGCGGTACGAAAGAGAAAGACAAGTGAACAGGAAAGAGGTCGTGTGCTCATGACCTTGTATTGATTTCATGAACAGGTAAAAACAACAGACACAATCCAAGATACGTGCCAAACGTCTGCTGAACACTGACTGAGTACTTGGAACGCGTGTAACTATATGCTTTACGTGTATGAGTAAATAAAAAAGTTTTGTCTTGAAAAAAAATCGCGATAGAGAATGCCATTATTTGTTCCAAGGCTGCCACTGAAAAGAATCAACACACATGGGCAGTTTAATCAGAATACACAACCAATGGGGTGTAGGGGGAGGTGTCGCTCCCCCTTATTTTTGTCATTGGAACCGCCCCTCCCCCTCCGAATTCCCAGCAGCCAAATCACTCCGGACGTGCGTCACTTGATTTGTACGTGTCCATGTTGAACGAGACAACACAAAGCAGTTGCGATTTCCAAAACAAAAACCAGCGTCACATTCGCATGAAACAGGACAGTGTGGTAAACCATCTTCCTTTGCGATTTCTGTCATCATGAAGTTTAACTTAAATTGCCGATCTTCGGTTACTGACCACTGGTTCATAACAGTGGTTCCTGCCCGTCTTTGCCACATCAATCATGTGCGTCAATTCCGTCTGTATCACTAAAGCGAGTGGCAGTGAGTTGCATTCAAGGAAGTATTTGGCATTATATTAAATTAACGCAGACAGCAAATAAACACGACCTCACGGCTTCAAGTGAGCAGTCGCACTGTGAAAAGAAACCCAGTTTCTACAGCGATTTTGCTCATTGTGCTGATCGTTCAGTCGTTCACATCACCTGTAGCCAATTGGACGACACTGACCTCCCTCTTCACTGGGAACACATCAATACACGTCTTTCTCAACGAGAAGGCAACCTAAATGCTGAAGGTAGGCAACGTTGATGAGCCATTCCTAAACAAAGATTTGTTTTTTTAATTTGGTGAGTTTGTAACTTTATTGTACCTGTTTCCAAATTACAGGAGGCTCGGGTCCGGGTACATATGTAAATGACCCTTTCGTTGATAAGAACATTGGTTTAAATTCAATTTTCAAAAACGGAATGTTAAATTTCCTCCTCACTTGCTCGTTTGATCTATAGTTGGTGTTGATGATTAGATCTGTTTATGAAAAAGATATCATGATGGACATTGTGCTATAGTATCATTGCAAAAATAAAGTCAAATAAAAAAATTCCATTATAATAAAATAGAGTCTGTCACGACCCAATTTAGTCATCAGTCCACCACAGGTATTTTTCCCTGGATAATGTTGCTACCATTATATACTCTTGGGTTGAGAGAGGCAGGTGGGGTAAAGTGGCTTGCTGAAGGACACATGCAACATTATGGCAATTAAGCGGTTGGATTCGAACCTGACACTCTGATCATGAATCACAAACTCAAACCTCTTGGCAACATTCCCACTCTCATAATAAAAAAAAAGACACTTTCATTAAATTATACTATGGTGTTATCTCCCCATCGTATTACTGTCACTGCTAGTATTATGAATTCATAAAGAGAGCTTGGCGGATCTCAACTTTGACCGGCAACATGACGTTTTCCCGTACGGCTTCCTGAAAAAGATATAGGAATACACAATACGCCAACCGGTGACCTTGGAGTTTGGGAAAGCTGTAAAGCGAAGCCTAATGCAATTCTCACAATGGTCTTTGTCATCCTTTTATTTCATTAGTTTTAATCACACGTTGTGATTGTCAACTCTGTATGGACACAGCAATAAATTATAATTTTAATAATTATGCATATGAAAGCGCTTAACGTTAGTCTCGTTTCCGTCTTTTCATTGATACTCAGACATGAAGAGTTTCATCTTTCGACTCGAGTTTGTGCTGCTGGTCATTGTGTGTACCGTGCCACGGTTATCGTTGCAGATGGGAAGAAAAGATAAAACGCAATATGGTAAGACAAACATTATTTTCATTTACTTGTTTAGCCTATTACATTGCGTTCGAACATCCATTCTCTAAATCTGCATTTTACCACCGAGGAATTATGCATGTGGGTCAGTCACAGTACCTTACTGCTAAATTACGTCCGAGACAATAATGTGTCATCCGCGAGAATGTGCTGAATGAATTTAGACACAGCGATTTGTTTTGCTGAAAACTTGATTAAGAATAAAAACAATTATTTTACTTGGCTTTAAGCAGGCGGGGGGTGTCAAACCCCTACCCCCATCTATGACTCAATTTTTTTCATATAAATAAATAAAACAATAATGTGAACCCCCCCCCCCCCCCCCCCCCCCCCCCCCCCCCCGCTCTGACACCCCAAAACAGTTATACTGGTAATAATGTCCGACTGTGCACAAAATCCGGACCGAGCCAGCAGGGTTACGGGGGTACATGTATGTGTACACTATTCTGTAATATATAGAGTTTTTTAACAGCGCCCCCATTGAAAGTAAAGTACGAGCCCCCCCCCCCCCCCCCCACCCACACACACCCACGCACGTATTGAGTTTTAAACTAAAATACGGAGACCTGTCAACATGTTAGCATTGATTTGATAATAACCCCCCCCCCCTCCTGTATCCGCCCATTGATGACAACGTACCTGTTTACAAAAAGCTTTTCATCGTGTATGGCTACTTGTGTTTATCTGAAGAAGAAAAACCACGGCAAAGTACGTTGTTGTTTTTATTTGTGTGTATTTTTATAGAGTTTACCGGTGTTAAGCTGGTTGAGCCATGGCAACCAAACTCGGGTCGAGTCCAAGTACAAATAGGAGACTCAACGTGGCTCGATGTGTGTAATATGATGTGGGATGACAAAGACGGACAGGTTGTCTGTCGGCAGCTGGGATTTCAGGGGCTGCCTGTAAGCACGGAACGCCGTCGTTTTACAACGAGAGAATCTGGAGCAGTCAGGGAATTCAAATGCAATGGAAGTAAGTCTAATGACGAATTTCTCTAACTGCCCATCGTAGGTAGGAAGTTTGTTTCCGTATTTCATACAGTATAAGGATATGAAGGCCTCTTTGTTGAGTAGAAACGATTTCTTTGTACATTTACTTCTTCTGATGTTTGCTATTTTCCTTTATGACAGGAAGGTAAAGACAAATCCTGATAACAAAATATAATTGAATCACATACATAATTTATGTACATTTGATTAATATCCATAAAATTTCTCTTCGTGCAGTGGAGTCTTCACTGTCGGAGTGCGAACACAAAACTGCTAAAGACTGTGGCCGTAACAACGATGGAGCCGGAGTGACATGCACCCGTGAGTCAGTGTCGGCCTACGGCTGGATGGAATGTTTGACTAGATCTCTATGCACAACTACGCCATTAGAGGAGAAAACACGAAATACCAGCCACCGTTTATGGCGGAAGATATAACGATTTTCGGGCAATGCATATAATTAACACTGTTTTCAGTTTGTGCACGAATTTGATGCGCATCTAGGCTTAAAAATCACATTTTACTTGAACGAAATGAGTTGCCGCCATTCAGACATAACTGACGTGACCTAATGGTTTGTTGGTGTAATTTAGGGCTACAAATTTCATTTTTTCTCAACAATTCTTTTCCCGAGCATATCTAGAGTGTATCACAAAAGATTATTTTAACAGAACAACTTTGTTTCTTTAAAAGAAAGAATTAAATGTTTCACTTCTTTTTGCTCGGTCTAATTTATAAAGTTGAGTTTCCTATCTCTCTTATTTTGCTTAGCTTTTCCAACAACGAAACCACCCACCGAAGCGACAACTGCAGTACGTTCAACAGCAGACAGAACAACCAATGGAGCAACGTCTCAAGAACCAGACCGAATAACACCCAGCATCACCGGCACCACCGACACAGATGAGATGGGAGGAACCACGGCCAGGGAGGCAGTCACTCCCGCCCAGACTACAGGAGAATCCGTCCAAAACTCCCCGATGACAATTTGGACCAGGAGCGATGCATCCACGAACCCAGAACTCACGCGGTCGCCCAACGAGAGAGACGGCACAACGGCCGATTCTACAGCCGGAGACGGGGGATTTGATTACCAAGGCTCAAATTCAGGTAAAATAATCTTTAAATTTCGTCACTGGCAGTAAACATTGTTGAGAAACACTCTTTGCATTCTTTAGTGGTCGATTATGCCTCCTTCCTAATGATGACTTAATGTATTATTAGTGCACCGATCGTACACTTTTTACTCAAAGAAAGCAAAATATTATTAAGACATAAGTTATCCAATGTTAAGAAAGGTGCATACGTCCATCCTCCAATGGTTCTCATCGTTACCGAGGTGTGACATCTGATTGGCTGCCATCCCACAAAGAAACTCACCTCTTATGTCAAGCATTGTAAGTTTCTTCCTGAGGTATCTAATGATTATGTATTTCGAATTTTCGTTTCTTTCTACTCTTTGTACAGGAACATACATTGGCCTCGCATTAGGATGCGTCCTGTTCGTCGTGTGCGCTAGTTTAATTGTCGTCTGTCTTCTAAAGAGGTACGAGATTTCTCTCGATGAAAAGAAAATCTAAAATGCACCCCATTAATCAATTATCAACGAACCCGGGTGGGTAAGATCCAAAGTCAAGGACAGTCAGTGAATACTAAATCTAACATGAAACTCAGAAACTAAGTTTAACTAAGACTTACCTATTCCTAATCTTATTATTCTCTGCTACCTCAGTGAAGCACTCAGCAAACTGGTGAATCTTTCCATGCCTTACAAGCCTTGTCTTGGTGCCTATCTTTCTAGACACAAGAGGCAAGACAAAGCCGCCTTGCAGCCATCTGCCGGCTTTCAACAACACAGCGCCGTCTACGATAACTCACAAGGATCAAATCATCTCAAGATGGGAGAGCTTCACTCGCAGGCCGAGAAGGCCGCTCCTAAACCAGCCGACGACTCAGCAGAATACGCTTACTGCGCTGTGGAGGGAAGAAATCTAGAGGTCGAGGCAGGATACGTTGCTCCTCATCCATCACCGGTCAAGACCCCTCAGGAACATCCGGTGTCTTCAAAACAGAAGCCGAGCAGTGAGTTTGCAGGGAAAATAGCAAATCCATACCACCTAGAACTCGATAGGAAAATAGCTCAGGATGAAAAGAGACCGAAATCAGAAACAGAATACGACGACGCGCACTACCTTAAACTGCAGTTGGATTCTCCTAAACCGGTGACGACTGACCAGGTTGCCGGGGGTACCGACTACTTCACCGTTGAGGAGAGAGGAGATTTGGTCGAAAACGGGCAGTACACTACCGGAGTGGTCGGGGAAAAGGCCACAATCAAACCGGCCGGTAAGCCTAAGCAAACTTCAGATCCTTCAGATGAAGATGACGTCGACGACCACTACTACTCGTACGCCAAACCAGACACTGCCAACAATTCGGATCCTCCGGAAGACAACGTGTACACATACGCAGATGCGCCGAGAGAGGGCGCCAACAACAGACCACCAAACACCGACTACTTCATGATTGAGGAAGGGGGTAACTCCATGGGTTCCCCGCTGTACAACGCCGGAGAGAAAGGTGCCAAGCAACCAGCGACGGAGAGTGAGTATGCCTACGCAGATCCCACCCAGCTTCGCGAAGAGTCGCCCGACGAAACCGAGGGGTGGGTGGAAAATATCGTGTATGTTGCGGGTCCGTGAAATAGGCGTCGCGAAAAGAAAAAAATAATCAAAAAATCCTATACCTAAGCTAAGTAGTCAATACTTCAAGTCACATGTTTAATTATCACAAGTGACTTAGAAGTCATCCTGTCTCAAGTCAAGTAATAGACTTGGTTTAACTATGAAAAGCTACTCCATTCAATCTCAATACGAGAGGCATAGTTATCAAAATGAACCTTAAAACTCACATTTACTTGTGACATTGTATTAATGGTGAGGAAACGACCGACTTACAACTCTCCCCAATGTGTACATAATTAGGCCTATGTGACTGTAATATCTGGGGAAATTATTTGAGAGCATCCATCCCAAACAAAGCTTGAATAAGTATTTGTTTTGGTTTTTGAATTGTTTCATTTGTTTGTATTAATAACAAATTGGATTTTAGTTTTCCAATTGATGCAAGGTACAATTTTGTACAAAAAGATAAAAGACTTTATCAATCTGCACAGTTAAGGTTAAATAATGAATACCGTTATCATATGTCATGTTTCTTTCCTGAGTAATTTAGCAATAATCCGAACTGAAAAACTTCGCTTTTCATAAGGAAAAAATAGCTGTATTCGCTTGTTTAATATCACGTTGCGCCGCTGGCGCTAGCGCTGAATCGAAATTTGATATAAGGATTGATTTCGTAGTACATTGTCTGTTTTTTTTTATGCTTTTATCCAGCTGTACATACTTAAAAGGGAAAAAGTATACATCAGGAAAAACCTGAACCTTATCACAAGCTTTATTTAACACAACGAAGACTTGCTTAATATAAGTGCGATTGCTTGATTTTCTTTTAAGATATAAACTGTATATAATTTAAGCCGAAAACAATTAATTTCTTCTACTAAAACAATGTCTAGATACAAATGTAAATTTTCCAAGGTGTGGATAATACTCTTAGTATTGTTTACATCTTATTTGATAAATTTCCTTGAATGTTACTTCAAATATACCACATTTGCTTTGTTGTAATTTTCAGAAATTGATGGATTTTGGGGATTCATATTTTATAGCAGATACTGTTAAACTGACCTGTTTTGTGTTCATACTGGGGAAAAAACAAGAAAAAATGCTCATCTTGTAGTTTGGATCCCTGACCCTATATACTTCAGACAAAACGGAGCAATTCAAAGACGTCGGTGAATTGTCAGGTCAGGGAACCAGAGTACCTGGAATGCACCCGTTCGTGGATGTATAACAGATTGCAAGCAAAACTAAATTTGGTAAATTGGGGAAGAATTTTTTAAAAGTCATTCCCCTCCCCCTTAACGTGGTCGGCTTGGGTATATTATTCACTTACAGTCAAGTGAGGTATTTTATAATTGTGTGGTATTTTGTTTATGTTTGCAAATGTTTTATATTTGCCTTATATATACCTTGTATGGTGAAAATATACATCTGTCTATATCACTTGCTTGACGACTGGAAGTTAATTCAACTCGCTCAGAACGAATAAACAATGATGAACAGAGTAAACTAATCTAACAAAGAAAGCGCCTCACTCATGCTTTAATTCACTTTTAATAGCCTAACAGTTTTCGAATGGTATTTCCGCTTGAAAAGCCTGCAAATATTTTATGCAACGAGGTACAAAAAGAAAGAAAAACAAGTGAACAGGAAAGAGGTCATGTATTCATGACCTCGTATTGATTTCATGAACAGATAAAAATTCCCAGTATTCAAATCATTACAAAAATAGTGTCACATTCGCGCGAGACAGGAACAATGCGGTAATCACCTTCCTTTAATTGTGATTCCTGTCAGTGTGAAGTTCATGAATTTGCGGAACTGCGGTTCCTGCTCACATGGCTCATCGCAAATTGTCCCTCAGTCTGAATTACCAAAGCGAGTTGAAGTGAAATTGCACACAAGGAAGTATATGGCACATGTCACGCGGACAGCAAATATTATCAACACTTTATCTCAAAACACATTTTTTTCAACGATTTTGCTCATTGTGTTGATTGATTACACCACCTGTAGCCAATTGGACAACACTGACCTCCTACTTCACTGAGAGTACGTGAATGTACCTCTTTTTCAACAAGAAGGTCACCTGCACGCTGAAGGTAGGCAACGTTGATGAACGATTCTCATACTAAACATCGCTATGTTCATATAAACTAGGCCTACAATATGCAGTGTTGATATTGTTAATAATATTTTTTATATTATGATCGATTGTAATGAGGGAAAGCGTCTTCTTATTAATGCAAAGTAAATATAAAGTCGTTCATCGTGTGCCGAGGCAATCCATCGGGCCGGTGTCATATGAAAATTAGACTCGTTTGAAAATCGGACTCCTTTACCCGTTTATTGGTCAAATCCTCTCGTGGTCGGTCAATCTCCTAATTATCTTCGCTTAGGCATGCGCAGGAGTCCGTTGTTCATATAATCCACGCTACACCGGCATTTGTCTCCGATTTTCTAGACATTAGATAGCTGAATTATTTCCATATATCCCTATCCCAGTCCGATTACTCATCTTCCAATGCTGGCATCTATTTGTACTCTTGGGTTAATTTGAGAGAGGCAAGTGTAGGGTAAAGTGGCTTGCCCAAGGACACACACAACGTTAGGGCAAGCAGTTAAATTCGAACATGACACTCAGATCATGAATCCTCTTGGCAACATTCCAACTATCATTCCATGCAATAATAAGGTATTTTCCCTCGCATTTCCTTGTGGAGCTGATTGGTTTCACTATCGATACAATTAATGCAAGATTATGGTGGGTCTCCTGATCTCATCCTGAAAAACAATGGGAATTCAAAGTATACGCCAACCATGTACCAGTGACCTTGGGGTTTTAGAAATCTGCAAAGTGAAAGAAAAGAAGGTTCTGTGCGTCGATTGCTGTGATACTAAACATTTATGATGTATCACTTGTGAATTTGCAGTTTTTTTATTATGTTTATAATACTGTTTATGAAATGACAATTAAAGGAAAAACCCATTGAATCATCAGCGACGTTGGAATCAAAAGTGGTGCAGTTTTGCGGGTCTCAAGGGCCGGCCTATTTCCTCCTTGTATCTAAACCTCACTGACTGACTGACTGACTCCCCGACTGACCCCCCCCCCCCGACTGACTGACTGCCTGTCTGTCTGGGGCCAGCCTTACGAGATTTGCTTAGTCTTGCTTTCGTCTTTTCATTGATACTCAGACATGAAGACTTTCATCTTGCACCTCGAGTTTGTGTTGCTGGTCATTGTGTGTACAGCGAAACGGTCATTAACACATTATGGTAATGGTTGGTTTTTCCTTTTTTTTATTACAACATGTACAAACACGTTCCTTTTCAACACTTTTTTACACATGTCATTTCTTTCAAGAAGCACTAAATCATCTTTTCCCACACGAACACATGCACAACGTCTCCTTCCGCATACAAATTAATAATACTTTTGAGACAGCCTGATAGCCGAGGGAAGATTTGCTGGATGATTGTAAACAACAATTGATTTTTCTGCTGAAAACTTAAAATTATTTTATGAGTCTCTGCTGACAAAGTATTTACAAAAACGTTCCCTCATGTACATTATAATATAGCCACTTGTTTTATTTGGAAAGAAGCAGAAATCTCATGATAAATTCCTGGTTTTGTTTGCGTGTATTTCTTAAAGTTATTACTGATGTTCGGCTGGTTGAGTCATGGCAATCACACACGGGAAGAGTCCAAGTACAAGTCGAAGACTCAAGGTGGCTGGATGTGTGTGATAATGAGTGGGGTAGAGTTGACGGTCGAGTGGCCTGTCGGCAGCTTGGATTTCCAGGGCTAGCCAAACGTTTGGGAGGCCTTCCTATTGGAAATCGAAGCAAAGAATCAGTCACGGATTTTGAATGCCAAGGAAGTAAGTCTAATCAAACCCTTAAAACAGTAAAACAAAACAAGACTGATAAAGGTTCATAATATTTACGTTGTCTTGTATAAAGCACAAAGGTTTCAAATGCGTCCTTACCAACTTACCTCGCTGAATCTTGAGTCTGCTCGGTATAAGTTTTATTTTCCAGTCAAATTCCAACTAACATTTTCAGAGTATGGTACAGAAAAAAGTTATACATTTTTATATTGTTTTGGCCTGATGAGTTTAGGTTTAAGACCAATTAGGCCAAAAAAAAATATTCGGTCTCTGGTCAGACCAAAGTTCCGGAATTGACGCGGCCGCGCGGCTTTTTTTTTTTTTTTTTTTTTGCTTTTTTTTTTTTTCTTCAAGCTTGGATTGTACAGACAAGGTGGGTACTATTTTGCTTTTTTGGTGTCCTCATGTACATTGATGTCCTCCATAATTTGCCTTGGTGCTTTCGATCATTTGCCTTGGTGCAATTTCCCATTCCTTGTGCTCTTTGGTAAAAAAAAATTGAGGAGGTGCGGAAATAGAGAGCGCTGTTGGAGCTACCGTGGAACATTTTGGGAAAAAAAAGATCGACGCGCATGCTTAAAATCGACGCGCGCGCTGACCAGAGACCGACTTATTTTTTTTTTTGGCCTTACATTAAAATTTAAATCCATAAAAATCACTTTTTTGCAGGCGAGTCTAAACTTTCGGAATGCAAGCACGAAAATGGCACGATGTGTGGTTCGAACAATGGAGCTGGAGTTACATGCATGCGTGGTAGGTGTTGTCTAATGGCCCATTTATTTTAACGGGTCTGTGCATATGCATGTATCAATTTGTAGCACCCTTTTTCAAATTCCCTTTCTTTTTCTCGTTATATTCTAATTTGCAAGAAATAATACAATTCGGTTTTCCAACTCTTTTTATAGCTATCAGTATTTTTATAAGATAATATTGATATCAGTATTTTGTTGTTCTGGGGCCTATAGAAAACCTCGAACACATGCACAACGTCTCCTTCCGCATACAAATTAATAATACTTTTGAGACAGCCTGATAGCCGAGGGAAGATTTGCTGGATGATTGTAAACAACAATTGATTTTTCTGCTGAAAACTTAAAATTATTTTATGAGTCTCTGCTGACAAAGTATTTACAAAAACGTTCCCTCATGTACATTATAATATAGCCACTTGTTTTATTTGGAAAGAAGCAGAAATCTCATGATAAATTCCTGGTTTTGTTTGCGTGTATTTCTTAAAGTTATTACTGATGTTCGGCTGGTTGAGTCATGGCAATCACACACGGGAAGAGTCCAAGTACAAGTCGAAGACTCAAGGTGGCTGGATGTGTGTGATAATGAGTGGGGTAGAGTTGACGGTCGAGTGGCCTGTCGGCAGCTTGGATTTCCAGGGCTAGCCAAACGTTTGGGAGGCCTTCCTATTGGAAATCGAAGCAAAGAATCAGTCACGGATTTTGAATGCCAAGGAAGTAAGTCTAATCAAACCCTTAAAACAGTAAAACAAAACAAGACTGATAAAGGTTCATAATATTTACGTTGTCTTGTATAAAGCACAAAGGTTTCAAATGCGTCCTTACCAACTTACCTCGCTGAATCTTGAGTCTGCTCGGTATAAGTTTTATTTTCCAGTCAAATTCCAACTAACATTTTCAGAGTATGGTACAGAAAAAAGTTATACATTTTTATATTGTTTTGGTCTGATGAGTTTAGGTTTAAGACCAATTAGGCCAAAAAAAAATATTCGGTCTCTGGTCAGACCAAAGTTCCGGAATTGACGCGGCCGCGCGGCTTTTTTTTTTTTTTTTTTTTTTTTGCTTTTTTTTTTTTCTTCAAGCTTGGATTGTACAGACAAGGTGGGTACTATTTTGCTTTTTTGGTGTCCTCATGTACATTGATGTCCTCCATAATTTGCCTTGGTGCTTTCGATCATTTGCCTTGGTGCAATTTCCCATTCCTTGTGCTCTTTGGTAAAAAAAAATTGAGGAGGTGCGGAAATAGAGAGCGCTGTTGGAGCTACCGCGGAACATTTTGGGAAAAAAAAGATCGACGCGCATGCTTAAAATCGACGCGCGTGCTGACCAGAGACCGACTTATTTTTTTTTTGGCCTTACATTAAAATTTAAATCCATAAAAATCACTTTTTTGCAGGCGAGTCTAAACTTTCGGAATGCAAGCACGAAAATGGCACGATGTGTGGTATGAACAGTGGAGCTGGAGTTACATGCATGCGTGGTAGGTGTTGTCTACTGGCCCATTTATTTTAACGGGTCTGTGCATATGCATGTATCAATTTGTAGCACCCTTTTTCAAATTCCCTTTCTTTGTCTCGTTATATTCTAATTTGCAAGAAATAATACAATTCGGTTTTCCAACTCTTTTTATAGCTATCAGTATTTTTATAAGATAATATTGATATCAGTATTTTGTTGTTCTGGGGCCTATAGAAAACCTCGAGGTGTTTAATTCCTCACGAAACATTCCAAATTTGTCTAGTGTTTGAAGACATATAAAAGGATTTGAGGACGATTCCAGAGGGGATGAGATCGACTTTTATGCCTAAAAAGTCGACATATTAGCCTATAGATACTTAAACAAGCCGCAAAGAAAATAAAATACCATGTGTCCAGATTTGTTTCCATTTCAGTGATTACTGATGTTCGGCTGGTTGAGGGGCAACCACACTCTGGTCGAGTCCAAGTACAAATCAATGACTCAACGTGGCTGGATGTGTGCGAGAATGGGTGGGATATAGGGGCCGGTCGAGTGGTCTGTCGGCAGCTGGGATTTCAGGGGCTCTCTGAAATCAAGACAGGCCTTCCCATTACTGAGCCAACTTCAGAAGCAGTCAGTAAATTTATTTGCAATGAAGGTAAATCTAGTTGGGAATTTCTCTTATAGCACTCTGTAGACAGGAATCTTAATATAAGTTTTAACTATCATTTACAAGCTGCGAGTACGGATGGTTTGATTGTCGAAACATATACTTTGTATTCATGTTGATGTCAAGTTTTTTTTTTCGTCATGGCACGGGTAAGAGACAAATTCCGTGATAATAATTCCAATCCAATATACATGTATATTTGATTTATCAGTAAAATTGATTTTTATGCAGTGGAGTCATCACTCTCAGAGTGCGAATATAGAACAGCAGCTATCGGGTGTGGTGATAGCAACAATAAAGGAGCCGGAGTTACATGCGTCTGTAAGTGCTACCGTGCAATGTTCTCATCAGTATTAAACGAAAATCGAAATATCATCACTAACGGAAACATTTATCATTGCCATATATTAGACGTGTATTAGATTGCGTGCATGAACATTATGAAAGTACATTTGACTTGACGAATCAGAAATTTAGCACGAGTTACAATCTACTTGGACGAGTTGTAGTGCGGTCATTCAGGAGTATCTGACATGGCCAAGGAAAAACTCGTCATACTTACGTAATCTCAGCTATCAATTAAATCGTTTCTCGACATTCTGTTTGTTTTAACGAGTGTATCTCTAAAGAGGTATATGGTTATTATAGCAGGAGACCATCGTTTTCCAGAAGAGATTAAATGTCTCAATCCTTTTTGCTCTTTCTAATTTATAAACATGAAGTTTCTTTCTCTCTCATTTGCTTTGACGACAACTACTATGCGTCCACCAACAGATAGAACAACCGAGGGAGCAACGCCCAAATCCCCAGCCGGAGATGTAGGATCTGACGCCCAAGGCTCAAATTCAGGTAAAACGAATTTTAAATTTCGCCCCTTGCAGTAAAGATTCATGAGAGTTACGTCTTACATTTGCCGTGTCATTAGGTCATTTCCATTAAAAGAAATCAAGGTATTATTAGCGTACAACCGTACATGTTCCACTCGAAGAAAACATTGTTATTGAACAAATCCAATGCTAAGAAAGGTGCATACATTGATCTCCCAATAGTGTTACTGTAATACTGAGGTGTGGCATGCGTTGTTGGCTGCCATTCTATTAAGGAAATTGAACAACCCAGAAATGTTCATGTCAGGGAAAAGACTCTCCTTATGTCTGGTATTATAAGCTTCTATCTAAGTGATTATTTCTTTCGTCTTTTTTTTACTCTTGCAGGAACGTACATTGGACTAGCAGTAGGATGTGTCTTGTTCGTCGTGTGCGTTAGCGTTATTGTCGTCTGTTTTCTGAAAAGGTACGAGATTACTAACGGTGCTACTTTGCCCACTAAAGCGAAAAACAAATAAAACAGTTCAATCGTTAAAGCCAAACGCACCCAAGTCTGGGTCTGACATTGCAAGGCACGGAATTGTCCTTACAAATCAACTGACTCAACCTGACTGAAAATCAATTTCAACTTTATCCAACCGATCTGTTCTGCCAAACCAAATTTGCCCAAAAAATGTTTTGTTTAAAACATGCCAAGCCAAATCAACTTACAAGGCAAATCATTCAGTTTTAGATATATTGAAAGTCTCACCGCTGTTACTTTAAAAACACTTGTCACTCATTATGTCACACTTGTCACTTCTATGTCTTGCACCACATTTACACCAAAAACGTACGTTCCTAAAATCCACCATAGTAATCAACGAACCCGGGAAAGAATGGGAGTCAGAACCAAAAACAAAGCAAGTCATTCAACACCAACTACATTGTACCAATCCAAACCCATAGACCAACTACAGTATAACACATTCCAAAAACTACCATTCCCTCCTCCCACATTCAAGCACTTTGACAAGCAGCCTGAGAAATTCTTTCCAGTGCTTTTTATTGGTTTCTCTGTCTTTCTAGACACAAGAGACAAGATAAACCCACACCCACAGCCACCTTGCACCCGTCTGCCGGCTCCCAACAACACAGCAACACTCGGCAAATTCCAGCTCCTTCAGCTGGAGGTGAGGTGGATGACCACTACTACTCGTCTGCCAAACTGGACACCACCAAACCGTCTGATCCTCCGGAAGACAGCGTGTACACGTACGCAGATGCGCCGAGAGGCGGTGCCAACAACAGACCACCAAACACCGACTTTTTCATGATTGAGGAAGGGGGTAACTCCATGGGTTCCCCCCAGCAACCAGCGATTGAGAGCGAGTATGCCTACGCAGATCCCACCCAGCTTCGTGAGGAGTCGCCCGACGAAACCGAAGGATGGGTGGAAAATATCGTGTATGTTGCGGGTCCGTAAAATAGGCCTCGCGAAAAGAAGCAACTAATCACAAAACCCTACCCTACCTAAGCTAAGTAATAGGCCTCGCGAAAAGAAGCAACTAATCACAAAACCCTACCTAACCTAAGCTAAGTAATCAAGACCTCACGGGTCTAATGATCACAAGTGACTTAGAAGTCATCCTGTCCGAAGTCGAGTAAAATGCTGTACAAAATGAACCCTTAAGATCACATTTTCTTGTGACATTATTCATAACAACTCTGCCCAATGTGTCCATCATTATGTGATTATGACATTATTATGTGAACATGATGTCTGGAGAAATAATCTGAGAGTAGGTGAAGGGCAAAACACAATATTGTACATATGAATTTACATGACGTCACCCCCGACGAAAAAAATCCATTTGATGAATAATTTGAGAGCACCCATCACAAACGAGGCTTAAGTATTATTTTTCTGTTTTGATTGTGTATATCAATAACAAGTTCCAATTTATTCGAGGTAGTACTATTTTGTACCAAAGAATAAACAGCTTTTCACTCTTGGACAGTCGCTGCCACACTATATCGACTTTTTTTGTTAAATAGAACATATTGGTACATATTATAGTTTGCAGTACATTGCCTTTCCATTACTGTTATCCAGCTGTACGTACATTTTGAATAATTATAATTGCTTGATAATCGTTAAAAATATAAAATGTATATAATTTAAGTCGCCAAAAAAAATTACTTCCACTTAAACAATATTTTGATGCTAATGTAAAATTTCCAATCTAAGGATAAGGCCAAAAAAAAGTCTCCGGTTTCTGGTATGCGCGCCCGTCGCCGTAGCCATGCGCGTCGGCAAAATGAAAAAGTTTTTTTTTCAATAAAAGATGATGTCTCAAAACCGCCAAACTCACTGGTTTGACTGGAATCCTGCTGCTGCACAATTTTAACGTGTTTTTAGATGGGGTGATGATCGAGAATAAGCTTGATGTGGCCTCTCTGGACTCCCATATATTTGCACTAAGTTTAGTCGGGCACCATTTGCAGTCATCAGCCGACATTTGAAGCAAAAAAAAAACACGTAAAAAAAAAAAAAAAGCCGCGTCGCCGCACCACTTTTTGGGCAAGCTCCATACCAGAAACCGGAGACCTTTTTTTGGCCTAAGAGATAGATTCTTATTATAATATTTTATAACTTATTTAGAAAATATCCTCAAATATAACTTAACCATGTGTGCTGCATACTTATCACGTTTTGTATGACATGTATGAAGACAGAGAGTTAAATTAAACTCGCTCAAAACGAATAAAAAATGACGAACAGAGTAAAATAAGCAACAAAGAAAGCACATTACTCACGTTTTAAGTCGCTTGTTTGCCTAACAGTTGTCGAATGGTATTGCATTGTATGCCGATCAGCGGCGAAGCCGGGGGAGGGGGAGGCCGGGGCAGGGGCACTCGCCCCCGCTGTAAGTGAGCATAGTCCTGTAAGTGAGCATGGATAAACGGGTTAAACAGAAAGTGGGTGTCTTCTCTGTAACATCCAGCCCCCCTCCCCTCCCCCTTATCCATTCCTCCCCCCCCCCCCCGAAAAAAATATATATGTATATAAATAAAACCGTGGGAATTCTCGCTGCCCTCTATTGCCGTGCCAAACCCTGCAAATAGTTTATATAACACGATTCAAAATAGAAAAACCAAGTGATCAGAAAAGAGGTCACGTATTCATAACCTTGTATTGATTTCACAAACAGTAAAAACAACAAACCAAATCCATGTTCTGTGCCAAACGTCCGCTAAACACTGACTCAGTAAATTTTGACTCTGCGCGCAATGAGCAATTAAGAAAGTTTTGTCTTTAAAACAAATCATGGAAGAGAATGCTATTATTTATTTATAAAGGCTACAACTGGGAAAAAAATCATACATGGGCAGTGGGGTGAAGGGAAGAGTTCGCTCAACCCCCTCCCCTCCCACTTATTGTTCACCGCCCCTCCAAATATCCCCTCAGCCATAGTGTGTACGTGAATGCCCTTGCTAAACGAGAAAAGCACAAAGCGTGCGCTTTCGAACAAAATCAGCGTCAGATTCGCACGAAACAGGAAATAACAAAAATCTGCTTTCGATAACAGTGCGGTGTTTTGCTTGGATGTTGCTGATCTCTGGTTCCTTTCCACTGGCTTATCACAATGGGTTATTCCCGTTCTTTGAATTTCATTTCTCAGACTGTGCTCTGCTAGGCTGCAGTTGTATTGAGTTGCACACAAGGCAGTTAATGTAAGGCATAACACGGACAATACATGAACATGGAGTGAGAGTTTACACTGGAAACCCCGTTACTATTGGATATTTCAGTTTGTCAGCATTTCTGCTCATTGTGCTTATTATTCACAACGCCTGTGGACAAGTGGACAGCAACAACTTTACTTCAGACTCCATTCTAGTCATAAAGCAGATCATTCTTTCACCGAGAGTACTTGTTCATACTACGTTATTATAACTTGAATAACCTGCACGCTAAATTAAGGTAAGCAACTTTAATTACTCATTCTCATACTTAACATTAGGCATTCATCTCATTCATCACAATAAAATATGCAGTTGTGATATTATGTCTGTTGTATCATTTTCAAGACCACAGGAGTCTCGGACGTTGCGTAAATAACCATTTCATAGATTTGAATCGCTGACACTCAAATCACGAATCACCTATCCCAACATTCCTATCATTTGTGAATCTTCAGTTATTACATGTTTATTCAATTTTCATTATTTTAATTTGTTTGGGGTTTAATGAAATGAAGGTTTTCCTGGAAGTGCGAGGGCACCTTTATCAGTTTCAGTAAGGAACACTATAATTTAGGAGGTTCTCTCTCTTTGAACTATTTATTTTTTTTGGGGGGGGGGCCTGAAATGACAATTTAAGTTGGAAAAAACGAAATTACGTAGCGATTTTGCGATCAAAAGTGGTGTATTTTTGCTGGTTCCAGAGGACCGGCCTATATGTTCTCTTTGTACCTATCTCATTGACTGACTGACTGACTGACTCCCCGACTGACTGTCACTTAACTTAGTCTGGGGCCAGCCTTACGAGGTTTGCTTAGTCTTGCTTGCGTCTTTTCATTGATACTCAGACATGAAGACTTTCATCTTTCACCTCGAGTTTGTGCTGCTGGTCATAGTGTGTACAGCGCCACAGCTATCGCTGCAGTTGGGAGGAGGAGACCAAATGCCATTTAGTAAGACAGTAATTGTGATTTAGCCTATTACATTTCTTTTGGACATCTTGTAAACATTCATATGGTTTGTTTTTTTATAATCCCATTCCTTTCGAGAAGCTATATACATTTTCATTTTACCACCAAAAAAAAACATGTAATGTTAATCTTGGATGGGGCGCCATAAGAAATCCTTCCACCTTTATAATAAAATAATACGATACCCAAGAGAATGATTTGCTGAATGAGTTTAGCCACGAATTGATTTTTCTGCTGAAAGCCTGATTAAAAATCGGAAACAATTATTTTACGCGTCTCTTCTGACAAAGTACCTGGTTTATCAAACTGCTTTTCCTAATGTATATTATGACTATAGTTGCTTCATCTGAAAGAAGCAGAAATGTCATGCTAAATTCGTCAGCTACTTTTGTTTGTGTGTATTTCTTAAAGTGTTTTCTGATGTTCGGAGGAGCAGAAGTTACATGCAGTGGTATGTTGTCGAATGGCCGGCGAGATTTCTTATAATGGATTCATGCATATTAAAATGCATGTTGCTTTTGAACATCCTTTTTAAAATCCCCTTCGATATCTCGTTACATTTCGACTTGCTTCAAAAATAGGATTAGATATTCGAATTCTTTTTATAACTATCAATGTTTTGATGTTCTGGGGCTTAAACAAACACGGGGTGTTCCAATTCCTGACGGAACATTCGAATCGTCCTGTACACATGGTGTATAGTGTTTGAAGACAACTCGCTTTATACGAGCGAGAGTAACAAACACTCGAATAAAGAGCGAATATGGCTACATATTCTTTTGTTTGTTTGCTTGTTTTTACATCTGGGAAGAGGCAGAAACAAACAATATTGAATATCCACTTTTTTATATACATCCCTTTTAAAGTGATTACTGATGTTCGGCTGGTTGAGGGGCAACCACACTCGGGTCGAGTCCAAGTACAAATCAATTACTCAACGTGGCTGGATGTGTGCGATAACTTCTGGGATAACGAGGACGGTCGAGTGGTCTGTCGGCAGCTGGGATTTCAGGGGCTAGCCCAACGTTTGACAGGCCTTCCAATTGCCGGATCCGAATTGCCGGATCCGAAGTAACTTGAAAGGGATGGCGGAATGATACGATCAGTTAATTGTCAGTTCGCAAGAAGAGCTAGATCATAGCACCCTATCCCGAAATAATACAAGGAGGCTCTCTGCCGACAAACTCAGTTCGTAGTCTCATATGCTACGGTTCCTTCTGTTTTGTTTGCCATTTCTGGGAAGAGGTAGAAACAAAACTACCGAATATCCGCTGTTTTTGTTCCCTTTTAAGTTATTACTGATGTTCGGCTGGTTGAATGGCTGGTTGAGGGGCAACCAAACTCAGGTCGAGTCCAAGTACAAATCGACTCAACGTGGCTGGATGTGTGCGATGGTATGTGGGATAACGAGGACGGTCGAGTTGCCTGTCGGCAGCTGGGATTTCCAGGGCTAGCCGAACCCCGTTTGAGAGGCCTTACATTTGCCGGACAGCGAAGTGCGAAATCAGTCAGGGATTTCAGATGCCAAGGAAGTAAGTCTGGTAGCGAATTTATCTCATTGCAATTCTGAAGCACTTTAATGTTCATCGTTCATTATAGTACAGTATAGTATAAAGCCAATTTCGTACTTCAAATGACAACATCAGACCTAATATAAGAAGCTACAAATAAATAAGATTGAGAATGGTTCATAAATACGTTATCTTGTACGTTACAGGTTTCAAATGCATGCTTACCACTTACACCTGACAAATAATTCTGTTGTCTATTCGGTATGATTTTTGTCATGACTGTATGGGTTTAAGATATGCACCGCGAATCATCCACTTCAATTATACCGATCAAAATGCTTGTCTTCGCAGGTGAATCTACACTTTCTGAATGCGGGCACGAAAGTAGAGACATGATGTGTGGCCCGAACAATGGAGCAGGAGTTACATGCCTGCGTGGTAGGTGGTGTCTAATGGATGGATAGATTTATTTTAAAGAAGCATAACTCACGCTCTTCAAAAAAAGATTTGTTCTCAAGACGAATTTTCAATGTGTATGTTTTGTTTTAACACAAAACAATACTATATTCCGATTTTGGGCGTCTGCAACCCTCTGAGAAAGGGCTTTAATTGTATGCACATTTCGTCAGTGAAACAACGAAGTGTCACCCATGTGGACTTGAGAGTTCGCTACGCGCGCGTATTTTACAGAACCGAGTGATTTGCGTTTTCACGAAGTGACTCTCATGTACACAGACAGCTGAATCGGTCATTTTTGTTTTCACGAAGTAGCACTCATCCTATTTCATCAGTTTGAAGGCTTTTTATTAAAATTTCCTGGAATCCTACATGAAGAGGTTTTCATTACATTCCTGTCGCACGTTTTTAAACGCTTCAATCCAAGTAGTATTTCCGTAACAGTGTGAAAACGAAAATCGTTCCCGCCAGCGTCAAATGTGCGCGCGCACACTTGAGTGTTACTTCGTGAAACTAAATTTGTCATTTTGCAGTTTTCAGTAACGCTGAAGTGGACTTGGGTTACTTCGTGGTGTCACTGACGATTTAATTGACTAGCAGCCAATAATTCGAATTTTGTGAAGAAAAAATCCAATGACTAAACGTTTGTTGAATTTTTTTTTTTGATCTACGTTTTGTTCTAATATGTCTACATTTCCTCTTGTTTATTTGCTGGTTTTGTTTTAATCTGGATGAACATACCGCTTGAAGATGCAAGATTTTAATAGGGATTATACACTTGAACGAAATGGCTTGTATTGCCGACAAGACTTTGAAGAAATGAAAACTACGTCAGCATTCTCGACTTTCAATTCCTATTAATCTTATCTTGATGATTTACGGTTGAATGTTTCGTTTTTCGGTGTCTCTAGAGATAAATTATCTCAACAGTTAACAATGCTACCTTTTGCTTCCTCGTTTGTCTATAAAATGGGGTTTCCTTTCCTCTCATTTGGCGTTAGATATTCCAACAACTGAGGCACCCACCGAAGCAATTACCCATGGGCCCAGCCAAACAACAAGCAGCTTCGCCGCCACCACCGAAACAGACGAGATGGGAGGAACCACGGCCAGAGAGGCAGTCACTCCTGCCCAGACTACGGGAGAATTCTCCCAAAACTTCCCGATGCCAATCTGGACCAGGACAGCAGGAGTCACCAACCCCGAGCTGACGCGGTCGCCCAACGACAGAGACGGCACAACGACCCAATCCACGGCCAGAGACGGAGGACTTGATGTGCGAGGCGGCTCAAATGCAGGTAGAACGAATCTTTAAATTTCGTCACAATTGCAGTGAATATTGTTGAGAGTTCCTCCTTGCATTTACCAGCGGCCGCATATGCCACCTTTCTAATGATGACTAAATGTATTATTATAGTGTTTACCAACCGTACACTCTACACTCAAAGAAAGCAAAATGTTATTAAACATAATGAAATGTTACAGATCAATTCCCTGTGCTATAAGTTAGCTAGTTTCACCTTGGAACATTTGTGATTGCTATTTTTCAAGAAATATGAAAGCTATTCATTTGTGTAAGCGACATCGAAGATAAAATCCACCGATGTTTAGTTATTGAAGTATATGTCTTCTCAAAAATCGAACTATTGGCGGCCAGGCAATAAATCGGCTCTCGATAGGCGGGTTAATTTGTATGCAAGATGAAGTTCCTTTTTCAGAGGGATGCAGACGCCCAAAGTCGGAATAAAGAAATGTTGTGTTGTTAAAACACAACATACAATTTCCTAGCTGATACTCAATGCTGATACTCGTCTTCATTAAGATTTGACATCTGGCTGCAATCAAGGAAATAAAACAACACAGGAACACTCATACTAGGGGAACAAGTTAAAGATCCTCCCACTTATGACAGATGTTATCAGTTTCTTTCAGAGGTATTTAGTAGTATTTCCTTCACCTGTCATTTTTCCTGTTCTTTTGTACAGGAGCATACATTGTACTAGCAGTAGGATGTGTCGTGTTCGTCGTGTGCACTAGCGTCATTGTCGTCTGTCTTCTGAAAAGGTACGAGATACTTGTACTATAGCAAAGAACTTAACAAAAAAAATATTTCTGTCTGACAAATCATGGGGGAATTTCCTAACAAATGTACCGACTTGACCTTATACCGACTCATCCAACCAATCTGTCCTCACCCAAACAAAAAGCTTCACCAAGCCAGTTCAACTTAAAACATTCAGTCCCCGATCGATAGAAAGTTTGTTTAAAAAAATATATATTTATATATTATTCTGTACCACATTCAAGAATGCAACACAAAAACAACGAATCCCCCCCTCCAGTAGGCGATATCAAAAGTAAATCCCAGTCATCCAAGACCAATACAAATTTTTAATCCAAACCCCTAACCAACTTAGTTTACCCCATTCCCAACTATAGCAAATCTCCTCTTGACCCATCCAGTAAGCAGTCTGAAATATTCGTCATCACATGCCTTTTTCTTGGTTTCTTTATGCTTTTATAGACACAAGAGGTCTACCGACAATTACAACAAAGAACACGAAAACTCACAAGGATCAAATCATCTCGTTTTGGGAGAGCTGGAAAACTCGCAGGCAGGACAGGCCGCTCTTAATGTAGTCGACAGCTCGGCAGAATATGCTTACTGTGCTGTGGAGGGAAGAGAATATTCAGAGGTTGACGCAGGACACGTTAGTGCTCCTACTCAAGCACTGGTCAAGACCCGCCAAGCCAAGCAGGCCGCTCCTAAAGCAGCCGACAACTCAGCAGAATACTCTTACTGCGCTGTGGAGGGGAAAGGAATTCCAGTCGACGCAGGATACGTTAATGCTCCTAATCAAGCACCGGTCAAGACCCGCCAAGCCCAGAAGGCCGCTCCTAAATCAGTTGACACCTCGGCAGAATACGCTTACTGCGCTGTGGAGGGAAGAGAATATTCAGAGGTAGACGCAGGACACGTTAATGCTCCTACTCCAGCACCGGTCAAGACCCGCCAAGTTCAGAAGGCTGCTCCCAAATCCGTCGACAACTCAGCAGAATACACTTACTGCGCTGTGGAGGGAAAAGGAATTCCAGTCGACGCAGGATACGTTAATGCTCCTACTCCAGCGGTCAACACCCGCCAAGCTGAGAAGGCAGCTCCTAATCCAGGCGACAACTCGGCAGAATACGCTTACTGCGCTGTGCAGGGAAGAGGAATTCGAGAAGGCAGTGTGGACGCAGAAGCGGGATATCTTCTGCCTAATCCAGCACCAATCAAGACCTCTGTGAACATTTGATGTCAAAACTAAAAACCGAGCAGTGAGTTTGCTGAGAAAATAGCGGATCGGTATTACCAAGAACTAGACAAAACAAACACCGACTATCTTCATGTTTGAAGAAGGGGGTAACTCATCGGGAGAAAGGTGACGGGCAACCAGCAACTGAGTCTGCCTACACAGGTTATTAACAAACAAACTCTACCATGAGACTTAATAAAAACTCCTCTATCGAAACGATGAGGCTATCAATATGCACCTTTGACAAAATCTGTTGCCAAGCACGGCTTAAATGTATGCCCTTGGTGCAGCCCATACAAAAATGGCGCTCAAATTTCACAAAAAAAAAAAAAAGAAAGATATATTAGTAGTCAAGACCGCACAGGTTTAATGCTCACAAGCAATCTTCTCTCAAATCGAGTGACAAGGTTTGAAAATGAACCTTACAAAAACCAGATTTATTTGTGGCTTGACTGTTTGACTGTGTTTTTTTTTACTTGTGAGTGGACGACCGATGTGTACATAATCTGAATATATAATGTCTATTAACTTGAGAGTAAGCATCCCCCAAAAGGCATGATTAGATATTTTTTGGTTTTTTGTATTGTTGATATTTTTAAAAACACGTTGGATATTATAGTTTTCCAATTAATGCAAGAAACAGTTGTGTACAAATTAAACCCTGTATCAATTTTAAGCAATCAAAATTATATCGTTATCTTTTGCCAAAGTAATTGATCATGCGCTGAGAAAAAGCTTCGAATTTTCCAGTGAACAACGGATGTGTTTGTTAATTTGTAAAAAGTCACGCTGCAACGCTATCATTGTACCGACATTCCTTTTTTTTTAATATAGGCCTAAGGTATATATATTATATTTAGTAGTACATTGTCTTTACTTCATGCTTTTATCCAGCTGTACATAAACCAACTATGCAGACAAACCTAAAACTCATCACAAGTTTGAATAAATATAACGAAAAACACTACATGTGGAAAGTATTTAGTATCAGGTCGCCACATCGGTGGCTGAGTGCGACGTTCATTAAAAAAAATCTTTAAAAAATGCAAGTGTTTCTAAGTCCTGATTACCTTCTTAATAGGGGTGGGGTTGAGTGTGTGGTGGTTTTTTTTTTATAAAACTTGAATATTAAGATATTATGGTACTGCAATTTGTTCTATTAATATACATTCATCGTGTAGTGCAAACGCTGTGGTAGGCACATCGGGAGGGCAGGGTGGTGGTTCGGGGGGGGGGGGCAGGGGTTATGTTCCGTCACAAGGAGCAGTGCTTTGTGGTTATTTAAACAAATAAACATAGCACAATGATACATACCTGTCAGTGCGGCGCTCTTCTTGAAATCCTCCATGAAACTCAGGAACAAGATGCTGTAGTTAAACGCAGATCCCAAAGCGAGGGCCAGTTGCACCAACGCGATGTAGACGATGATCCAGCTCCACCAGCGCCGCGGACATTCACGCGAATTTGAGCTAGGCCCCCCCACCCCCACCCCCTTATCATCAACCATAGTCATTATACTAGCCTTCAGTCTGTCCGGCCGTAATTTGGGACTCCCATGAAATCCGTTGCCTTTTAACGTTGGTTGAACTTTCACATTCCTCACGTATGCATGCGCAATGTACAACAAGTGAATCAGTAATTTTCATGGTCCGAAATGCACACTACACCAGCCCAGCTGCGTTTTGCGCGACTGTCGCGCAGTACGCGCGACGCGCACGCCAATGTCCTTATAAGGTAACGAGTTATGCAGGGGCATTCCATATTATAGTCAGAGGGGTGTTGCGTAAAACATGAAGTAAAATTGTTGAGTTAAATGGTTGGCAACGTCTAGTTTTTGACATGTTTAGATTTTTGGACTGAAAAAATGTATTGTTTTTTTGACCGAAAAGGTATTTATAATGGGAATAAATATGTGTTCGGTCGGTATAAACCACTCGTTTAAAAAAATCGCCTCGGGTAATTATCACCCATCCAGACTCCCACCGGTCTTATAGTGTTATAATTCCCGATCACATATTTTACTCCCTTAACAATTATTTTTCTTTATATGTGTGGTCATTTGTTTTATTCCTTTCCTACCAGATTTAGCCGGGAAAACTGCATTGGAAGAGTTTTCTTAAAGTTGTCTTACCCCAGGCTATTCTAGTTTTACCCCTAAAAATTTAAGTCATTAATTGCTTTTTTTATAGCATTTCATTTTTCTGCCATTTTGTTTTAAGGTGACATTGAATCCGCGCACATTTATTACAGAATCATCTCTTTACATTTTCAAATTTGTTTGTAGCTCGATGATAATTCACGTGGACATTTTTGGTGTGTTTTTGAGCTGCAAAAGCAACCAAATTAAAGCCCTTTTTTGAGAGGGATGCAGAGGTCATTGTTGGGAGAAAAGAAAATCGAATTTGAAACAGCACGGTAAGACATAGCACCAATATAAAAAAAAGCATCGCAATCGACATTTTATTGAGACAGACTACCGAAAAAACTAAAATAATACAATATCAGTTTGAAGTTACACGACTTTACAGGCTAATTCGAGTTCACTGTCAATATGAAGGCAACTGTACATCGTCATAGCGACGGTGCGGGGTTCAATACCCCCACCACATCCATCCAACATTATCTGTGAAAGATGTTGAAATAATAGCTGTACACCTACGTACCTACTGTGACGGGTGGAGCGCAGCGAACGCTCGACACAAAGTGGGAACTGAAAGTAGAGGTGTAGTCTGTTACTGTACCCGATTTCATGAAACTCATCGTAACTTACGATGCATCGCAGCGATGCGACGCGTCGCATCTCTACGATGTGTCGCAGCTGCGACACACGTCCTGCGATCCATTTCACAAAACACGTCGTAAGTGAGTAGGTGTATTTAGCACAACTCGTCGACTGCTTCATGTATTTAGTCAGCGTATAGTAAACAGTCGTCTGATACTCAACAAAGAGTCGTCGGTTCTCCTCTCGAAATTGTTTAACACGTAAAACAAAATGGCGGCAATGCAACCGATTTTTAAGGAAATCAAGCTCTCAGTGGGCTGTATGGCCACTCTGAAATTTCAACTGCGATGACAACTTTACACACATTGTCTCCAGCATTATAGTCTCGTTTGCGTATTTTTATGGCACAAAACAGCTAAGAAAAAGATTCATCTTATTTCTTATTAATTTTACTCAGTTTCTTATTATAATTTTAAATAACTTATATACGGTGACCGTTTGCTAGTTATTTTTTATCCATAATTCCCTCATTTTTTATTTTTTTTTACCACTGATGATTTACGCAATGTGTTAGTTCATGTTTGTTGACGTCATTAAGATTGTGAAACGGGCCAGGATTCTTGCAAAAGCGGCAGAGGTAAAGGGAGCTTGTACTATCACAACTAGTGAGTTCTTCCCATGGGGCTGAGTGCGTGTTTGCTCCATCGATCTCATAAAATACCCCGGTGACGTCATCCCCTTCCGGGGGTCCTCCGCTGTCTGGGACGGCGCATGACTGTCCCTGCTCGGAAAGTTCTTCCCATGGGGCTGAGTGCGTGTTTGCTCCATCGATCTCATATAATACCCCGGTGCCGTCATCGCCTTCCGGGGGTCCTCCACCGTCTGGGACGGCGCATGACTGTCCCTGCTCGGAAAGACCCAAAGCGGGTGGTTGACCAGCAATAGGTCGGTTGCACACAGAGTCTGCTGAAATCCCGGGATGAAACGGACTCGAAGGCCCCGCAACGGTGGCATTCCCGTGGCCGAAGCTGATGGGCACTGATGGGAAAACATCTCGGCTAATTTGGGCGCTGTCTTTCACACTTACACTTCCCGGAGTCGCATCCGGGACACGGGTTGATTCGATTACGGCGGGGAACGAGTCCAACCCCTCAAGTTGAGCCCGGAACGGAGAGCTTTCAAAATCACAGTCACCGGCAATGCATCTGCTTGGCTGCGGATACTGCTGCAATATTTGGTAATGCTTCCCGTACAAATCTCGGCGCGCAGTTTCAAGCAAAGAGCAATGCAGCCGGATCCCGTCAGCTGCTGCTATCACCTTGAGGGTCAAGTCGTCTTCCAGGAGCCGAAAAGACTCGCTGCCAAGACTCCGGCCTTGGTTGCTCTGTAGCGCGTCGGCGTACCGGGACAGCGCCCTGGATGTTCCGGAGAGCCGACGCACGAGATTGGCTCGGCGATCGGTCAGGAAGACATTATCGACTGGGAACCGCTTTCTCACCGCCACCTCACTGGAGTAACGTGCTAGTGAATTGACTGCAGAAGACAGACAAACATCTAGCAGTGACCTGTCCTTTCTTGGTGACATTCCGAATCTTCTGCGCCGTTGAGGCTGAACAACTATCAAGTTGAAACTGTGTCCGGAATTGTAAATGGGAATAAATATGGGGGGAAAAAGTTTTAAAAAGCTTGTCTCCGTGTGAGAAATCAGTTTTCACATAAAACAAAATACTCTGCTCCTTACAGGACTTAGTGTAATATTTGAGGCCACAAACCAACTTTGTCCTTGCAATTAATATCGTGACGTCCTTATAAAACACCTCATTGTTAGTGACAACATAATCAACTTAACCACAGCTCACACTCAAAGTAATAAATGGTACTTTTTGCGATATTTTTTTCATTGAAGTAATTGTACTGTTCTCCGAGCATAATATTTTCAACCCTGTGAAAGATGCTGAAATAGCTGTACTTACCTACTGCGATGGGTTAAAACAGCAGAGCGAACGCACGACACACTATGCTGGAAAGTGGGAACTGAAAGTAGAGTTGTAGTCTGTTACATGTTTCAAAGATGTCTGACAATCGTGAATACAGTCGCATTGTGCTGTATGCAGAGACACCGTACCAAGGTGTTCATAACAACAGACTAGCAATCCCGACCTAGTTTGCAATTTTCTATAGTCGCACTTGATTGTGGCAGTGAAGTGTGACGACATTTTCAAAAGAGGGCTGAACAACAAACACTGACCCAGTCCTACATGTAGACCTAAATGTCACCGATGTAATATTATAGCACAAAACATTTCACGTCGTCGCTTTATTATTTTTTCTACACACATACAGTACTCAGGGAAAAGTTTCATTTGTTCTTAAACCACTTCGTAATATCTTTGAGATATTTTAAGTTTATATCAGAGGGATTTTTGTAATTTTTTTGCGGTAAACATTGACAATTTTCATGTATGGGTCGACACTGAGGCAGTAATAGCTTGTAACGTTACAAGTTAGTAATTATTATTATCCTGATAATGAATAAACCAAGGATTCTTAAAAAGGGAACAGGCAATATTATGGATTGAAGCCTGCAGAAAACTTGAGCGGGAAGATGCATATCAGATGAAAAAGAAAAATTCGGCTGTAGAGTTTGGAGGAAAACTTCAGAGGGGCATTCCGGGGTGAACCAACGGAATCAGGCAGGGACTGAAAGTCCGGGTGTCGGCCTAGATTGGACCTGGTCACAGAGGTGGAATCAAAGAAGGTAGCGGTGACCCACCTGACTCCCTTGAAGCTCTACTTAATCTAACTGAAACTAAAATTTAGTCCCCGGTGCCAGTACGGAGCCACGGGGGAAAAAACGAAAGAAAGCAGTGTTATTCCAAAATTATTACAACTTCCCAGTCCTGTTCATGTTGATGTCTCCGAGTCGAAGTCGTTTTTCAAGGGCATTGATGATACCTCCTATTTGCCTAATCTTTTCCCGAGGGTATTGCTTTTGCAGTTTTGTTCCAGGGTCACAACATCTCGATTTATTTCGATAGATACGGTGCTGATGAAGGAATCCACCTGCGAGTGGAGATCTCTGATGTCATCCAGTTTCTTGAAGACCCGCAGGATCTTCCAGTCGGGCATCGGGTAGGACAGCGTCGTTCCCCGGTACTGGTTGGACAGGGAGATCAGCTGGCTCTGTACTGGCTCTGGGCGGAGATTGTCTAAGACGATTTGAATGGCCGCGCTGGCGAGATCATCGCAGGGGTAGTAGCGCTTGGAGAGCTCTGATGCCGCCTTCACCGATGGTAGGAAGGTCATGTTGAACGACGTCCATGCCAGTAACAGAGCCACGCACAAGCGAACTTTAGAGAAGCCCATACTGTTTCGCCTATTTTTAAGAACGAAGGAAAGTACTCACATTATTTTATTTTTTTTGACAAGATGCGGGAGTGTCTTCAATACGAGATGATGGTGATGAGTGACTATCAGGTATCTGTGATTATAGTTGCGAGAATAAAAGGTTGCTGAACTTGAAAAAAAAGGTTTAATAAGAGAGCTATTGTACTATTAAAGAAAAGTGTATTGCGGAATTAATGACAGCATTAATTCGAAATGGATGCCTGAAAACGGAGGCCTCTGTACCCAGATCCCAAGTGTAAAACAAATACTTTGTTTCCGAGACGTTATAAGTTTGGGATATTTTGCAGATTTTACACTTACCTGTTCTTGGACGGAATCATCTTGAACCAAATGCTTTTCCTTGTGAGTCACCAGGACAAAGAATAAGGTGTCTCAACCTGTACTGCCCAACTGAAATGCTGCAATGATCCACATCCCATCCTTTATAATGGTTTAATTCCCCAACAGTTTCCGTGTGGTATTTGATTATCGAGTATACACTCCATTATGTACACCAACCGATACAATCATGGATTGAAATAGAATACTTTTATACGCGTGATATTGATCCAAAAAACGGAGAACTTCTGGAAATTGGTCGTCGAAGTTTGCTTGATTATAGAAATGTTTAATAACCGCGTTTACCTTTTGTGAACCGACATATTAAAATGGTCACATTTTTAATTAGTTTCTCTATTCAGTGTTTACAGAAATATTATATCTTTCTGTTTTGAGCGTCCTTCTACATCGTGGGAGTTGTATCAATTAAATCAAATCGATCACAGCGTTGTCGAAATCCATAATTTCTGTTCTTTTTTTTTCTCTTCAAAACGGCATATCTAACGAAGCTCCTTTATTTTGTGTTTATTCAGATGCCTATTCAGATGCCACAAAGAAAGATGAAATACCGAAGAAAATGTATTATTTGAACGTCGGGGTGTACAACTCCTTCATGTTGAACTGCATCAACCCAACGATCTTAAAGCCACCGCGCTCGGCGAGGGTGAGTTATTATGACTAAAAATCCATGAGAATCGGTTCAACATGTGTGTCGATATACTCTTTTCAAACAGGGTGTATTTTACAACGAGCAAATCCAGAGATTCCTCGAAAATAATCGAGGAATCTGTTTCTTTTTCAAAGTGATGTGGAGCACAAACGTTAGATACTTTCAAGGGGCAGTTATATACTGACTTCAAACTCTCTGACATCGGAGACATCAAAACGAACAAGAAGTTGCAATAATTATGCTATTTTGGAATATTACTGCTTTCTCTCGGTCTTTTTTCCCCCGTAGCTCTGTACTGGCATGGGACTACCATTTAGTTTCAGTAAGATAAAATAAAATACATATAGAGCTTCAAGGGAGTCAGGTGGGTTCACCGCTACTTTCTTTGATTTCACCTCTGTAACCAGGTCCAATTCTCATCTAGGCCGACACCCGGACTTTCAGTCCCTGCCTGATTCCGTTGGTTCACCCCGGAATACCCCTCTGAAGTTTTCCTCCAAACTCTACAGCCGATTATTTCTTTTTCATCTGATATGCATCTTCCCGCTCAAGGTTTCTTCAGGCTTCAATCCATAAGGCCAAAAAAAAAAATGTCTCCGGTTTCTGGTATGGAGCTTGCCCCAAAAGTGGTGCGGCGACGCGGCTTTTTTTTTTTTTTTACCTGTTTTTTTTTTTTTTTTTTTGGCTTCAAATGTCGGCTGATGACTGCAAATGGTGCCCGACTAAACTTAGTGCAAATATATGGGAGTCCAGAGGCCACATAAAGCTTATTCTCGATCATAACCCCATCTAAAAACACGTTAAAATTGTGCAGCAGCAGGATTCCAGTCAAACCAGTGAGTTTGGCGGTTTTGAGACATCATCTTGTAATGAAAAAAAAACTTTTTCATTTTGCCGACGCGCATGGCTACGGCGACGCGCGCGCATACCAGAAACCGGAGACTTTTTTTTTTTGGCCTAATATTGCCTGTTCCCTTTTTAAGAATCCTTGGTTTATTCATTATCAGGAAGAATAATTACTAGTAACCTGTAACGTTACAAGCTATTACTGCCTCAGTGAACCATACATGAAAATTGTCAATGTATACGGCGAAAAATATATTACAAAAAAATCCCCCTGATATAGACTTAAAATATCTCAAGTATTATTACGAAGTGGTTTAAGAACAAATGAAACTTTTCCCCGAGTACTGTATGTGTGTAGAAAAAAGTATTTAAGCAACGACGTGAAATGTTTTGTGCTATAATATTACATCGGTGTCATTTAGGTCTACATGTAGGACTGGGTCAGTGTTTGTTGTTCAGTCCTCTTTTAAAAATGTCGTCGCACTTTACTGCCAAAATCAAGTGCGACTATAGAAAACTGCAGGCTAGGTCGGACATCCCAGTCAGATGGAATTGCGGGGTGATAGCATTGTGTTCCTTTTATATCTTTTTCTAAAGATCTTCTCTCAGGGGTGATGTTTTTCTATTGTTAAGATAGTGGTATACAAGTATGGTATGGTCAGAGCGGGGTCGCTAGTCTGTTATGCACACCTTGGTACGGTGTCACTGCATACAGCACATTGCGTCTGTATTCATAATTGTCAGACATCTTTGAAACCTGTGTAACAGATTACACCTCTACTTTCAGTTCCTACTTTCCAGCATTAGTGTGTCGTGCGTTCGCTGTTTTAACCCATCGCAGTAGGTAAGTACAGCTATTTCAGCATCTTTCACGGGGTTGAAATAATTATGCTCGGAGAACAGTACAATTACTTCAATGAAAAAAATATCGTAAAAAGTTCCATTTATTACTTTGAGTATGAGCTGTGGTTAAGTTGATTATGTCGTCACTGACAATGAGGTGTTTCATAAGGACGTCACGATATTAATTGCAAGGACAAAGTTGGTTTGTGGCCTCAAATATTACACCAAGTCCTGTAAGGAGCAGAGTATATGTAGTTTGATTTATGTGAAAACTGATTTCTCACACGGAGACAAAGCTTTTTCAAACTTCATTTCCCCCTATATATTTCCCTGAGCAATTTCGGACACAGTTTCAACTTGATAGTTGTTCAGCCTCATTGTAAACGGCGCAGAAGATTCTGTTTTAACCCTTTCACTTTTGTGCGCAAGCCAATTCAAATCTGGTGAAAGTGAATAGCTAGTGTTCACTCATGCGGAAAAGCTGAAGATTGACATGGTGGTAATTAAAGCATAAGACCTTGGTCCATCAATCGATAGTGACAGATTTTTGGAAAATTATCAAACATCCGTTTTTGATACATTTTTCTAAGTGTATACTTTTTTTTGATACACCCTGTAGTGTGTCGAGCCTAATTCGCTCCGCTGTTTTGACCTGTCACAGTAGGTAGGTGTACAGCTATTTCAACATCTTTCACAGATAATGGTGGGTGGATGTGGTGGGGGTATTGAACCCCGCTCCGTCGCTATGACGATGTACAATTGCCTTCACATTGACAGTGAACTCGAATTAGCCTGTAAGTCTTGCAACTTCAAACTGATATTGTATTATTTTAGATTTTTCGGTAGTCTGTCTCGATAAAATGTCGATTGCAATGCTTCGCGGTTTTTTATTGGTGCTATGTCTTACCGTGCGGTTTCAAATTCGATTTTCTTTTCTCTCAACTAATGGCCTCTGCATCCCTCTCAAAAAAGGGCTTTTAATTTGGTTGCTTTTGCAGCTCAAAACACACACCAAAAATGTCCACGTGAATTATCATCGAGCTACAAACAAATTTGAAAGTGTAAAGAGATGATTCTATAATAAATGTGCGCGGATTCAATGTCACCTTAAAGCAAAATGACAGAAAAATGTAATGCTAGAAAAATAACAATCAATGACTTAAATTTTTAGGGGTAAAACTAGAATAGCCAGGGGTAAGACAACTTTAAGAAAACTCTTCCAATGCAGTTTTCCCGGCTAAATCCGGTAGGAAAGGAATAAAACAAATGCCCACACATAAAAAGAGAAATAATTGTTAAGGGAATAAATGTGTGTTTGGGAGGTATATAATAACACTCTGTTTAAGACCGGTGGGAGTCTGGATGGGTAATTATGACCCATCCAGACTCCCACCGGTCTTAAACGGAGTGTTTAATACCGACCCGGAATTCACTACCTTTTAGGTCAGAAAAAAAATATATTTTCAGTCTAAAAATCAAAACATGTCAAAAACTAAATGTTGCTAACCATTTTATTCAACAGTTTTACTTCATGTTTTACGAAACACCCCTCTGACTATATTATGGAATGCCCCTCCACAACTCGTTACCTTGTAGCGTTCCCTTTAAAGTTCAGACTGCGCCTTTAACGCATCTTGTACATAATGTTAGTTCAAAGGTCAACTCAACCATTGTGCATTCATCATTGATTATTTCATTCATTTCGTTTCATTATCGTTCGTCTACAGTTTTCTGTCACACACGCGATTTTTACAGTGCATTTTCTATACTTTCGCTAGGAAATTACAAGCTAGAATCAACACTACATTTTACATGAGTTAGTAAACATCGGCAGAGCTATTCCAGTGAGCAATCCAAGCTTCTTTTGTGGACTTTTGTGAGTGTTTATTGACCGAACTTTTTGTGCGTATTCATCACGTGAGTTAAAACACGGATCCTACACACAAGGATGAACGACTCGGCCGCGCCTGCTGCTGCTGGTGGTGGCGCTGTTTTAAATAGAGATAAATTGAATATGATTGTTCTTAACCTGTCGAACAGTTTGCATTAATATAAATATGACGAAGTTGTCGAACTTTTAAAAAGTTTTTAACCTGAATAAATTGGCTATTAAAAGTCAACCAATCAGATGACAAGGATTTATTCAGCGGGTGTTATATAAAACAAATAATGAATGTTTCACGTTCGTGCAATGGAAAGAATAATTTCATTCGGTGACATGTGGAATAGAACATTTCATCTGTCACCTCATGAAATTATTCTAACCATTGCACTCACAAACATTCATTATTTGTATAATAAACTCGGAGATGAGTAGGATCAGGACAGTATAACTAAAACCTACAACCTTATAAGGTCATTGCCGTGCGCGTCGCGCGTACTGCGCGACGGGTCGCGTAAAACGCAGCTTGGCTGGTGTAGTGTGAATTTCGGACCATGAAATACTGATTCACTGGTAGTATTGCACATGCATACGTGAGGAATGTGAACGTTCAGCCAATAAAACGTTAAGGCAACGGATTTCTTGGGAGTCCAAATATCATGTGACACTGGAAAAGTGATTTAGACCATCTAGCTTTATCATCCGTTTAAGACTGGCCACGTGACCGTGCTTTCGACCAAAAGGAATGCGTAAACTGCATGTCTTAGGTATTGATGAATGGGAGTTTATTGCCTTGGGGGAGGGCCGGGAGGGGGGGGTTGTGGGTGTATGGGATAGAGGGGTGGAGCTTTACAACCAAACTAGAATGCATTCTTTTTGTTGTAGTATAGTATTCAGTAATGAACAATGATGGGTTCTGCCGGTACGGTATTCCCCAGCTCAGCTGCATGGGCACTGAAAGTAAAAAAAATGATTGGTTCGTTAATTGAAATTCTACACCTAGGCGTAGCCGGGGGGGGGATATCCCCGCGATATGTTGTAAAGACTGCCCTTTTCCATTCAAATGCATTTTTCCCCCCAGCTCTTACCCCCCCCCCCCATATTTGTAAAGAGTGCCCTTCTGTCGCTAACAACATGTAATAATTATATGTTGATACGCTGGTATCAGTTATTTTTAGCTATTTTACACTCTAAAAAAGAAGTGTAAATTTATGTTGTGTAAAACTGTTGTGTAAAAAAATTGTGTCATTTCTGCTCAATATTGAGCAAAATGAAAATTTCGCTTGTACCTCCTACTTGTGTCAAATGTGTTACACATGAAAAGGTAAAATAATACCCAACATTGACTACAAGTCCAAGCAGCACAGGAAAAAAGTTAAAATCATGGTATTATTACCCAAGTGATGGGTTAAAGAAACTGAATTTACCCCACAACTGTGTAACAATTCTTTCATTGAACACGTCGAAGAGTAGAATTTACCACGACATTAGTAAAATGTTACCACGGTGCGGGGTAAACTGACGCACGTGACAACGTTTGCCCAATATTGTGCACGCGTATCACTCATGTACAAAATGGCCACCATTTGTGAGACCTTTAACAATTTGGGGATTTTGAAGACGTGATTTCTTTGTTCCAGGTAAGTCAGTGAAAAGAATTTTAGTGTTGTTTCCTCTAAATGCGATCCTGATGTATGAGGATTAATATCGGAGAGATTGGACAAGTGACATGCTTATTATTTAGACATTATTTGCAACTTGGACGTCACGGCTCTGTCATCCACGATTCCATGCACATGATGCATGCGTTTCATGCACCGTATAGTGAGTGTTCTCAGATCTAGAAACACGGGGTAAAGTGACCGACATTTGGGGCATTGTTTTTGAATGAGTTGATTGAGGGAAATTCTAACACCCCTGCCCATCATTTAGCCCACGTTCCTCGTAATAGTCCTCATGCATCAGCACCATATTTGGGGAAATATCATCTTATTCATTTTACTGACTTTCCAACCCAGGACTCAGTTATTGAAATCCCTCGCGATTGCTGTCTCTAGCATGCAATTCACATTGCAGAGTTCAAAGTTGAATAAAACCGCAAGGGTCAATAACAAAGGTACATAACAACTAATTTAAAAACAACCCAAGTGATGGGTAAATTTAGAACCCAACAATGCAGGGTAAAAATTAGAACCCAATATCTGGGTAAGAAACTGACACAACACTTGGGTAAAAGGAGGGTTGGGTAAAGTTTACCCAATAATTGAGTAAAAAGGGAACATGGTCGTCACATGGGTAAACTTTCTTACCCAACTTTGTTGTGCAAACACGAACACAATTATGGGTAAAAGTTACACTGAAATGGGTACTTTTCTACACTTTAGCTGTTGTGTAAAAAAAAGTACACAAGTTGACGACCATGTTCCCTTTTTACTCTCGAAAAGGTAGTAATTTTACCCAATATTGAGCAACTTTTTTTTAGAGTGTACGGAATTGAGTGGACTTTGGACCAAACTCTACATGGCCCACGGATCCTACACACAAGGATGAACGACTCGCCCAACTCCTGGTTAGACGCGTGATAACGGCCTGTACTGGTGGCAAATACCATGAATACTTTTCAACAAAGACCACTGCGCGCGGTGGCTGTCAGATTTGCAAGACTCTTCGCCCGATCTGGCCTCGAGGTCTGTCAAACCAGCGAATTATATTTTTGAATATTCATGAGTCTACGTTTTTGGTCTTTATTATTGAATTCTGATGTGATAACTACATAACCACATGGTAACGCCGAGCACAATATCTTTAGCTTTGAAATGTCGCTTTTGTTTCATCGGTTCGGCATCCTATCTCTCTAAAACTTTGTAATAAAAGCCTAATTAAAAACGAAATTTGGGTAAACGGTGTTCTCCTCGAAATTTGACGTTTATTTCCCGGGTAAATACTTCATCTATGACGACAAAAACTGCACAATACCATCTGTTATATCCTGAAGTATTTATTTTTTTAATAATTTGGAACAATTATATCTTAAATAAGAAGTAGTTTTACTTACAGTTTTATGAATATTCCGTGTTAGATGTCGTGCAAAAACCAAACACAATGGCACATCTGGAAAATTCGCGATTACGCGCCAACGGGTATTAATGCCCGTTATCACGCGTCTAACCAATTAAGGCAAGTCCACTGAGTGCATTTTGTACTAGAGCTCAGAACAGTCGTTTATCCTGGTGTCTAGGATCCGTGCACGGCCAGACCATTATCTGTTACCATCTGGGCTACTATTATCTGGGCTACTCTTTCCATTATTGGTTTTCTTGTAACTAATCTTTCGACCGATATGTCTTTTTGTAGGCTTATTTAATAAGGCTGAACCCGTTACAAGAACCCATCAATTTGAACCGTTTCCCAGTTTTGGACTGCATTCTTCTTTTTTAAGGATATGTTTGAAAAAAATGGAGCAGTTTGAATCGACAAACTTCAAAGCAGATATATACACCAAGCAATCAATATCAGACATTGCAAGATGGACCATCGAGGAACATTTGATGGTGGAACAGGTACATATATGTTTTTTTCTGTCTGGCTTGCTGTCAGTCCGTCTAGTGGTTTGTCTATCTATATCCGGTATATTCGCTGTACGTGGTAACTTGGGAAAGAGATCATGAGCACCAGTAAACCATTAAGGGGCCCATGACAAGAATTTTACTTAGGAACATATTTTGTACATCTTTCTAATCCTCTTAAATTTATGAAAACTATTTTACATCCTCTTTTGGTTAAATAGTCTTAATGAAAAATCGATTTTTGTAAACATTTAACATTCCTGACAAATAAGGGCGCTGTTGTCGGAATGATCTTAGAAAGATGTTTAGGGGTTTTCTGTTCAAATTGTGAACCTAACATTTACTCATTAAATCATTTGTGGAAAAAGTTTGCTCATTTTGCTCATGTCTTGTACTGAAACAACATCAAATCACCAAAGAAAAGAAAGTTACAACAGCAAAATATCCCAAAAAGTTAAGGCAAATTTTGGTGCTGAAATAGCTGGAACATTGAGGTTTCTGCCTGAAACTACATCACACTTTTGCATAAATATGCATAACATGAATATGCAAATTTCATAAGCATAACAACCAAACAAAAAGGCACCAAAATGCCCAAACAAAAATTTAAAATAAGGTTAAATGGGACACAAAGGTGCATTACATTACGTTACTTCGGCCTTCAATGTCGCACGATGAAGGTTTTATTGAGTGTGATCGTACTATTTTGAACACTTTTACTTGAAAAACTCCGTGAAGTTTTCTAAATTAAGTCTTCATGGCATTTTCTGGATATGATTGTCAATTAAGTGTTTATTACTTATTTGCCATCAGTTAATTTATATTCTGAGAATGTGAGTTTCAATTTGTTCAATGATAGTCCGTGTTCAATGATTATTGAATAAATCGATTAATTTCTTCCTTTGTATTTTGCTTTATACCAGGATTACGGTGATCCCTTTTACATTTGTGACCTCGGTGACGTGATTGCAAAAGACAGACAGTGGCAGGAGTTGCTACCTACAGTAGAGACATTTTATGGTCAGTATATTGTATTCCTTTATTTTTCTCATGTTTACGGTCATATGGAATTTTGACAACAAAGAAATGGTCCCCCTAATGAAAATTACTACATGTCGCTACACTGTCTCGGTGGCGCGGATCGACCTGCGCTTTATTTCACGAATTATTAATCAAAAGTTAAACCGAAATATTACTTCCATAATGCAACTTCTTTGCCTATCCTGACAAAAGCAATGCTTATACACATCCCATTACAGTTATTGATATATTTATATCTGTATTGTGTAATTAAGGTCTTTTATCCCTGTAGCTTATGTGTTAAGCACCCTATAGCCACTAATCTCTTCATCTAGTGGTCTTCATATCTTCAATTGTAGCCGTCAAGTGTAACCCTGACCCGGCAATTTTGAAGTTGATGGTGGGACGTCATCGAAGCTTTGACTGTGCAAGTAAGGTAAGAAGATAATTATCTTTCAATATTGTATGGACGTGTGATGCTAGTCATGGAGAAATAGTGACATGCTCGAGTTTTCTTTTGTATCTAAGAGAGAGATTGAGATGGTGTTGGATGCGGGAGCTAGCCCTGACCGCATCATCTACGCCAACCCATACAAACAGGTGTCGCATCTCCGCTACGCCAAGGAGAAGGGAGTCAGTCTCATGACCTTTGACACCATGGAGGAGTTGCAAAAGGTCAAACGCGTCTATCCAGAGGCAAAGTGAGTATAAAGGAGACTAAATTTGTCTCAAACCTCAACTATGATGAAAGAGGACGCATTAAGAGTTGATGTTTAAAGTCCCTCGAAGTCAGCATCGGTACCAATCTTTAAGTTTTCGTGCTTAACTTAGAAAGCAGTAATTAAAATCCAGGGTTGTTATAAGCCATCTAAAGTGAGTATCGTGTAGATGCTATAGCTATGTTCCCGCTTGTTTACTCCTGTAGGCTTGTGCTGCGCATGTTGTTTGACGACCCGAGCGCAGTCTATAAATTGGGGTCCAAGTTTGGCTGCCCACTGGATGACATCCCAGGATTGATGCAGCTAGCTAAGGCGTTGGCAATGGAAATCATCGGTGTCAGGTGTGTTTCTGTAGCAAGAATGTTTGATGGGAGAAGATACAATAGATCTTTATCATGCTACCGCCATTTCAGTCATGTTCCCTGTATCCAATAACAGGACTGAATAATAGTTTCCTTTGCAAAAAAAGGAAACAGACTATTTTTCCTTCCAGCCTCGCTTTGGTTACGTTGATTTGAATAGGAAAAAAACAAAATGACCATAACATGAAAATGGTCTTTGAAGACTTGTATGTTAAAGGGAAAATACAACATTTGCAAACATCAAAGAATAAAACTACCAAATCATTTTGAAATACCTTGTTGGACTGTTAGTGAATGACAGTGTAAAGCATCCTGTAAAATCATGGCACCTGGTATACTGTCATTTTCAAGAAAAGTGATATTTTTGTATCAATTTCCAACGCTGATCGGCCGATCAGCGTTGGAAAAAACTGGGTTTTTTTTTCAAATACTGGCCCCAATTGACCATCGCACTTGTTTGCAATCGATTACAAACCTATGAACGGGTACGAGCCAGCTAGACTGGTTCCCTGACCTTACAATTCCCCAATGTAAGTAAACTGCTCTATTTCTTCTTATATGGAGTCAGGGAACCAGACTACAGGGAAATGATTGTTTTTCTTGGTTTTTATAGCATTTTCGAACCCAAAACCTCAAAAAAGTCAGTGTAATTATATTTGATATATATTTCCAACCCCCCAATTCCATCCATTTCTGAAAATTACAGTAAAAGCAAATGATGTATATTCCCTTTAACCAAATATCACGTTTAAAGCTGTACCATCATCGTTCTCCTTCCTGTCCATTTTTCATTGTTATAAATACCAATTAGAATTCTTTCGTTTATTTGTCGCGACAATTCTGTCCCGACTGTGCAGCTTCCACATTGGGAGCGGTGCTTCCAATCCGGAGGTGTTTTCCGGGGCCATATCGTGTGCCAAGTCGCTGTTTGACGCCGGGAGAGCCCTCGGCCATGACATGAAGTTGTTGGACATTGGAGGAGGATATCCTGGAAGAGAGAACTTCAAACCTGGATTCCAACAGGTGATTGAAACACACGTTAATTGCTCGTTTGCAATACATGGTTTTTCTGTTTTCCAGTCAAAATGATAAATTTGTAACGAGTATCTAACTATATATGTGCAGTTATATCGCTTATGGTTTTAGGAAGGGGTGGGGGGGGGTACCCGAGGAACAAGAGAATGACAAGTTGAAGTTATTTTCACGTAAAATTTACCGACGTAACTTTATACGCAGTTTGCAGATGCAATAAGCGAGTCATTGAAGCGGCATTTCCCGTCGGGCTGCGGGGTGAGAGTGATCGCTGAGCCCGGTACGTACTACGTCGAATCGGCGGTGCATCTCGTGGCTAACGTCATAGCCACACGTGATGGCAACAACAACGGTAGGCAGTTTCTTTTCTTTTCAATTTAATAATGACCAGCTCGTTAAAACGGCCTATATGAGCGAAGTTTTTACTTTGCAACTGCTTCTTCTACCAGATATTTACCCATTGTTTCCGATGTGTTTTTTTTTTTAGGTGCTGACCAGAAAAGTGGCAAACTGACAAAATATTACTATTTAAATACGGGGTTATACAACTCCTTCAGTCCGCTCTTCACGGATCCGAATTTCTTCGCGCCACCATATCCGCTGAGAGTAAGTGGGTAACGCAAGTACAAAACAAATAATCAATGTACATGTACTAAATACAAATAACTGTATTCGTTAATCGATATACTTTGTTTTACCGACTGACAATAGAAACTGCAAAAAGACGAGCCTTTGTACCCATCATGCATCTGGGGTCCGACTTGTGATGCAACTGATTGTCTGTTTCCCGACTGCAAGCTCCCGCTATTAACAGCTGGCGACTTCGTCATTTTCCAAAGTAAGTCCAAAATTAGGATATATTTCTAATAATAAGGTTGTCTCAAAGGCCCGCAGAGCAAAGTTGACTATGGTAGAGCCGGGACAGAAACTCCATGCATCATTTCAAGATATGTTTTCCTTTTGTGCATGTATGTGTTTATTTAGCCATGGTGTCACCGTTAGTGCGTGCAAACGTTTATGAATTTGTTGTGTTCATTTCAGTTCAAACCTCTGTACGGGCCCGTTTCCCGGCAAAAAGTCTCGTAAAATGGCCCTTTTTCCGACGTTTCCAGTCATACTTTGATAACCATTCGGTATTTTTCAATAGGGTAAAACGGTTCTATACAATTGAACTCTTTGTATTTCTCACGATATTATATATTTTTTGATCTTGAACATAATCCACGTACTTGTGATTTACGAATGACTGTGCACTGAATTTGCAAATAAAGGTCAATAAAATAGCGAATTTTCATTGGCTTTCATTTATCTTGATGTCATTTTTTTTTTAACCTTTTCTGTTCTTAAGATATGGGAGCATACGCGTCTTCAACTAGCTGTGATTTCAACGGATTTGGAACCCCGAAATCCTATTATGTCGCACCAAAAGAATCTCTGTGAGTAGACAGATTGCATATTGGGGCAAGTGTTAAATTTCCACGGCATATCACGATATTGTCCTTTTTATCCTTTGCTCTTAGCGTGGGAAACAGGCTACCACATTATCATCATCGTATATAGGCCTACATTTTCGAGGATAAAACATTTGCAGAAATTGACATCAATATTCAAAATGTCTAATTCTCCTATATTTCTTAAGATTGGCATCTCAGAAACCTATTAATTGTCTATAGTTCCGCACTTGTATTAGGCTGAGTGTCACCCGTCCAACGGAGCCCTCTTCGTAATTAACCAATGTGAATGTCTGGATATTAAATGAGCAATGCAAATTTTATGCCACCCCGGCGCCAGCCAATCAGGATCGACTTAAATGACGTCATTGCGAATCGATCAGAAATACGGACTGAGCTGTTCAGTGGTCAATTTGGATGCCATATTTTTGTAATACAACAACGGTTTATTGAAGCCCCTACAAGGCGCCTCCTGAATGGTCGGAATCTCGCGGTCTTGTTTTGCACAGTCGTGCCGAATCTGCACAGCAAAGGTCTATTCCCTGCACAGACTACACTTGAACATGCACGATATAGTATTATAAAGTCTGTTGAGGTATGTATGTAAGGCCACTCAGCTCAATATTGCATGGATACGTACACTATCATATGGGTGAGTCAAATAAACGAAACCCAAATGTTGAGACCATTGTTTTAGTGAAGTTCTGCATGTAGCATTTTCAAAATCTAGGATATAAAAGCCCAATTAGTACAAGAATCATTCAAATTACTTCTGTACTTTTCAAGTTACGGAATTTTAAACACAACCACCGTTTTAAGGTTCCGTCCACGGATCACAAAAAAAGTTCAGCGTTCTTTCATAAATTCAGCAAAACGAAAACAAATCACATAGGGATGTGTGTGAATTGTTTTTGTTTTGCTGAAAGAACGCCCCCTTTTTTGTGATCCGTGGACAGAACCTTAAAACGGTGGTTGTGTTTAAACTTTGAATTGATTTGAAAGATTCTTGTACTAAAAGAAAGCTTATGAATTGGGCTTTCATATCCTAGATTTTGAAAGTGCTACATGCAGAACTTCAATAAAACAATAGTCCCGACATTTTGGGTTTCGGTTTTTTTTACTCACCTTGTATTTTATTTGATTATTTTTCCTCAGACCCATCCTACGCGAGATTTTCCAAGACAGCACCATGAGCAAAGGAGTAGTTTTTGATGAGCAAGCGTCCGTATAAAAATAGGTCTATTTAAGTAGGGCCTACTATAGGTTCCACTTAGGCCTACACGGTTCAGAAGTTTTTCATTCGAAATAAACTTTCGAAATGAATACTAAGATCGGTAAATCATAAATAAATGTTACCTGATTAGTGAGTAATCAACTATAAAAACGAAAGGATCTTCCTATTAACAGCGTCTCAATGCTTCACTCGTTCCCAGGCCGCTGGCAGCAGGGTTAGGGTTATCTGGCCGTTAATTAATACGGCTGAATTTCGTACAGCTCTTATAATACGAGAGATTTTGGTTAGCTGAGGACCCCCCCCCCCCCATTTTGCTCGTGTTTCTACGCCATACAATGCAATTTCGTAGAGCTGTAAAGTAGGGGGATGGAATGGTTAGCAAATTTAGTTGCTTATTATTTTTATTTTATTGATTTTTTATTAAACTTCTCCACTGGCCGATATGAAAAAAATATTACAAGATACATATACACAATCATAAATTTAAAAATACAAAGAATTTACAATATATATCAATTGTAAAAAAAAGAAAGAGAGTTTATGACAGACTACAGATGAAGCCAGTGAGCGGTAAGATGACTAGCACCGTACCTCTACAGAGCCATCCTACCACTAGCCTTTCGCCAAGGTCATCGTGGCTTAGAGCTGCTGTGAAACAGCGAGCGACTGGTCGCGTATGTGGTCTCCCGCTCCAATCGCTTCGCCTGTCTAATTGTATTTGACTGATTTCAATGTTTTAATTGCTTGTTCTCCCAATTTGTTTTGAGTATATTTTTAGTATATTTTATTATATTTTTCTGGTTCAATTGTTTGTTATTCGTTTTAATTGTTTTAGTTGTCCATATTATATTTTTGTTGTAAACGTTTATGTCCCTAATGCATGTGATGATCTTATTTTAATGTATTCTGGTATGTTTAATATTAACTACAATTTAGTAATTTCCCTATTTTTTCTATCTTGATTTAGAGCCGTATGTTACATACATATTTTCCATTATTTTAACATAATATGTATGACACGTTAAGGATTTGTTAGGGGGGTGTTTTAGTCTTTTCTTGATTTTAATTTCTTTGTTTTATTTTCAATGTTTTGTCTCTATAATGTGTTGTTCATACCTTTTAATATGATATGTTTGGCATTTTATGATTAACTTACTTTTACTTATTCATATTTTCTTATCCTCGCGTCTATAGAGTACAGTAAATTCATTTTCTCTATTATTGTAATCTTGATTTATCAACTACTTTAAATCTTACATTCTAATTTGAATTTTAACAGACCCACTGGGCATTTTACCCGATATTACCCGGGTTGTAACGAGTAATAACGGTAGTTATTACCGGGTAACATTATACCAGTGGGTAATAACGGGGAAATAGTAGACCAATATTTCCTTGTTGCAACCCGTTATTACCCTATTTACCCAATATTACCAGAGATATGCTACCGATATTTCCGGCATTACCCCATTTACCCAATATTACCAGGGATAATGTAACCGATATTACCCCATTTACCCAATATTACCAGGGGTAATGTAACCGATATTTCCGGCATTGCCATGTTATTACCACCCGATATTACCCCATTTACCCAATATTACCAGGGATAATGTAACCGATATTTCCGGCATTGCCATGTTATTACCACCCGATATTACCCCATTTACCCAATATTACCAGGGATAATGTAACCGGTTTTTCCGGCATTGCCATGTTATTACCACCCGATATTACCCCATTTACCCAATATTACCAGGGATAATGTAACCTGTTTTTCCGGCATTGCCATGTTATTACCACCCGATATTACCCCATTTACCCAATATTACCAGGGATAATGTAACCGATATTTCCGGCATTGCCATGTTATTACACCCGATATTACCCCATTAACCCAATATTACCAGGGATAATGTAACCGGTTTTTCCGGCATTGCCATGTTATTACCACCCGATATTACCCCATTTACCCAATATTACCAGGGATAATGTAACCTGTTTTTCCGGCATTACCATGTTATTACCACCCGATATTACCCTATTTACCCAATATTACCAGGGATAATGCTACTGATATTTCCGGCATTACCCCCATTTACCCAATATTACCCCCATTTACCCAATATTACCCCCATTTACCCAATATTACCAGGGATAATGTAACCGATATTACCCCATTTACCCAATATTACCAGAGATAATGTAACCGATATTTCCGGCATTGCCATGTTATTACCACCCGATATTACCCTATTTACCCAATATTACCAGGGATAATGCTACCGATTTTTCCGGCATTACCCCCATTTACCCAATATTACCAGGGATAATGTAACCGATATTTCCGGCATTGCCATGTTATTACCACTGTATGTTGATCCGTTTTTACCCACATTACCGATCGATATCTAAGACCATTATTACCGATATTACCTGTGGCATGTGCCCATGGTAATAACTAAACATACGTATCCGCCTGGCTATAACAAAGGAAACACTGCACACATATATATTTTTTAAAAACATATATTTACCAAACAAACTTATACTTTTAAAATATGGTCCAAAGAAAGAACAAATTACATGTACCTTGAACTCACACACTAACCAGGCAAGTATGGTGGCGCATGCGTTCTGCTGATGTAACGCATAATGCGACAAGTTAGGACAGAGTGAATTTGGAATCATTGGCAGTACTGCGCAAACATATCGAATGTTACACACAAGGGAACAGATATATAGTAGTCCATGTGACGCCCAAAAAGTGTTAAAGACCAGCTAGCCGGTGCTTTATAAACTGTTTCCGGTCATGTGATGGCTCTCGACCAATGGCTAAACTGTCTCAGTATTTATGAGTATTTAATTTCTTCACAGAGGTCATTCTCTCAATGTTAAAATGCATTCTGTACATGTATCCAAATTAAAAACTGTCAAATAAACCCCGAGGGAAACTGACTGGGTTCAATTTTGGTGATTTTAAAGTTGAACAAAGAATTGACTGGGGCGGGACTCGAACCTGCAACCTCCGGGTTTACCGTACCAGAGCTCTACCAACTGAGCTATCCAGCCCTATGTTGGTAGTGTCCCAAATTGTCAGTCATCTTTGTGATCAGAAGCCATGACACCAATACATACTGTGTGGCCAAGGATCACTAGATACATGCAGCATTAGCAATGCTGCAACTTGGGAAGCAGTAGTAGGGGATCACTGTGAAAGGATACGGCTTTTTAATATCAAATTGTCAAATAAACCACAAGGGAAACTGACTAGGTTCAATTTTTGTAAATTACAAACTCTTAATAACACGAACAAGTTTCAAGTTTCCTTAAAATCCAACTGAATGTACATGTACAGGGTGCCCCACAGTCAAAGACCAATTAATAAACGTATACATGTATTGCATGCAAGTTTTGGAATATTTTAAAATCACCTCTTAAAGTCAGATAATCAATCTACCATATAAACTTGATTTCGTTCAAATCGAAGCACTGGAACGGACGCTATGCTTCATCAAAATCAGAGGATGAAAATTGCCTGGGGCCACTTTCCTTGAAAATGAGACAGCGCAGTTGAAACACACAAAAGATGGGCCAAACACAAAGGATAGATCAAACACCCGCACGCGTATGTGTGTGTTTCTCTAAACTGCGCTGTCTCACTTTCAAGGAAGGTGGCCCAACTCCATTTTCATCCCCTGAGTTTGATGAAGCATAGCGTCCGTTGCAGTGCTTCAATTTGAACGAAATAAAGTTTACATGGTAGATCACTGACTTTAAGAGGTGATTTTAAAATATTCCAAAACTCACATGCAATATACCTTTTTTAATTGGTCTTTGACTGTTTTTTGTTGTGGGGCACCCTGTAGATGTGTACTTAGTCAGTATGATTCACTCTGTTTAAGACCGCTTGAAGTCTGGACATGCCTTCGGCTCTGGTAATTATAAACACCCAGACTCCAAGCCGTTGTAAACTGATTGATTTATACTGACCAAGCACATTTATTCCCATTCACAAATACATTTTCGGTCAAAAAGTCTAAACTTTTTGAACCCCAAAATCCTGATTTTGATTAACAATTTCACTTCATATTTTTTTGAAACCCCTCAGCTAGTGAGATAAACAACACCTTTTATGGTGATTGGTGTGTGTGTCCCACAGAATGCACTTGGGATGTTGCATTGTGAATTTATTTGTAAGATGGAATTCGCGTCGGGGTGATGTATTAGGTTTTGCCCTTCACCAATGTAATGTTTAAACACTGTACATGTACATGTATAATCAGTGTGTTACCGCCCGGGTGAAAGTCCGAAAAAATCACTTTGGTGGGACTGTATACAATGTATACAGTGTTTATACCAGTGTTGTAGTCGAGACCGGATAGTCCGAGACCGAGACCAAGACCGAGACCTGAAGATTCGAGACCGAGACCAGCCCCTTCAAGGCGGACCGAGACCGAGACCAATATGGTCCGAGACCGAGACCGAGACCGAGACCTGAAGATTCGAGACCGAGACCGAGACCAGCCCCTTCAAGGCGGACCGAGACCGAGACCAATATGGTCCGAGACCGAGACCAAGACCGAGACCTGAAGATTCGAGACCGAGACCGAGACCGAGACCAGCCCCTTCAAGGCGGACCGAGACCAATGTGGTCCGAGACCGAGACCGAGACCGCTGATAATAAATAACAATAGTCGAAATAAAAAAAAACAAGACACGTTATTATCGTTGAAAAATGTAACCTTTCTATTCACAAAGAATACAGACCAAAATTTTGACCAGTGGCAGTGTTGACAAATTGATACATGACACCTTACTTGAGCAAAAAGTAGTTACACTTAAGAAATATGGGCTTTGACATGTTGTCTACACCCAATCGTGACAAAAGTAAAAAGTTAAAGGCAGATGCTTCTTTATCTGTTATAGGAACTCGGATCCTAAACTCCACAGTCACCCCCTTGGTTTCAGCTATGACTTCTAACGGATATTTAAAGATGCAATTTTAATTTTACATTGCCTCTTTTTTCCTAAAATAAATTTAGGACTTAACTTTTAACAAGACTTGTGTACTTGATTTTAAAAAATGGGAGCTAGAAAATGTTGAATTAATTTTTAAATTTGTGTCATAGAATGTGGACTTGTACACAAGTTGCGACCCACAAGTTGCGAGGTGGTAGCCAGAATGTGTCAGATATGGATTTTTAATTTTTTTCTGAACGGGACTTTTAATTTTTGAGGAATAATGGGGTACTTTAAAATGAGCAGCCAGAAAATGGGGTCTAATCATACACTCTCATGGCAACAGTGAGTGGTAACTGGTAAGAGTGTGTGAGCTCAAAGCTGGAAAATCAGGTAAAATACTGTCCCAAATTAAAGAGAACATTGGTGGGGTCGAAAATATAACTAATTTGAAGCACCTCATTTATTATCAGAATACAAAATGCAAGTGATTACGCCCACAGGGGTGGGCTAAACTACACACCTTCCCGAAAATGGTTGACCCTTATTGCATAAATTGTTACAAGTTTATACTTTGCTTTATGTGGCCGACTCAACAGATAAATGCCGAACTTGTTCCAAATCGTTCAGTGACTGGTACTGCTGCAGCTTTACATGTACTTTGGGGACTTCCAACGTGCTGTCGAGTCCAAACCGAACGCGATATATAACAAGCTTGATCTACGGGCTAGCAAATGTTTTAAATAACAACGGTACTGAACGAAGTGAACACAAAGTAATCGATCGAGCTGTAAAAGCTACATATTGCCGGTCTCGACCCGAGACCAGCCAAAATATCGAGACCAAAGGGGACCAAGACCGAGACCAAGACCGAGACCACAGCTTCCGAGACCGAGACCGGTCTCGAGACCTACAACACTGGTTTATACGTATGCCAGCGAAGAGCAAAACGTAATATTGTGAATTTAGGCAAGCCTAACTCATTCACTGTCGCTGGCATCCCCAGCCTGAAGATTGGCACCTGCTGCTGCATCCGCCACTGCATCTGCCTTGCGGCCTTTTTCCTCTCGTCTTTTTTTTCTCATCGCTTCCAGGGATTTTTGCTTTCGAATTTCAAATTTCGATCCACCCTTTGTGATTGATGCTGTCTTGATGAGTGAGGCAAGCTTGCTATGCAACGTTGGCTTTATTTTGTTCTTCCCTCTGTGTCTCTCCACCATATCTGAAATCATTAAAGAAACGTGGAGACAAATTTATACAGAGTTTAATTTCTGACATGTATGTATACAGGAGAGCAGTAAAACCAAGCTGA